CGCCATTAATGCAGACTTTTTTTCTTACTTTTTAAAAAACTGCATTGTTGGTTAAGGACTGTAAGTAAGCATTTCACGGTAAGGTCTACACTTGTTGTATTCGGCGCATGTGACAAATAAAATTTGATTTGAAAAAACCTGTTGCCTTCTTTACATTTTAGTCATTTAACAGACGTGATCTTCTTTATGAAAACACCCCAGAGATCCATATTCCAGTCCCTGTTATCGTCAAAAGTCTTTATGGCCAGAGACCTGTGCGAAGTAGGCCGCACTGATAAGACCAGACATTTTACAGTATGAGGGAGGGAGGGGGACCCGCGTGTCGTTTGGCCCCATCTGATGGGAATCGATCAGAACATCAAAGAGCAACGGCGACCGGAGACTTTGGAGCGCCGGGAATGGCTTCCCAAACACGTGCTGCTGACGCTCTCTGGACTTTAGTTGCTAGCTGCTGTAGAATCTCTGACACAGGAGTGATAACTGCAATGTCAGACTCCAGGCTGGAAGTCTAACTGCAGAGTCACTGGCATTGAGTAACAGGGTTGAGTAACCTAGTAGTCAATGTCACCATTGGGACACTGTTGAGTACACGGACCACATCCTTTGGAACTGCCCCATCAGTCATGGCCTACTACTCTATTAACCTGGATACTGTGTTAACCAATCATGTCTATATAAGTATCTCTAAGGATGGCAGAGACAGGGGCACTGCATGGGGTAGAAGAGAAAGGATATTTCAGAAGGTCAAGCAGGCTTCCAGCAGCTATATGGTGGAGGCGTAACCAGGCCAGTCCAGTGCAGCTTTGTAGCTTGTCTCAGTTCTGCTCAGCCCATCTCAGAAGCATGAAGGGTATAAATGTTTGTCAGGTGTCTAGTTCCACAATAGGGGTTTTCCCCTTAGTTCACCTTTATTTACAACCAGGTCAGGTCCTATTCCCTCACCACCTTGTAAAGCCCAGGATTAAGACTGGAAGAAGAATTCCGGAACCATTAACTTTCATTTCGAAATAGAATCCCATTGTCTTTCTATGACCATAACACAGCACATCTTCATATTCTACCACGGTGCATTACAAGGGAAACCCCTTTAATGGAACTTGATCTCTCCGATGGCGAGTAAGTGATACGTTAGCAAAACATATTTCCAGACTCATTTCCATTCTCCAGTCATGTACGGCACAGGAGGCTGCTGGGGGGAGACCGGCTCATAGTAATGTCCAGAACGGTGCAAATGGAATGGCATCAAACACCTGGAAACCATGTGTTTGATGTATTTGATACCGTTCCACTGATTCCGCTCCAGTCATTACCACAAGCCTGTTCTCCCCAATGAAGGTGCCACCAACAACCTGTGGTGTGAATAGCTAGGTCTAAAGAACTAGAGTCCAGTGCGTTATGGGAGGCTGGTGTCAGATTCACTGTTTAGTGAACTACATGTACATCAACCTCACAGGTTAGGTCAGGTGATGGTAATTGTTTTCTGTTGTTTTAAGAAGCATTGTAATGAAGACAGTTTGTCTCATCTAAAGGAGGAGTTATTGCCCTCTCTGGGAAACGTGATAGGGTGGCCAGTGGAAGAGGATGTGAGTACATGTGTAACAGATGGGGATTTGTAACCTCACTCCTCAGCCTGAAATATTTCCACTCCCGTTGCCGGATTGCTAGCTTTTCGGAGGCACGACCGAGAAGAACATTTCAGGAGGGCGGCCACGTGTATTTGTGAGGTCCTGGGTTCTAGTATCGGGTTCTAGTCTCTGTGCGATGTAGATAGGGAGGAAGTGGTGCGGCTAAGCAAGCACAGTGACGTCCGCTACACATGCATGCGTGTATAAGTGTGTTCGTATGTGTGTGTTCGTGTGTGTGTCCAGAGTAGAGTTGGTTCTGTTGGCCTTGTGGTTGACCAGATGACGGCTGCTTCTGTGTGAGTCACAGCAGGAATGAGTGACAATTTGAAAGCTACAGCCCTCATCTTTTGGGAAATTGAACTCAAATCTTACTGCTGGCAATGTCATAAGACTCTCCCCCCCCAATAAAGGCCATAAATCGTGTGCAATGGTCATTTCCATAGAGTATGCAATGTAGGTCAAGTCACCAAAAGTGTAAACATTTAGTATGCATGGAAAGGGTACACTCTGGTGGTCGTTGTAACGCAATGTACACTGAGCAAAAATATAAACGCACCAAGTAAAGTGTTGGTCCCATGTTTCAAATAAAAAAAATCCCATACATTTTCCATACACACAAAAGGCTTATTTCTCTAAAATTTCATTTCTGTCTAATAAAGCCATTTTTCTGCACCCCTGCTCAGTCATGTGAAATCCATAGATTAGGGCCTTATGAATTTATTTCAATTGACTGATTTCCTTACATGAACTGTAACTCAGTAAAATCTTTGAAATTGTTTCAGGTTGCATTTATATTTTTGTTCAGTCCTTTATGTGAAAGTAATGATATGCCATTGTTCTTTGTTGACAGTAGTAGGCTAGCCAGGTAGGCTACGCCCTATGCCTCCGTTTTCTAGCTGTTTGTGCACATGCAGCAACAAGGCAGGACTTAATGCGTTGCATAATACCATGTTCTAGAGAATACAGTGCATTCAGTATTCAGACCATTTGATTTTTTCCAAATTTTGTTACGTTACAGCCTTATTCTAAAATGGATTAAATTATTTTCCCCATCAATCTGCACACAATACCCCAAAATGACAAAGCTTATTTACATAAGTATTCAGACTGTTTGGTATGAGACTCGTAATTGAGCTCAGGTGCATCCTGTTTCCATTGATCATCCTTCAGATGTTTCTACAACTTGATTGGAGTCCACCTGTGGTCATTTCAATTGATTGGACATGATTTGGAAAGGCACACCTGTCTGTTTAAGGTCCCACACTTGACAGTGCATTTCAGAGCAAAAACCAAGCCATGATGTCGAAGGAATTGTCCGTTGAGCTCCGAGATAGGATTGTGTCGAGGCACAGATCTGGGGTACGAAAAAATGTCTGCGGGATTGAAGGTCCCCAACAACACAGTGGCCTCCAGCATTCTTAAATGGAAGAAGTTTGAAACCACCAAGACTCATCCTAGAGCTGGCCGCCCGGCCAAACTGAGCAATCGGGGGAGAAGGTCCTTGGTCAGGGAAGTGACCAAGAACCCGATGGTCACTGACAGAGCTCCAGAGTTCCTCTGTAGAGATGGGAGAACCTTCCAGAAGGACCACAATCTCTGCTGCACTCCACCAATCAGGCCTTTATGGTAGAGTGGCCAAACGGAAGCAACTCCTCAGTAAAAGGCACATGACAGCCTGCTTGGAGTTTGCCAAAATGCACCTAAAGGACTCTCAGACCATGAGAACCAAGATTCTCTGGTCTGATGAAACCAAGATTGAACTCTTTGGCCTGAATGCCAAGCGTCACGTCTGGAGGAAACCTGGCACCATCCCTACGGTGAAGCATGGTGGTGGCAGCATCATGCTGTGGGGATGTTTTTCTGTGGCAGGGACTGGGAGACTAGTCAGGATCGAGGGAAAGATGAACAGAGCAAAGTACAGAGAGATCCTTGATGAAAACCTGCTCCAGAGCGCTCAGGACCTCAGACTGGGGCGAATGTTCACCTTCCAACAGGATAATGACCATAAGCACACAGCCAAGACAACGCAGGAGTGGCTTCGGGACAAGTCTCTGAATGTTTTTGAGTGGCCCAGCCAGAGCCCGGACTTGAACCCGATCGAACATCTCTGGAGAGACCTGAAAATAGCTGTGCAGCAACACTCCCCATCCAACCTGACAGAGTTTGAGAGGCTCTGCAGAGAAGAATGGGAGAAACTCCCCAAATACAAGTGTGCCAAACTTGTAGCGTCATACCCAAGAAGACTCGAGGCTGTAATCGCTGCCAAAGGTGCTTCAACATAGTACTTAGTAAAGGGTCTGAATACTTATGTAAATGTGATATTTCAGTTTTACATTTTTTATACATTAGCAAAAATGTCTAAACCTATTTTTGTCTTTATCATTATGGGGTATTGTGTGTAGATTGAGGGGGGGGGGGGGGGGGGGACTATTTAATACATTTTAGAATAAGGCTGTAACGTAACAAAGTGGAAAAAGTCAAGGGGTCTGAATACTTTCCGAATGAAATGTACATCAGTGGATAGGTAGAGACTTCAGCTTTTTCCTCATATGTATATCATTGCTGTAAAACAAAACTATTCCTGTAACACAAAAAATTACGTTACACAAGCCCTGCGCTTTTAAAATGGCTGTGTTCCTATGGGAATTTGCGCATGTTTAGAGCGACACCATTAGGTAAAATATAGCCTCTTTTTTTTTCTTCATTTAAAATAAAATATGTCTGTCAAACCTAGAATTTCAAATCTCAAAACACTTGACAATGAATAAAATACGTACATTTCATTTTTTGGGGACTGCTGTATCTCGGGCTCTGTAATAGTCACATTGTTTCTGACACCTTTATCAGAATCCCACAGTTTTTACATTTCTAACAGTACTAAGCATGTGTTTGTAAGACTTAGTTTTGAAACCAAAATGTACTTTGAGGGTAGCATAGAATATTATGCGTTGTTTAGAAAATGCCACCAGAGGGTGTCAGAGTTGAACAGGATAATCATAATAATCAATATAGCAGCAACGTAATAGTAATCATCACTATAGAAGCTTATGTAGTGAGTAGGTGTGTGTATGGTGGTGAGTGTGTATGTATGTGGCATCAGTAGTGTGTGTGTGTGAGTGCATGTAAGTACTGTATGTGTGTGATGTGTCTGTAGGTGTGTGTGTGTGCCTGAGTTGGTATAGACCTGTGGATGAGCATAGTCAGTGCAGGTAGGCAGTGTGGAGAGTCTTTGGGAGCGCAGTGAGCTATTCAACAGTCTTATGGCTCGGGGAAAGAAGCTGTCTCGGAGCCTTAGAAGGGATCGTTATTCAGAAGGGAGCAATAGCGATGAGTTCAAGAGGTTTGATTCCAGGCACATTCAGCTCCATCCCCTTGATGATCCAGAGGCTGCAGCGGTCTGACTCTGCTATCTACTACTGTGCTCCGAGGCCCACTATGACAACAGGAGATTCAGTCCCTGTACAAAAACACAAAAGGGTAGTGTTGTTCAGACAAAGTCACAAGCTTCTCAATGTTTGACAAGGCACAAAAAGAGACAAGGATTTCATAGTTGCATCATGGCACATGTAGCCTTCTGTACATCAGTGGTTTCGCTCTTCTCCCACCCAACTCACAGTAGCAGGCATGGAACCCAGGCTGAGGAATTGACTGATTCTTGCTGTATTTTGTTATGGTATGATAATACTATTTTCCTTATTCATTTACGGCCTTTGCTCCCATCCCTTTTCTTCAAACAAATGTCAGTACAATACTACCAGTTTTAATTTCATACGTTTTTATACCATCCATCATCTTGTTTGAGTCTTCTCTCCCCTAATACAATTGTGTATTACAATATTTTTCAGAATGCACAGGAGAAGGCTCAAGCCACCAGGTTTGATCCTCCGTGTAAGATTGCCATGTGGACATTTCTAATTCTCAGGGAGGACAGGTCACACTGGGCTGTCAATTTGAGACTTCAGACACTACACATCTCAGCCTGGTCTGGCATGAAGTAAATGACTTCCCAAAGTTTATGCTGGGCCGTTTTTCCTTTTTGGAAGTATAAGTACCACTGAGTTTGAGGAGAGATTTGATGCCCATCTCGATGAATGGGCATCAAAGACCCCTTAACTATCCAGAGGCTGCAGCTGTCTGACTCTGCTGTGTTACTACTGTGTTCTGAGGCCAACTCTGACAACAGGATATACAATCCCCTTACAAAAACTATTTGATAGTGTGATATAAGACTTAGAGAGCTTAGTGTAAGCTCCTCCTCAATGCTTCCTAAGGCAGAGTTGAAGCATACAAAGAAGTGGTTTCACAAGCCCATGACAAGTGTTTGCTCTCTACTTACCTACCCATCTTACAGTAGACGTGGAATCTTGGCTGAAGAATCTTCAGATTCTTGCTGCATTTTGTTGTTGTATGATAACTATTATTTTATTTGCTTACTGCCATTGATCCCTTTCTATCGTCATGAAAAATAGAGAAAGTCGCACACGATATGCTCCCAATGATTTAATGGGTATAAAACATCAAACACCCTTTTATTTATTTATTTTTCTCTCCAGAATGCAGAGGAGATGATGTGTCAGAGCCAAAAGAAGATAAGACTGCTACCGAAGGAGGACAATTAACACTTGCCTGTCATTACGAAACCGACGATCCAAGTCCATTTCTATTCTGGTAAAAACAAGGAGCAAACCACTACCCCAAGTTTATGCTTATGCGGTTCAAATTTGGAACTGGGGACAATGCCACTGACGTCAAGGAGAGATTTTATGCCGATCTAGATGCCAAGACACAATCAGCCCCCTTGACGATCCAGAGGCTGCAACTGTCTGATTCTGTTGTGTACTACTGTGACAACAGGATATACAACCCCCTTACAAAAACATACTGTAGGCCTACACAATGCATGACGATTCATCTACTCCTGTATAACACAGTCAGTGGCGAGTTTAGCATGTAAATCTTGGTGGGGCAAACTAAAAATATATATTTTTTGATGCATGCCAGCAAAGCCACAACACAACACTAAATAATACATTAATTGCGCTATAACGGTGACAAACGGTGCCCACAAACTGTTAGGGCCTACATAAAGATGTTAGGGCCTCCCAACAGCAGTCCCAACACCTTACCACTGCTACACCTGGCTATCAGCGGAGCCTTCTCGGCAGTGAAACAGTTAATTCAGCATCATTTACTGCGGCCCATGTTATGAATTCTGTCACTGTACATTTAAAAAGTGCTGAACAAAGAGTTATATTGACTATGTCCATCCTAGCTCGCTCATTAATGTCTTAATCGAAATTACGGATTGCCTCTTATCTGCTCGTCGTCCCCTTATGCCATAGTTTGTACATCTCAATTGTCAGTAGAAACCACATTTGTTTAAGCACCATGTCAGAACCGTACGATAAATAAAGGGGGCATACAGTGAGGGAAAAAAGTATTTGATCCCCTGCTGATTTTGTAAGTTTGCCCACTGACAAAGACATGATCAGTCTATCATTTTAATGGTAGGTTTATTTGAACAGTGAGAGACAGAATTACAACAAAAAAATCCAGTAAAAACGCATGTCAAAAATGTTATAAATTGATTTGCATTTTAATGAGGGAAATAAGTATTTGACCCCTCTGCAAAACATGACTTAGTACTTGGTGGCAAAACCCTTGTTGGCAATCACAGAGGTCAGACGTTTCTTGTAGTTGGCCACCAGGTTTGCACACATCTCCGGAGGGATTTTGTCCCACTCCTCTTTGCAGATCTTCTCCAAGTCATTAAGGTTTCGAGGCTGACATTTGGCAACTCGAACCTTCAGCTCCCTCCACATATTTTCTATGGGATTAAGGTCTGGAGACTGGCTAGGCCACTCCAGGACCTTAATGTGCTTATTCTTGAGCCACTCCTTTGTTGCCTTGGCCGTGTGTTTTGGGTCATTGTCATGCTGGAACACCCATCCACGACCCATTTTCAATGACCTGGCTGAGGGAAGGAGGTTCTCACCCAAGATTTGACGGTACATGGCCCCGTCCATCGTCCCTTTGATGCAGTGAAGTTGTCCTGTCCCCTTAGCAGAAAAACACCCCCAAAGCATAATGTTTCCACCTCCATGTTTGATGGTGGGGATGGTGTTCTTGGGGTCATAAGCAGCATTCCTCCTCCTCCAAACACGGCGAGTTGAGTTGATGCCAAAGAGCTCGATTTTGGTCTCATCTGACCACAACACTTTCACCCAGTTCTCCTCTGAATCATTCAGATGTTCATTGGCAAACTTCAGTCAGGCCTGTATATGTGCTTTCTTGAGCAGCGGGACCTTGCGGGCGCTGCAGGATTTCAGTCCTTCACGGCGTAGTGTGTTACCAATTGTTTTCTTGGTGACTGTGGTCCCAGCTGCCTTGAGATCATTGACAAGATCCTCCTGTATAGTTCTGGGCTGATTCCTCACCATTCTCATGATCATTGCAACTCCACGAGGTGAGATCTTGCATGGAGCCCCAGAGGGAGATTGACAGTTATTTTGTGTTTCTTCCATTTGCGAATAATCGCACCAACTGTTGTCACCTTCTCACCAAGCTGCTTGGCGATGGTCTTGTAGCCCGTTCCAGCCTTGTGTAGGTCTACAATCTTGTCCCTGACATCCTTGGAGAGCTCGTTGGTCTTGGCCATGGTGGAGAGTTTGGAATCTGATTGATTGCTTCTATGGACAGGTGTCTTTTATACAGGTAACAAGCTGAGATTAGGAGCACTCCCTTTAAGAGTGTGCTCCTAATCTCAGCTCGTTACCTGTATAAAAGACACCTGGGAGCCAGAAATCTTTCTGATTGAGAGGGGGTCAAATACTTATTTCCCTCATTAAAATGCAAATCAATTTATAACATTTTTGACATGTGTTTTTCTGGATTTTTTTGTTGTTATTCTGTCTCTCACTGTTCAAATAAACCTACCATTAAAATTATAGACTAATTTGATCATTTCTTTGTCAGTGGGCAAATGTACAAAATCAGCAGGGAATCAAATACTTTTTTCCCTCACTGTATAAGCAGACAATGAAAGCTCTTACAATATTTGATTTCTCTAAAACAGGCTATAAACTAGATGTGCACCACAAAGTCAGAACAGTAGGTGAAATTAAGAGGGGGAAAAGGGACCAAATTATTAAGGTGAGGCACATGGGCTACTAACAGCTTACTACACAACATACACTTAGTATTACTTTCTTAGCTACAGTATTCATATCTCCCTCGCATATTACATCATTTATGCAGCAGCATACAATACATTTTTGGACTCACCTTGTTGTGCTCTGCTCACTTGAACAGGAAGGTGTCTTGGTGGTCCTTCGTTGGCAAATTTTGTCATCAAACTTTGTCATCAAAGTCTGGCATTCTCTGGATTTATGGTGCTTTCCAGGCAACTGGGAACTCGGGGAAAAAAACAAGATCGAATCATGATGACGTCAGTGATCTTCAGGTCGGAGCTCTAGAAAGAGACCTGAGTTCCCGACTTACAATTCCGAGTTCGATGACCGTTCAAAATGTATTTTCCCAGTCGGAGCTAGTTTTTTCCCCAGTTCCCAGTTGTCTTGAACTCACTGAAAATAGACCCTTAAACCCAGACATGGGACCACACACCCAGTCCACTGAATAGCAGGCTAGTGATTGCTTTGCAATGCTTGCAGTTAGCCACTGATTCCTTCCAAACTACTCATTGTTGAATTTGCAATTTCCAACTTGTTGTGTAATGTTTATGTCCAATGGCCGATGAGCACCGATACATTTTATCCATAATTTCTCTTCATATGACAAGGATTAAAAAGCATTTGCCAGTAGATTGTAAACTTGATTCATGATGATGACTGCTAGCTAAGATTTTGAAGGTATGATGTTGACATGATCAATCCAAACAAAGCTACTGTAGATATAACATTTTATCTGTGGCCAATGACCTTGAGCCTTCATGGATGGGCACTTCTAATGTAACTCTATGGCAAGGGGCTTGAATTTTCGTGCTCTACCCAACGATTTGGCATTGACATAGTGTCCCCATGAGTGAAAGAACACTGAGCCAATCATGGCGCAACTAGAGAACATTAGCATCCCCTATGCTCCTTATTTTCCGCTGGCTGCCCAACCACCACAGAAGGCACTGAGCTAGGCTGAAACACCTGCATTTTGGAGCTGCCTTAAGCAAAAAAAGAGACCAAGTTTGTATGCGGCTTTATTAACTTTTTTTTTTTTTTTACATTGTTTGCAAACTGATATGTGACACGTATTAATGCCAAAATAACATGCAAAACAGGCAACCCCCCAAAAAACAACTTTTTTTTAAAGCTAAAAAGGTGGGGCTCAAAACATGTGGGGCTCTGGGTTGTGTACAGAGTAATGGAAAAGCCAGCGTCAACCACAAGGTGGCAACATTACCAAGTTAGTGTTACTTTCAATTCTGAAATGATTGTCTATTTGAGCATCCCCTCCGTGCTGCTGCATGGTCTAGGCCTGTGCTGCCACACAGACAGGAATCAAGAGGGCACCAGCTTCATTCAATCTATCATTTGTTTTTACTCTTGCTCTTTCTAGCATCAGAATACAGCGAACGGTAGCTGAGGTTTGATCTTCAGTGTAAGATTGCCATGCAGACATTTCTAATTCTCATTGTGGCCTCAGGTAAATGTATATGATATGAGTCCTCACTTAACATTAGTACCATTACTAGAACAGAAGCAAAATGCTGTTACCGTTACATTATATGTAAAAGTGAGACAGTATGTTATGTCATTATCATTTGGATTTTATTGTTCTATATCTGTGTACAGTAGTAATACTTTATTTACTGCATTCTTTACAGAATTGATTGCTGGGATCACATTACTCCTGTAAAGCACAGTCATCTGTAAAGAGGGAGAATCTGTGACACTGAGTTGCTCATATGATACTGTTATGAACCCAATAACTAGCCAACGGGGTCCTTGGCCTAGTTACATGGTCTGTAACCTGAATTAATGTGTGCATTTATGTGAGAAATCAGTATTTTGAGGACCGTGTTGGTGCCCAGGAGACAGCAAGTTACCAAGTTCAAGGTGAGCTCTGTCTTGACCTCTTGGTCGGCCAGTCCAAGCGGATTGTTAGTTGTTCAAAGGTGACCAAAATAAATATATATAAACAAAGGAAACTACAAAAAGGTATGCCTAAACAAAAGATTCAAAACCAATTGAAAGTACTCACGGCCCCCAGCAGCCTCACAGCCTGCAAACTGGTACTTTGACTGCTGATCACCCTAATTGGCTGCACCTGATGTGCTTATCAACCAGGCGTGTGGAAGTGTATCCTGGATAATGTGTTTAAGTCCTAACACTAACCTTCCTCTCATATCATAACAATACAAGCAGTGATCAAATGTGGCTTTATTGGTCCCGGCAGTATCCTAACCAGGCACCTCAGTTTCTAATGGTTAAGGTGCCACATAAAGTACCATCCCTCTATAAATCATCTGAACTGGTCATAAAACATCTAACCCTTGCAGACACAGCTCTATACTACTGTGCTTTTGGGAAAGCACAAAGTGCTTACATTTATTTGAGATGCTGTACAAAAACCTAGATAATTATTTTATCCTTCTACCTTGTCGGAAACTGTTTCCAGACTACAATTTTATATCAGATACACTCAAAATGTTTCTAGGCTACCAGAGGGATTGTGGTTACACCTGTTAATGTCATCTCTGCAGCACTAGTGAGAAAAAAAAATGCAACCTCTGTAGTGCGTGTGACATTGGCAGGTTTGGCAGCTATTTGACACACACTGACCTTTTCTCGTTTCGGCAAAAGTCAGTCCTCCGGAAACCGATAAGTGGTTGTGTGGTCTAGGAGTGTGTCAATCAGTTAGTAGGCAAACGGAAGACGGTCCTCCCCTCCTCGATAGCCTCCTTTTGCAGAGGAAGCACAAGTGTATCACAGAGTTTCTAAACCAGGGTTCCCCAACTGGCCGCCCGCGTGCCGAATTTGGCCCGCAGGTAATTTTATTTGTCCCCTCAAGTTTCCTGATCAAAAAAATAAACTGTTCCAAAGTATTCCCACGCATAATAGAGATATGTGATCATATACAAATGTAAGCAAGGTTTGAACTGATTATGTTTTAGTCAAATATATCTGTTTGGGCTTCTTGCGGTTATTTGTAATTATGTTCTGGCCACCTGACCATCCACTCAAGAAGAAATTGGCCCGCAGCTGAATGTAGTTGATTCTTGTTCTAAACATACTGTACTGTCTGAGTGCATCTATCCTACCGCGGAAGAGTTTTGATATCTGCATCACCCCCTTTGAATCAGATCTATTGTCGGAGACAAGCATGCACACATTTAAAAACGATATGCTACCTATCCTTTTATCTATAAAATGTATTCCACAACTAACTTAGTTATCACTTTGTACATTTATTTTGGAATCCACCCCTGTAAACGTAATTTGCCTGATGACGTGCGAGTGGAGAAGGAGCTTCTCATTTCATATTAGCGCATTTTCGTCCACGCTGACTCTCCTCGCCGCCTCTCCTCGATTACCTTTGACCTTTTTCAAAAGGAGGCGAGCAAGGATGGAGGGGGGAGGATGCTGGAGTGAGCAAATCTTATTGAGAAAAGGCCAAGTTTTGATCACGTCAACATTTGTAATTGGCTGATGCAGAATTTGTTACCGGAAATAATCACTGCCAGCTGGTGAGGTTAGCATAGGGCTAAGTGTGGCAGGTTGTAATCACGTGCAACTAGGTCAATGGATTTTGAGAAAGCAAAAGTTTAAACTTTTTCTAATGTTCACAAGTATGGCCCCCTGGGGTTTCCTGAGGGAGGGTGACAGCCTGTGAGCAAATTATTTTCTAGCATTAAGTTCTTGCTCAGTTCCTCTTGATAGCCTTGACAATAAGGCTACATAACATCGGAGTCTAAATTATCCATTGTCTATTCCAATTGTTATTTTCTCTCAATTCTTAACCATACTAATATCAGAATACAGTTACAGTATGAATGGAAATCATATACACAAATGTATTGTACATGCTTTTGTCCTGAATTGTGAGCTGTGGGGAAAGTAGACTTAGTGCACAAGATGATGCCTTCTTAGAAACCTTCCATACAGTACGTGAGTCAACACAAAAAAATGACAGTCCAGTGAAAAGATAGGGTGAACATAGTTTACTTTATTTAAAGGCATAGCCGATTCCACCATTTCTGAATGTCTAGAGAAAGACGAAACACAAAAATCTTAGAACACAAGCCCATTCCTAAATGAAACACTCCCCCTCCCCCCTCACAGGTAAAAGGACTCGCAACATCCCTCCCCATAACCCGTGAAAGCATTCGGAATTCAAAATCCTCATGCAGAGTTTGAAACTTTCAGTGATTCTCTCCTTGATATTGAACTTAAACTGGGACACAGTGCTTGATGTTGTTGGTTGGTCAGCTGTGCAGGGAACTGTTAATAGCTGTCTGTCATTTTTCATTGCCTGTAATGTCCCACAGGACTATTAGAAGTATGGAATGTTACAACTGCTCAATGTGCAGGGTTCTTTTCCTCAAACCTTAATGTGGTAAAACCAAAGCCACAGTTAGATTTGTCAGTTTATTAAGGATGCAGCAGAGTCACATGAATGCAGTAAATGGCAGGATGCCCAGAGGAGAGCGCTTCTTCTAACATTCTAGTGTGTTACCCCTCACTCCCTCTTCTGCCCATCTAGACAGCAGGAACTGGTAAGCTCAACACCACTGACAAATACCGTTCATGATCCAAACATCTCAAATTTCAGATCAGAACCCCTTACAATGAGCAGATACAGGAGAGAAACAGGGCCAAATTTACAGCCCAGTTCCCCTCTAGCATTTATGTGCTCACATTTTTATTTTTTTTGTAATAGCTTCTGGCTGAATTTGTCCCAACATTCAGTCCAATCTATTTCTCTTTTATTTTTAAATACAATTTTAATGCAACAGGAAAAGCACAATCACACAGAAATTAGACATCATTTAAAGTTGGGTTTAATAAAATGTTCTCTACATGAAAATAAAAACATGTTTTTCCCCTCATACAAGATATTGAGTCTTTGTATACCCTTTAAATACAAAATGCCTTTTGCTGCCTAAACCATAAAGAGGGAACCACTGTATATAGTCGTCATATTTCTAACCCTATCCAACAGTGACCCCTAGACAACTGACCTCTAACCCTGTTCCTGGAGAGCCTCTCTTGGTCTGCTGATTGTCGCTCAGTGCTTCAGGGATTTCATTATTTGGGGAAAAAGTCATTATCTGGCTTGGGCGTTTCTGTTGTGACATCAGACATCAACTTACCCGATAACAGATTCACACTGGCGTACCCCAAGTGACAGAAACTTAATACCAAACAATTAGTTCAATTAGTTACACACCACAGAGGTATGTAAAAAGCTGAGCTACGACTTTAGACAAGCAAACCAAGCATGCAACTCTCCAGGGCCTAATATGTTTTAATTCGATAACTGTTGTGATTATAGTAGTGGTTGTGAAGAGGTTAGCACAAATCAGTCTCTCTCTCCTGTTCTACGCCAGGTAGGGGAGTCAGGGACTACACCTGCCCTCTGTCCCCCAGCCATAGCCCAGCCCAACTGTCTGTCTGATGGTCTGTGTCTCGCTTGGCTTGTGCCCCATATTGCTGAACCAGCAGCTTTGCTGGACCCGTTTGCTTGTTTCTATTACATGACAGTGCCAACCATGATAGTAATAATAAAATAAAAACACTGACCAGGCACAAAGAGCCAATAAAGCTGCTTAAAACTATTAAAAGGCAGACCATGAACGAAATAAACAATTATGCAGGTAAGCTAGAGTTACATTTTTACTCAAAGAAAGATGGGTAAAGAGAAAGAAGCAAGGGGAAAGCGGAACATATAAATATCTACTTTCCCCATAAGCAGTAAACTATTGGACATAGTTACCCAGTATTTCATAAAGCTAAAACTGCTACGAACAAATCACAAAATACAGTATTTCTAATAATTGCAATCTCTATTGCAGCTAATAATACTATCCCTACATCTATTTTCCAATCCCCGTCTGTTTGTTGATTATTTTGTTGTTGAGCGAACATTGTGGTGAGCTTGTGAAGAGTTCCCATCATCCTCAACTGACCTGAAGATGCACTTCCCTCCTTGCAAAACATTTACAGAAAGGAACAATCTGCAGTCCAATCAGCAAACTGGAAAATCGCATCTATAGCATAATCTGCTTCTCATTTTCAAACGGTTCTGTGCACAGTAAGATAGGCACGCTTTCCCCCCACTTTTTACCAATGACTGTGGCAATATAGCTGTTAACGCCTTCATTCGTTCATTCATTACCCAGCTACATCGAGCCACACTCCCCCTCCTCCTCTTTCTCCATCCGAGATAAAGAAAATTTAGTCAAGAATTCAGAAAGATCAGTCTTTCTTCTTTTCACCACATCTACCGTTTTAGGCCCACCTTGCCTTCCCAAAACATCCCGCACCACCTTTATGCTCCTCTCTTGTACAGTAGACAAATCAAGACAGACTGATAGTAAATCCACACCAAGAGCAGCTCAACAATAGTTTTCAGAGGAGACCAGATACATGGAATCCAAGTGAGATGGACTGAAGGATGGTTGTTTATTCCCACACTCTCCAGAGGAATTCAGGAGGTATGCATGGTGACTGGCTGTCAGAGGTTTTCAGTTTCCTCAATGTAAGAATCCTGCAAATTGGACCCCGCAGTAGCTTCGTGCTCAGTGAGGTGGTGTGGGAGGTGCTTGCACACCCTCGTTGCCATGGGAGGCACAGAGAGAGAGAGGGGAGAGTAGACTTGCACCGGTCCTCCTCGTCAGCCGAGGGGTGTTCTGAGCCTGTTGGGTCATCGTTTCGCCTTCCCCAGCCTCCATATGCCGGTAATTCCGATTTGGAGCTCGTTTTTTTTTTACTTCTTACTTCTTCACACAAGTGCTTCTGACTGCAGGCCCTTCAGTGTGGAGGGTTCATGGTGCCCCGGCCCCTCTGCTGCTTCTGCTTCTGCTGCATGAGGAGCTGCTCCAGGGCCGACGGCCCCGGCTGCATCATGGAGCTGGACCAGATGGACTGGGGAGCACAGAGTTAGATTTTTAAAAAATCTGCATAGCAAAAGGAATTTAACAATCTGGGCTGTGGCGGTCATGAAATTCTGTCAGCCAGTTATTGTCATGGTAATTTACCGTTAATTAACAAACACGTTTAGCATCTCCAGGACTCCACGCATACAAGCCGCTAATGCATGGCTGTGGAACATCTACATTTAAAAAAGTCTAATAAATCTATTGAATATACACCATCACATTAAATCCATTTATTTTAGGCAGGTCTAAACAAACATTATGATATGAAGAAATTGTATTTCAGAAGAACAGAATATGAGTTGGCCTACTGCATGTTATCTGGCTATGCTCCATGCCATAGGCTGTAAGCTTGTTCATTTAGCTGGCAAGATATGCTAAGAATACCTGTACCATTATTTTATATTACATGATTTTATAGTAAGAATATAATTGAACTTAGCTGAATAAAATAGAAAGGATATTTTTTCCATTCCTGAGCGAGTGCGCATATGAAGTGGCTATGTTGAGCGTAAAAATTATCATTTGAAACGGGTCTTATACGCTAGACTTAGAGTTATGATACAAACCTTAGAATGTCTTAGAAATATGGGCTGCATGATGCGACTATAGGCTATAGAGTCTTCGAAAAAGTCGCAAAAAAAAGCTTACGCTCTGTTCCTTGCCTCAGTCTGCACACGCTGTTCTCTCATCAAGTTATATTTTTCACCCATTAGAATATTCTCAATTTAGACATCTTTATTAATATATAAAATTAGTTCCGATTTAGAATGGCCCATTATCAAATGGGCAGGAACAGGGGCAAGACATGTCATCTGTATGCACTCGAATAGCAAATGGAGGCCACTTTCTCGCTGGTACATTTTTCACTCGTCAGGTAGGCTACTCCGTTTATTTCGTTGCGCAACAGGTGATATTCCGCCCAAACTCTGTATGCCATGTGCTCTCCAACCCTGTTCCTACAGCTACCCAGTGCTTAATTTTAGAAACCAAGTGAAATATGTTCGGGAACATCGATAGTAACATGTTTTCACAATGAAACATATTGAATTAAACTGTTGACAGACCCTCTCTCTGCGCACTGGAGAAAGGAATGAAGGAGAGAGGGGAGGATATGGAAATGCATGGTGGTGAGATATTCAGTAGTTAAAAAGGTAGTGCCAGCCTATTAATGATGAAAATACAAAACATGGCCTATTACTAGGCTATTTAAAATCAAATACAAACTCAATATAAATGTAGCCTAACTGTTAAAATGGCCAGCTTCAGTCAGATGATTCTAGCCATCCCTTCTGGTTAGTTCTAGTCGGGCAGCTTAGTCTCACATTCAGAGGACCCCCACTTTTGTTAGTGTCTTATTGGTTAATGTCACGCCAAATACTTATCACCACATCTCGTTCAGCCTATCAGTGGCCTTGATTCCCAGGACTTCAGTTTCAGTTAGTCTATGACCCAGCACGCTGTATGGTCAGAAACGTGCTTTCCCCATCCTGATGAGCACTTCCACAGTTTTCCCTCCTGCTCAACTTTTCCTCATGTGGACTGAATCCCTGTATGTCTGATGTTTAATTGTGCGTGCATCTAAACAAGCACATAGTTAATGTCAGTTGTCACTGGACATGATTCAAAGTTATCTGAACCATGAGTGGTCAGATGTGTGTGGATATCTTATTCCATTAAACTCCCCTTAACCTGAACACCCGCCTCATCCTTGTTCTGACCGGACATTCTGTAGTGGTTGCTACAGGCCTTAAGCCAGCACCTAAGGTTTCTTATTACATTCACGGTCCTTCGGTTTTCTACAACACTCCACTTTACACTAACTCTGAATTTGTTAAAATTTAGGCTAGACCAATTATGTACCAAATATACACTATACATACACAAAAGTATGTGGACACCCCTTCAAATTAGTGGATTTGGCCATACCCATTGCTGACAGGTGTATCAAATCGAGCACACAGCCATGCAATCTCCGTAGACAAACATTGGCATTAGAATGGCCTTACTGAAGAGCTCAGATGACTCAACGAGGCACTGTCATAGGATGCCACCTTTCCAACAAGTCAGTTCAGCAAATTTCATGCCCTGCTACAGCTGCCCCGGTCAACTTTAAGTGCTGTTATTATGAAGTGGAAACGTCTAGGAGCAACAACGGCTCAGCCGTGAAGTGGTAGGCCACACAAGCTCACAGAACTGGACTGCCGAGTGCTGTAGCGCATAAAAATCGTCTTTCCTCGGTTGCAACACTCACTACAGAGTTCCAAACTGCCTCTGGAAGCAACGTCAGCACAATAACTGTTCACCGGGAGCTTCATGAAATGGGTTTCCATTGCTGAGCAGCCGCACACAAGCCTAAGATCACCATGCGCAATGCCAAGCGTCGGCTTGAGTGGTGTAAAGCTTGCCGCCATTGGACTCTGGAGCAGTGGAAACGCGTTCTCTGGAGTGACGAATCACGCTTCACCATCTGGCAGTCCGACGGATGAATCTGGGTTTGGCGGATGCCAGGAGAACACTACCTGCCCCAATGCATAGTGTCAACTGTAAAGTCTGATGGAGTAGGAATAATGGTCTGGGGCTGTTTTTCATGGTTCGGGCTAGGCCACTTAGTTCCAGTGAAGCGAAATCTTAACGCTACAGCATACAATGACATTCTAGACGATTCTGTGCTTCCAACTTTGTGGCAAGAGTTTGGGGAAGGCCCTTTCCTGTTTTAGCATGACAATGCCCCTGTGCACAAAGCGAGGTCCATACAGAAATGGTTTGTCAAGATCGGTGTGGAAGAACTCGACTGGCATGTACAGAGCCCTGACCTCAACCCCATCGAACACCTTTGGGATGAATTGGAACGCCGTCTGCGAGCCAGGCCTAATCGCCCAACATCAGTGACCGACCTCACTAATGCTGACCTCACTAATGCTCGTTGCTGAATGGAAGCAAGTCCCTTCAGCAATGTTCCAACATCTTGTGGAAAGCCTTCCCAGAACAGTGGAGGCTGTTATAGCAGCAAAGGGGGGAGCAACTCCATATTAATGCCCATGATTTTGGAATGAGATGTTCGACGAGCAGGCGTCCACATAGTTTGGGTCATGTAGTGTATATTAAATCAGCATTTTTATGTTTTTCTGCCGTGTGTAATATGCTGTAGGCTATGTATTGTATAACGGCACAATTTTAATTTCAGGGGGGTTTTCGGGCTTGGGTCAGCCACCAATTGCCACCAATTGTGCAAGTTCTCCCACTTAAAAAGATGAGAGAGGCCTGTAATTTTCATCATAGGTACACGTCAACTATGACAGACAAAATGAGAAAAAAAATCCAGAAAATCACATTGTAGGATTTTTAATGAATTTATTTGCAAATTATGGTGGAAAATAAGTATTTGGTCAATAACAAAAGTTTCTCAATACTTTGTTATATACCCTTTGTTGGCAATGACACAGGTCAAACGTTTTCTGTAAGTCTTCACAAGGTTTTCACACACTGTTGCTGGTATTTTGGCCAATTCCTCCATGCAGATCTCCTCTAGAGCAGTGATGTTTTGGGGCTGTCGCTGGGCAACACGGACTTTCAACTCCCTCCAAAGATTTTCTATGGGGTTGAGATCTGGAGACTGGCTAGGCCACTCCAGGACCTTGAAATGCTTCTTACGAAGCCACTCCTTCGTTGCCCGGGCGGTGTGTTTGGGATCATTGTCATGCTGAAAGACCCAGCCACGTTTCATCTTCAATGCCCTTGCTGATGGAAGGAGGTTTTCACTCAAAATCTCACGATACATGGCCCCATTCATTCTTTCCTTTACACGGATCAGTCGTCCTGGTCCCTTTGCAGAAAAACAGCCCCAAAGCATGATGTTTCCACCCCCATGCTTCACAGTAGGTATGGTGTTCTTTGGATGCAACTCAGCATTCTTTGTCCTCCAAACACGACGAGTTGAGTTTTTACCAAAAAGTTCTATTTTGGTTTCATCTGACCATATGACATTCTCCCAATCCTCTTCTGGATCATCCAAATGCACTCTAGCAAACTTCAGACGGGCCTGGACATGTACTGGCTTAAGCAGGGGGACACGTCTGGCACTGCAGGATTTGAGTCCCTGGCGGCGTAGTGTGTTACTGATGGTAGGCTTTGTTACTTTGGTCCCAGCTCTCTGCAGGTCATTCACTAGGTCCCCCCGTGTGGTTCTGGGATTTTTGCTCACCGTTCTTGTGATCATTTTGACCCCACGGGGTGAGATCTTGCGTGGAGCCCCAGATCGAGGGAGATTATCAGTGGTCTTGTATGTCTTCCATTTCCTAATAATTGCTCCCACAGTTGATTTCTTCAAACCAAGCTGCTTACCTATTGCAGATTCAGTCTTCCCAGCCTGGTGCAGGTCTACAATTTGGTTTCTGGTGTCCTTTGACAGCTCTTTGGTCTTGGCCATAGTGGAGTTTGGAGTGTGACTGTTTGAGGTTGTGGACAGGTGTCTTTTATACTGATAACAAGTTCAAACAGGTGCCATTAATACAGGTAACGAGTGGAGGACAGAGGAGCCTCTTAAAGAAGAAGTTACAGGTCTGTGAGAGCCAGAAATCTTGCTTGTTTGTAGGTGACCAAATACTTATTTTCCACCATAATTTGCAAATAAATTCATAAAAAATCCTACAATGTGATTTTCTGGATTTTTTTTCTCTCAATTTGTCTGTCATAGGTGACGTGTACCTATGATGAAAATTACAGGCCTCTCTCATCTTAAGTGGGAGAACTTGCACAATTGGTGGCTGACTAAATACTTTTTTCCCCCACTGTATAGGCCTATACGTATGCATAAGCTCCAATATGCATATGGTGTTTTGAATTAATCAATCACCTTAGAAAGCGCTGTCCATTTCATTGTGTTAGGCTTTGAAACAACATCCACAATGACCATGTTTTCCACTCAGTTTCAACCTGTTGTTGAACTTCTTTCTTCAAATTGATCAAATCACAGTGAGGCGAGTTTTAAAAAGCACATACTGTTTTGATGATAAGTGTTTAATGTAGGGCTGTCCCCAACTAAAAAAATCTTGGTTGACCGAGAGTACTCTTTTCTTTCTTTCAACCAATCGATTGGTCAAAAAATTGAAATGTGTATTTTTCCCATATACAGTGATGGAAAAAAGTATTTGATCCCCTGCTGATTTTGTACATTTGCCCACTGACAAAGAAATGATCAGTCTATAATTTTAACGGTAGGTTTAATTGAACAGTGAGAGACAGAATGACAACAACAAAAATCCAGAAAAACACATGTCAAAAATTTTATAAATTGATTTGCATTTTAAATGAGGGAAATAAGTATTTGATCCCCTCTCAATCAGAAAGATTTCTGGCTCCCAAGTGTCTTTTATACAGGTAACGAGCTGAGATTAGGAGCACACTCTTAAAGGGAATGCTCCTAATCTCAGTTTGTTACCTGTATAAAAGACACCTGTCCACAGAAGCAATCAATCAGATTCCAAACTCTCAACCATGGCCAAGACCAAAGAGCTCTCCAAGGATGTCAGGGACAAGATTGTAGACCTACACAAGGCTGGAATGGGCTACAAGACCATCGCCAAGCAGCTTGGTGAGAAGGTGACAACAGTTGGTGCGATTATTCGCAAATGGAAGAAACACAAAATAACTGTCAATCTTCCTCGGCCTGGGGCTCCATGCAAGATCTCACCTCGTGGAATTGCAATGATCATGAGAACGGTGAGGAATCAGCCCAGAACTACACGGGAGGATCTTGTCAATGATCTCAAGGCAGCTGGGACCATAGTCACCAAGAAAACAATTGGTAACACACTACACCGTGAAGGACTGAAATACTGCAGCGCCTGCAAGGTCCCCCTGCTCAAGAAAGCACATATGCAGGGCCATCTGAAGTTTGCCAATGAACATCTGAATGATTCAGAGGAGAACTGGGTGAAAGTCTTGTGGTCAGATGAGACCAAAATCGAGCTCTATGGCATCAACTCAACTCGCCATGTTTGGAGGAGGAGGAATGCTGCCTATGACCCCAAGAACACCATCCCCACCGTCAAACATGGAGGTGGAAACATTATGCTTTGGGGGTGTTTTTCTGCTAAGGGGACAGGACAACTTCACCGCATCAAAGGGACGATGGACGGGGCCATGTACCGTCAAATCTTGGGTGAGAACCTCCTTCCGTCAGCCAGGGCATTGAAAATGGGTTGTGGATGGCTATTCCAGCATGACAATGACCCAAAACACACGGCCAAGGCAACAAAGGAGTGGCTCAAGAAGAAGCATATTAAGGTCCTGGAGTGGCCTAGCCAGTCTCCAGACCTTAATCCCATAGAAAATCTGTGGAGGGAGCTGAAGGTTCGAGTTGCCAAACGTCAGGCTCGAAACCTTAATGACTTGGAGAAAATCTGCAAAGAGGAGTGGGACAAAATCCCTCCTACAAGAAACATCTGACCTCTGTAATTGCCAACAAGGGTTTTGCCAGCAAGGACTAAGTCATGTTTTGCAGAGGGGTCAAATACTTATTTCCCTCATTAAATTGCAAATCAATTTATAACATTTTTGACATGCGTTTTTCTGGATTTTGTTGTTGTTATTCTGTCTCTCACTGTTCAAATAAACCTACCATTAAAATTATAGATTGATCATTTCTTTGTCAGTGGGCAAACGTACAAAATCAGCAGGGGATCAAATACTTTTTTCCCTCACTGTATACATGCCCGTCTGAAGTTTGCCAATGAACATCTGAATGATTCAGAGGAGAACTGGGTGCAAGTGTTGTGGTCAGATGAGACAAAAATCGAGCTCTTTGGCATCAACTCAACTCGCCATGTTTGGAGGAGGAGGAATGCTGCCTATGACCCCAAGAACACCATCCCCACCGTCAAACATGGAGGTGGAAACATTATGCTTTGAGGGTGTTTTTCTGCTAAGGCGACAGGACAACTTCACCGCATCAAAGGGACGATGGACGGGGCCATGTACCGTCAAATCTTGGGTGAGAACCTCCTTCCCTCAGCCAGGGCATTGAAAATGGGTCGTGGATGGGTATTCCAGCATGACAATGACCCAAAACACACGGCCAAGGCAACAAAGGAGTGGCTCAAGAAAAGCACATTAAGGTCCTGGAGTGGCCTAGCCAGTCTCCAGACCTTAATCCCATAGAAAATATGAGGAGGGAGCTGAAGGTTCGAGTTGCCAAACGTCAGCCTCGAAAGCTTAATGACTTGGAGAAGATCTGCAAAGAGGAGTGGGACAAAATCCCTCCTTTATGTGTGCAAACCTGGTGGCCAACTACAAGAAACGTCTGACCTCTGTGAATGCCAACAAGGGTTTTGCCACCAAGTACTAAGTCATGTTTTGCAGAGGGGTCAAATACTTATTTCCCTCATTAAAATGCAAATCAATTCATAACATTTTTGACATGCGTTTTTCTGGATTTTTTTGTTGTTATTCTGTCTCTCACTGTTCAAATAAACCTACCATTAAAATTATAGACTGATCATGTCTTTGTCAGTGGGCAAACATACAAAATTAGCAGGGGATCAAATACTTTTTTCCCCTCACTGTGTATATATATATATATATATATTTATTACAGTTGAAGTCGGAAGTTTACATACACTTAGGTTGGAGTCATTAAAACTCATTTTTCAACCACTCCACAAATTTCTTGTTTATTGTTAACAAACTATAGTTTTGGCAAGTCGGTTAGGACATCTACTTTGTGCATGACACAAGTCATTTTTCCAACAATTGTTTACAGACAGATTATTTCACTTATAATTCACTGTATCACAATTCCAGTGGGTCAAAAGTTTACATACACTAAGTTGACTGTGCCTTTAAACAGCTTGGAAAATTCAAGAAAATGATGTCATGGCTTTAGAAGCTTCTGATAGGCTAATTGACATCATTTGAGTCAATTGGAGGTGTACCTGTGGATGTATTTCAAGGCCTACCTTCAAACTCAGTGCCTCTTTGTTTGACATCATGGGAAAATCAAAAGAAATCAGCCAAGACCTCAGAAAAACAATTGTAGACCTCCACAAGTCTGGTTCATCCTTGGGAGCAATTTCCAAACGCCTGAAGGTACCACGTTCATCTGTACAAACAATAGTCCGCAAGTATAAACACCATGGGACCACGCAGCCGTCATACCGCTCAGGAAGGAGACGCGTTCTGTCTCCTAGAGATTAACGTACTTTGGTGCGAAAAGTGCAAATCAATTCCAGAACAGCAAAGGACCTTGTGAAGATGCTGGAGGAAACAGGTACAAAAGTATCTATATCCACAGTAAAACAAGTCCTATATCGACATAACCTGAAAGGCCACTCAGCAAGGAAGAAGCCACTGCTCCAAAACCACCATAAAAAAGCCAGACTACGGTTTGCAACTGCACATGGGGACAAAGATCGTACTTTTTGGAGAAATGTCCTCTGGTCTGATGAAACAAAAATAGAACTGTTTGGCCATAATGACCATTGTTATGTTTGGAGGAAAAAGGGGGTTGTTTGCAAGCTGAAGAACACCATCCCAACCATGAAGCACATAGGTGGCAGCATCATGTTGTGGGGGTGCTTTGCTGCAGGAGGGACTGGTGCACTTCACAAGATAGATGGCATCACGAGGAATGAAAATTATGTGGATATATTGAAGCAACATCTCAAGACATCAGTCAGGAAGTTAAAGCTTGGTCACCAATGGGTCTTCCAAATGGACAATGACCCCAAGCATACTTCCAAAGTTGTGGCAAAATGACTTAAGGATAACAAAGCCAAGGTATTGGAGTGGCCATCACAAAGCCCTGACCTCAACCCTATAGAAAATGTGTGGGCAGAACTGAAAACGCGTGTGCGAGCAAGGAGGCCTACAATCCTGACTCAGTTCCACCAGCTCTGTCAGGAGGAATGGGCCAAAATTCACCCAACTTATTGTGGGAAGCTTGTGGAAGGCTACCCGAAACGTTTGACCCAAGTTAAACAATTTAAAGGCAATGCTACCAAATACTAATTGAGTGTATGTAACCTTCTGACCCACTGGGAATGTGATGAAATAAATAAAAGCTGAAATAAAATCACTCTACTATTATTCTGACATTTCACATTCTGAAAATGATGTGGTGATCCTAACTGACCTAAAGCACTGCATTTTTACTAGGATTAAATGTCAGGAATTGTGAAAAACAGAGTTTAAATGTATTTGGCTGAGGTGTATGTAAACTTCCGACTTCAACTGTATATAATACATACATACATACATACATACATACACACATAGAGCTTGTCTGATGCTTTAAGCTCACTGTTTGATGAAATAAGACAATTACTGAAGAGGGCGCTTACTGGCTTTCGCAGATTCTGCCGTTACACTCCTGAAGTTGCCGGTAATAGGCTACACGAAGAGTCTGCAAACTTTCTCATGTGGAATGCCAATTTATCTTACCATTTCTACCGATCTGCGTGCCAGTGGTGGTTTTTAGATGCACATTTTTGTGGAACAGTTTCATTTATAGTAACGTCTTCGTATATCATTGTCATGTGGTTAATCAATATTCTATCCAAACGTAAAAAGTAACTTCTATTGCCAATGCCAACTATGTAAAAATAGCCTATAAAGCCAACAAATAAAAACATTGCAGCCTGCAGGTAGAAAATATCCTGATAAAAATAAATATTACTACTCATGGCCTGTCTGAAACTAACTTTAAACATTGTATCAACTATGCCTGAAGCTCCTCGCAACATTGTATAAAATATTCTGGGCCCTCAGAGTTTACCGAGCCAGTGAGCTCGAGACAGACACAGCTGTAGGCTGGCTATTTGCGCAAGGGATAAGTAGTAATCAGGTAGGCCTATTTTATGACGTTTCCACTGGGTCAGAGCATGACATTTTCCCTTTCACGCTGAATGGTTATCGAAAGGGAGAAAGCAGGAAAGACTTTTCAAATACTTTGAGTTGTCATTCTCAATGGATGTAAAAACAGACTTCCTTTGCTTGCTGTTTGAGGTGAAGAAAACATTACTTTGAGAAGCCCCACAGCTCATTAGTGGTGGTGCATTAAGCCAATCACAAATATTATCAGATCCCCAAATGGGCACATTTATATATGCCTACATTTGCGCGCAGGCCAGGTAGCCTATGGCCTACTTCTATGAGTAATCAGGTGCGTGTCCTTACTCAACATTGACAGGAGCGCTCCAAACAAAAGACAAATTGACAAAACTCTTAAATGGAATGAAATAAAACAAAACTTGTTTCTCAGAAGTGTATTCACATCGACAGGGCTGTAGTGGAGCGGGTCGTGAGTTAAGTTCCTTGGTGTCCACATAACCAAACTATCATGGTCCAAACACACCAAGACAGTCGTGAAGAGGGCACGACAACACCTTTTCATTTACATTTACATTTTAGTCATTTAGCAGACGCTCTTATCCAGAGCGACTTACAGTTAGTGAATACATATATATATATTTTTTTTATACTGGCCCCCCGTGGGAATTGAACCCACAACCCTAGCATTGCAAACGCCATGCTCTATCAACTGAGCTACATCCCTGCCGGCCATTCCCTCCCCTACCCTGGACGACGCTGGGCCAATTGCGCGCCGCCCATGAGTCTCCCGGTCGCGGCCGGCTGTGACAGAGCCTGGATTCGAACCAGGATCTCTAGTGGCACAGTTAGCACTGCGATGCAGTGCCTTAGACCACTGCGCCACTCAGGAGACTGAAAAGATTTGGCATGGGTCCCCAAATCCTCAAAAAGTTATACAGCTGCATCATCAAGAGCATCCTGACCGGTTGCATCATCGCCTGGTATGGCAACTGCTCGGCATCCGACCGTAAGGCGCTACAGAGGGTAGTGTGTACAGCCCAGTACATCACTGGGGCCAAGCTTCCTGCCATCCAGGACCTATATACTAGACGGTGTTAGAGGAAGGCCCAAAGAATTGTCAAAGACGCCAGTCACCCAAGTCAGACTGTTCTCTCTGCTACCGCATGGCAAGCGGTACCGTAGTGCCAAGTCTATGTCCAAAAGGCTCCTTAACAGCTTCTACCCCCAAGACATAAGACTGCTGAACAATTAATCAAATGGCTACCCAGACTATTTACATTGACGACCCCACCCCTTTGTTTTTACACTGCTGCTACTCGCTGTTTATTATCTATGCATAGTCACTTTACCCCTACCTACATGTACAAATTACCTCGACTAACCTGTACCCCCGCACATTGACTCTGTACCGGGACCCCCTGTATATAGCCTCGGTATTGTTATTTTATTGTCTTACTTTTTATTTTATTTTTTACTTTAGTTTATTTAGTCAATATTTTCTTAACTCTATTTCTTGAACTGCATTGTTGGTTAAGGGCTTGTAAGTAAGCATTTCACAGTAAGGCCTACACCTATTGTATTCGGCGTATGTGACAAATAAAATGTGATTTGATTTGTAGCGTAGGTTGTGCACTCTGCAAACAATGTGTCCATTCCGACAATGATAACGGTAAAAGACTGAAATCCTTTATTGAATACAATAACAAACATTACCGTAACCAAACAAACATTGTAGATAAGAAATTATAGGAATTAACGGTAAATGTACTACTGGTGATATATGTAATGGGGAATTGATTGACACTAATAATCAAATTCACACAATTAATTTATGAAACAATGAATGTGCACAAATTGGCAGGAGAGCGCGCATGCTGGAGAGAGACGTGCATTGTGCAGCCACACTCCCCTTCTTCTTGGACTGTGCCATCCCCGCGGCCTTCCGCAATCACTGAGATGGGCATATCGTTTGCCATAGATGTATTTATCTATCTATCTATATGCTACTGCTCGACTAAAAATTAATATTGGTCTACCAACAGCCTATCGACCAGTCGAATAATTGGGGTCAGCCCTAGTTTTATGTGATTTTTGAATGCATTTGCATTGATGTCAGAGTGGTTAGAGGGACAATAGAGCCCTGAGTTCCAGGCCATTAATGACCTGATGATCGTTAGCGAGTTGGGTGCTACTAACACAATGCCAGACTGCATAGGAGGAGATTACTGTGACTCAACGGTCACGTAGAATTTTACTGCAGTCATGACTCATGACTGCCGGTGTGGCAGTAATACAGTCACCGCAACAGCCCTAGACAGGACCTAGAATACTGTTGGGGTGATATAAGTGGCAATAAAGGTGACATCGCATAATTCTAAACTACTAAAGGTGGCTTTAGTCCGGTAACTTTCCCAAAATTCGGAGGTTTTCCAGAAGTCCCGGTTGGAATATTCCTTGAATCAGTAGGGAATAAGCTTGTAATCCGGGAATTCTCTAACTGGGATTTCTTGAAAACGTGGGAATTTGGGGAAAGTTACCAGACTTTTGCAACCCTAAAAGGTAAGAAAGTTGTGTGTGTGTCGTGTGGTACCTTCAGACTGTCCAGGAGCACAGTGGAGGAGTCTTCCATGGGCAACTCCTGGGCGGCCCAGGAGCTACTGGGGGCGTTCCCCTGGTGCCAGCTGTTCTCAGGGGTTCGGTGGTCTGAAGAGGACGACGCAGCAGGCAGGTAGTCCAAACCAAACCCACTCACAGCTACTGGACAAAAACAGAGGTTTTCATTATAAATTATAAACGACATGACTTAAGAATAACTTCACAAAATGTCTAGAAAAGTCTAAATTGTTATACGAAACATGACATTCATTACATATATCAGTGGGTATAAGAGGTAGAGGGATAAAATGTATACATTTAGATTCCAGAGGTTGACTTACCCGTCTTTTCTACCTTCCAGCGGTCGACCATCCTCCTGTCTCTGCTGTCGGGTGTTCCTATGGGGCCGAAGTTAGAGAAGGGGACGGAGCCATGGTTGTGCGTGGGTGGAGAAGAGGGTAAACTGCTTGGGTTGGAAGAGTGGGGGGACTGGCTTGCTGGTGTAGAGTGGTCTGTTATGGAAATGGAGAAATATAATAATGTAATTATAATCTAATAAAAGTACAGTGATCCCTCGCCACTTCGCGGTTCACTTATCGCGGATTCGCTATTTCGCGGATTTTCATAATGCATTTTTTTTTTTTTGGTGCATTGTGCTCTGCATTCTGATTCGCTAAAAACTCACTCCCGCTTCTTGTATCAAAACATGCTACGAATTGTGCTATCATTTTGTCGTCTCGTGCAGTTATGTGTACGTACATAAAACAGCTTGGCAAATTTACATTAAGTTGGCCAAATTATCTTGTAATTTCGAACATCTCCTAAACCCATAATGTCGACGAAACGGCCTGGACCGACAAAAGCACCTGCGGATGGGCCCAAACGGCGGAAGATGCTACCTATCTCAGATAAAGTTAAACTTCTGGACATGCTAAGGGAAGGTAAAAGCTATGCAGCCGTGAGGAATGGGACCCTTTGATGAGCCGTTCATTACAGTTCTCCAACGTAATCGATGGTGGCATGTCGGTGTACAAGGATCTTTTTGCAAAGAAGAAAAAAGAGCGACAACAGCTGCCTATCACTATGTTCTTCTCCCGAACAAACACACCTGCACCGCGGGCTTCAGAAGAAGAGAACACTGCAGAGCGCAGTCAGGATGCAGCGGCCCAGTCTGAAGAGCAGTGAAACGGCCTACACGTGAGTCACTGTATTTGTATACATGTAATAGTTGCTAATTGTAAAAAAAAAAAGTTTTCTATTTCGCGGATTTCACTTATCGCGGGTCATTTTCGGAACGTAACCCCCGCGATAAACGAGGGATTACTGTACATGCAAATATGTCTTAATTTCTAACGGATAATTTCTGCCTTTATGAAATGTTTTTCAATACGATTATATTGAAATATCGACCCTTTCAGATGCTAGGCGTGTTATTTAACACTAACAGGGGTACTGTTGTGATGTTTATGGACAGCTTGGTGTGAAAAGTGGGGAAGAAGAGAGCGGAGGCAGGTACCTGAGCTGGCGGGGAGGGACGGGGACCATGGAGTTCCTTCAAACAGGGAGTAGAGAGAAGGTTCCTGGTGAAGCATGGGAGCATCAGGCTTGGGGTTGGGAGCCATGTTCTTCCCATAGGCCTGGCTGAAAATGCTGTTGTTTTGATAGGAACTCTCCTAAACCAAGAAAAACAACATACACAATTAGGCCTTTGTCATACGATCAAAATGCCAGTCATACATACCCCTTTAGTTATCAACATTAAACATGGCATTTAAAACCCAACTGGTATTAAAGAGCAAACATCCTTAAAGAAGCTCAGTGAGACTACAGTAACAAATCTGGCTCACAGTGACCTTAAACTACTGCCTGTGAGATGCTGCAGACATTTTCCTTTCCACACACAAACAGAAGTCAAAACAAGTCTGGAGGCAGGGCAGAGATTTTCCCATGCATACATACAGACCTGAATTGGGAACCCAGATAAGGGCATGAGAGAAGACGACTGGCCCATCACCTCAGAGCCACTCTCCATTCTTGACTGATTTGGCAACTACAGGAGAGAGTTGGGGAAAACAGTTACAGTATTAACTAATACTTCTGATAAATGTCATTGATTCCATCAGCACATTCTCCCTAGTCGACGCTGCAGGAGTTTGTATGTTTGCTATTAATACTGATAGGGTTGCAATTTACACAATATGTTGGAAAATGTATAATGTAATCCCAGTTAAAGTATGTTCAACCTGATTATGTCCAAAAATGTATGTTTCTCATTGTGGACAATGTAGGCATGCCTACAACATTTTACAGGAATCATGCATTGCAACATTCACAACATTTAGCTTAATCTTCCAAATGCACAGTACTGGGTCCACTTCTGTTAACATAGAATAAGGAACAAAACCACACAATCATATCAACACTAGCCTGGAAAAATATACGTACACATTCTGAACTCTTATTTAACATGTTAGCCTTACAGTATTTAAATGAGCCATATCCTTACCACTCAAGTATTCTACTCACGTCACAGACAATGCTGCTTAAAACTAGTTGTGAAGGTGAATCTGGCCTGTATTCATAAAGCGTCTCATAGGAGTGCTGACCTCGAATCAGGCCCCCCCCGTCCATGTTATCTTATTCATTATGTTCTAAAACTGATCCTAGATCAGCAGGCTTTATGAATACGTGTCCTGATGTTTAACATGCTGGTTAAGCCAGGGGGATTACGTTAAGAGAAGTAAACTACATACAAATATATTTCGTCCTGGAGCAGTGCTAAGAGGGCCAGCCAAGGCCTGGTAGAAACCATGAGGCTTAGTAAAGGCCAGCTCTTCCTCCTCCTCAAAATCTGATATACTTTTTAACAGGTCTGGAGGCAGAAGAGGGGAGCTCTTGTCCTAGTGAGAGAATGAAGCAAAAAGGATGGAAGGAAAAAAGAAAGAAACAGAAAAGGTAAGCCAGTAAGAAATAGGTTGGTAAAGAGGTAAGTTATCCAAAGATGCGGCGAAGCCAGTAAAGGTAGTAAAAAGATAGGCCTAGTATTCCAAAGATACAGAAATACTTTACACCAAGCCCTGTCCTCACGCTGGGTTGGTGAGTAATTTAACCAAAGGCATTATTGTGCCATATAAGCCCATACATTGGAGTTGTTCAAGCATAACAACAAGCATAACAATTTGACACCAATACAAGATGCTGGAGATTGATCATCCAACCAGATAGTACTTCAACATTGAAATTCCTTCCTAGTCAAGTCGACCACCTTAGAAAAATGAAAACATGAGGCCAAAACAGAAGTGGGAGGAACCTGCAAGCATTATGTAATACACTCCATAAGAACAACATGGCTCCCAATCAGTTGCTCAAACAAACAATTATGGTCAGTCCAATACCAGATCTTTAAATCCAAATGCTGGATATATTTCCTGTGGGTCCAGGACTGAATTTCCAAAGCCTACGCCAGGCCAATAACAAGTCCAGCGAGACCCAATGGACTTAAATCCAACATTTAGTGTTGAGTAGGCTAATGTACCATTCAGCATAGGCATCATATAGCCTAATATGCATCCTCTCACCACTTTGTTACAAGAACAGTTACACAATCCATATACCAAATTGTAAACACACTAAAGACGTGTTAGGAACAGAAACAAGAAAAGGAAACATAAAATAGGTTTCCATCCAATTGGCGACAGATTTTCATGCAAATATTCTAAAATCCGCATTAAACCCAATATGCGCATTTTCCCACCAGAGATGTGTTTCCATCAAATTGACTTGTTGAGGATAAAATGTTGTGCGTGATGACGTAGAGCACATAAAAATACCTTTTATGGTTAAATTCCCATGTACAGAATAAGAAATACAAGTTAAACGAGTTTCCACTGCATTTCAACTCTACTGATGGTTTTCGCACAACAAATGTTGCGTTACATAGCAAGTGTGCCCACTCTGGTATTGGCAAGTGCGCTCTAGCCAACAGCTGGCAGATACAGTGAAGGAAGGCCTATAGCCTACATGATGAGATTATTATGAACAAAAGAGCAAGATTATTTGTATGTCAAACGGCAGCCAAACAAGCATCAATGATCATGTCACCAGAATAAGACCCTCGATATACAGCTGTAGAAAAAATTAAGAGACCACTGCACATTTTTCTTAAATCAGCATCTCTACATGTATGACAGCTATTCCATTCCAGTGTCTGTTGAATTCCAACACAGGCACACCTCATTCTACTGAATTAGGTACTGATTAGGTGATCACCTGAACTAAATGTTATTTAACGAGGAAAAGTATAAAAACCACTGCTGTGGTCATCACTATCCTCTTGCAATAGGACCAGCTGGATGGCAAAATGCTAATAGTACCTCAAAAGTAATATTAATCAAAAAATAACTATTGACCATGCCAAAAGAGTTGAAAAGGAAAGTCAATTCTGGCTTTACTGGCAGAGGGATACAGTGAGCGTCAGGTTGCTTCCATCCTTAAAATTTCAAAGACGGCGGTTCATAAGAACAAGGTCAAGCAGCAGACATTGGGGACAACAAAGCTACAGACCGGCAGAAGGCGAAAACGACTTTCTACTGACTGGGATGACCGCCAACTCATTCCAATGTCACTCAACAACCCTAGGATGACATCAAGTGACCTACAAAAAGAATGGCAAACGGCAGCTGGGGTGAAGTGCACGGCGAGGACGGTTTGAAACAGGCTCCTAGGGGCAGGGCTGAAGTCGTGCAAAGCTAGAAAAAAGCCCTTCATCAATGAGAAGCAAAGAAGAGCCAGGCTGAGGTTTGCAAAAGACCATAAGGATTGGACCATAGAGGACTGGAGTAAGGTCATCTTCTCTGATGAGTCCAATTTTCAGCTTTGCCCAACACCTGGTCGTCTAATGGTTAGACGGAGACCTGGAGAGGCCTACAAGCCACAGTGTCTCGCACCCACTGTGAAATTTGGTGGAGGATCGGTGATGATCTGGGGTTGCTTCAGCAAGGCTGGAATCGGGCAGATTTGTTTTTGTGAAGGACGCATGAATCAAGCCACGTACAAGGTTGTCCTGGAAGAAAACTTGCTTCCTTTTGCTCTGACATTGTTCCCCAACTCTGATGATTGGTTTTTCCAGCAGGACAATGCGCAATGCCACACAGCCAGGTCAATCAAGGTGTGGATGGAGGACCACCAGATCAAGACCCTGTCATGGCCAGCCCAATCTCCAGACCTGAACCCCATTGAAAACTTCTGGAATGTGATCAAGAGGAAGATGGATGGTCACAAGCCATCAAACAAAGCCGAGCTGCTTGAATATTTGAGCCAGGAGTTGCATAAAGTCACCCAACATCAATGTGAAAGACTGGTGGAGAGCATGCCAAGACGCATGAAAGCTGTGATTGAAAATCTGGGTTATTCCACCAAATATTGATTTCTGAACTCTTCCTAAGTTAAAACATTAGTATTGTGTTGTTTAAAAATGAACATGAACTTATTTTCTTTGCATTATTCGAGGTCTGACAACACTGCAACTTTTATGTTATTTGGACCAGTTGTCATTTTCTGCAAATAAATGCTCTAAATGACAATATTTTATTTGGAATTTGGGAGAAATGTTGTCAGTAGTTTATAGAATAAAACTTTAATGTTATTTTTGCCCAAACACATACCTATAAATAGTAAAACCAGAGAAACTGATCATTTTGCAGTGGTCTCTTACTTTTTTCCAGAGCTGTATATTGGAAAAGAGCATCAAGCTCATCACCTTGCACTTTCACCACACTGTGAAGTACATCATAACTTATTTCTAGCCTTATCTGTAGCCTAATAAACTGCATGCTTTCCCGACATAGTGGGAGGACCACGTCATCATCTGACTCCAAGTTTACGTCGATATTATTATTATTATTTCAAAATGTGCACATAAAAGCATTTCTCGCATAATTAATTTTAACAGCGTATTTAGTTTTGTCGACATTTGGAAAGTTTACCGACAAATGTTCTGTTTCCATCAGGCCGGTCATGACTTTTTTAATCCGACATACTTTACTCAATAAAAAGGTTGGATGGAAACTGGTTATAGAAAATAAAGCGTATAAGAACAACCCTATTCGACAACCCTTCCTTCTCTTCTCCTTAAAACACTCCATTCCCTAATTTGCAGCGCTTTGTCCCAAATGGCACCCGGTCAAAAGTAGTGCACTAAATAAAGAATGGAGTGCCATTTGGTATGCAATTTAGGTCTAGGTGGTTGAGGAGTTCACCAAAACTCACCTCAAAGGGAGGCCCTCTAGGTGCGTTGTCCTGGTCTTGGTGGAAGGCCCCGGGGGGCGGCCGCTTGCCCATCCTCTCCCCCACTATCTGTCTGCTATCCCCCATGCGGTAGGAAGGCTCCCAGTAAAAATCCTGCATTTTCACATCCGGGTACTTCATCTTCTTGTCCATGCTGTTCTGCTGTTGCTGCTGGGGCACCGTCTGCATGGCATACGGCTGCTGCTCAAAGAGCTTGAGGGGGTCCTGGGCGCTTCCCATGTAGTAGGGCTGCTTGACAGGCATCTGCATGGCCTGCATCTTCTGCATGGTGGGCTGGGTCTGGTGCTGCTGGGTCTGGTGCTGCTGGGCCTGGTGCTGCTGGGCCTGGTGCTGGCCCCACATCTGTCCAGCCTGATCTACCTGCATGTACTGTTGGTCAGGAGGAAAACAGTACACTTGTCATACATTTTCCCCTGCAGCACAAAAACAGTCTATGCAGGAAAAACATGACGCTCGTCATACATTTCAAGTTGCAACGCAAAACATTAAAGCTGCCTCTAACGGACAAGCTCATTCATTCCAGCAGAATACAATATCATTCCTGTAAATAACAATTTTGGCTCTCAACAGACTGGACTGATGTTATCTATTAGTTCCTTACCAGCCCAGAACCATTGTGATCTATAAATGTACCTGCTGCATCCCAGGATGGTGAGGTGGGCTTTTGCCCTGCTGTCCTGGCTGCACAGGCTTGGTGGGCGACTGCTGCTGTTGGACAAGAGCCTGGACCTGGAGCTGCACCTGCTGCATGGCCTGCTGGGCCTGGGAAGGCTGTTGCTGGGGCTGGCCCTGGGGGGGCCCCTGGTTCATGGCCCCCGGCACTGACGGCCTCTGCTGGCTGTATGGAATGTGTGACGGCTTCCCAGCCTGAACCTGCACCTGCTGGATGCCATGAAAAATACATTATTCATTTTTCTTATGCTGTAGTTTTTTGGGTTCCAAGCACATTTGTATTTGTTTACACAAGAGGATCAGGTGGTGTTTTCCCAAATTAAACATAGTCCTGGACTAAAAGGCCTTTTCAATGGAGATTCTCCATTAAAAGTCCTTTTAAATCCAGGATTAAGCTTAAACTGTGTCCTGTATTCTGGACCTTAGAGTTGAGCACGTCTCCCTTTACCTGCTGGGCACCGGGCTGCTGAGGGTGGGAGGACGACTGCAGGAACGGCCCGGGGACAGACATTCCCGTAGAGAAGGTGAAGCCGGGGTTCATGGAGAACGCCACGGGAGGAGGGATCACATAGGCCGGAGGGGGGAAACCTGGAAAGATCAAGTTCATTTAATTAATTCACATGGCAGAATACAATTGAACTGCGAACAGTTTACAAATAAAACAGAAGGTTATTCGCTACTCTCAGATCCCAAAAATATTTTACGTGTGAAACTGTTCAATCTAGGCACTGTGATCACTGTGAGAGGTGGCGCTGGTACCTGGTCGGCTGGGCAGGGGAGGGAAGGCTCCCGGGTGGTGGATAGGGATGAACTGGGAGGAGCAGGTAGTCTGGGTCTGAGTGACTGGAGTCTTCCTGGCCTCAGACACTGGCGTCTTCCTCATCTCCGGCTGGGCTTTCACCTGCACAAAGACACACAAACTCAGTAAGGTAGTTAAGCCTTCAACCACAGTAAACATGTCTGCATCCCATAGGGCTCTGGTCAAAAGTAATACACTATATTGGGAATAGGGTGCAATTTGGGACACATACATACAATCACAGGATATATCCCAACTTAAAGAAAAACAATGCATTTGTTTGACCTGTTTCCCTGCGTCTGTAGCTTTCTCATGGCTGTTCTTCTTCACCTCACTCTTCCTCTTGCCATCCCGCTTCTGCTCTCCTTTTCCCGGCGCGCCGTTGCCTTTGCCGAACTCCCTCCGTTCCTTCCCTGCCTCCTTCTGGTGGTGGATGCGGCTGGGATCCCTGCTCTGCTCCCGGGGCTTGATGTTCTCCTTGAAGGTCACCACGGGCCTCTCGCCGATCTCCAACACGCTGTTCTGGGTCTTGCCGATGGACAGGACTGACTTCAAGCCCATGTTGCCCTCGTTGGGGGTCTGCTCTCCATTGGAGGACTCCTGGAGCACAGGGGCATCCTTCTCTTGGGGCTCTTCGATGGCCAGTTCCTCAATGTCGGTGACGAACAGCAGCAGGCCGTCGCTGACTTTGTACTGAATCAGCCTGAAACACACAGATTACTTTATTGTCCAATGTACATGGGAGTCCAACGTAAACACAGGCCTTGTAAAATACTGTTGCATCTTTTAAAAGTACGCAATTATTCGAAGATGGAAACTACTTTTATATTGTCTATATGGATGTGGTAGTTCATAATAAGTCTTTAAAACAGTAGTGGGTAGAGAGAGGAAGACTCACCCTGGCTGGTTGTCTGCCACCCATTTCCCCAGGCTGATGAGCCTCTGGTGACGGGCACGGACTGGCAGACCCTCCTTGTCCACAGCAACACCCTGGTGGCCTTTAGTGAAGTCAAGGGTCCTGGAAAAGGAGTACACCAAAACAGACCAGGGTTAATACAAGAAAACGTGGAACATGGTATGCACACAACCCCACATTCTATATGGAAGAGAGGCTGAGACAAAAGGGTATGTAGTGTATGTACCGTAGAGCTGGTCTGAGAGCCAAAAACCCCTGCAGTTCAAACTCCTCTGGAAGTGGAGTCACTGGAAGAGAGGTAAGGGACATTAGAGACAATCAACAAAATGTGAGAAAATGTGCGTATCAAAAGCAGAGATATCGAATGGCCATTACCTGATGCACAGGAAACATCATCTTCCTTCGGTTGGAAACTGTTCAGAATAGACACCAGCCAAGGCCAAACACTAAGGTGAAATAAGAGCAAAATCTTGTTTAACTAAATGCAGACATTCCAAAACCACATTCAAAAGTATTACTGCTATTGCTAAGATCTAAAAGAAAGAGTCCAAAACGAGTAAACAATACAATATGCTACAATATCAGACAGGCAGAATGTATCTAACTAAACACCTAGAGGGCAAACAGTGACATTGAAAGAGAAAAGATACACATACTACTGTCGTCTGTCCACGGCACCGTCCTGAAAAACGGTTGGTCGTAGTTTGAGCCAGTCCAGGGACACCTTGATGGCCGGCAATGGACATTCTCCCATGATCTCCTCTCCTCGGTTCTTGTTCAGCAGTGCCCGGCTACACATGACACCCAGAAATGACACTGTGGGAAAGGAAGATTAAACACCACATTAAAACACCACCACCAACAACCTGGCTCCTTGAATAATTCCAATTCCACAGAGAGTGAGGTCGAGAAAAGAGTTAGAGGTAATCTTACTAGTGGGGCCGTGAGAAAGCACCCTGCAGTTGACACAGTTAAATCTAAGATGGATGTTATCAAATCAGTTATCCGTACTTCCAGATTATAAAATAAAGCAAGTAAAACTCCAAATCTAAAAACAGCAGCTGCATAACCACAAACAGGCATGTCATTCACAAGGTAAGTTGTCTCGTGCATATTGAGAGACAATTGGAGTTGGGGGACATACTGAAGAGGCCGAGAAGTTGGAACCAGCCGATTTGCTCCTCGGAGCTGAAGGTCTGGTCGTCTGCTTCGTTGCCGAAGTCCCTCAGATGGTGCAGCTCAAACATGTTGATAATTGTGATGTGGACCAGCTGCTGGGAGCTGAAGGCTTTCTGCAGAATCAGCCTCTGCAAAAAAAAACAATGGTGTTATATATGGAATTGGGGTAGCTTCAGACATCTTTGGGCAGTTTCCTGGACAAAGATTAAGCCCTGAACTAAAAAGTACTTGCAAAGTAGATTCTCCATTGAGAATATTTTTAAGTCCAGGACTAGGCTCAATCAGTGTCTGGGAAACCGGCCCATAGCTTGTTTAGTGCAGTAATGCAAAGACTTTCATAGAAGAGGTACATATCTCTACTTATGGTAGAGAAATAAACATTTAATTCTCTGGCAACAGATCTGGTGGACATTCCTGCAGTCAACATGCCAATTGCGCACTCCCTCAAAACGTGAGACATCTGTGGTGTTGTGTGACAGAACTGTACATTTTTGAGTGGCCTTTTGTTGCCCCCAGCACAAGGTGCACCTGTGTAATGATAATGCTGTTTAATCAGCTTCTTGATATGCCATACCTGTCAGGTGGATGGATTATCTTGGCAAATGAGAAATGCTCACTAACAGGGATGTATACAAATTTGTGCATATTAATTTTTTGAAATAAGCTTTTGTGCGTATGGAAAACTTCTGGGATCTTCTATTTCAGCTCATGAAATGTGGGACCAGCACTTATTGCGTTTATTTTTTGTTCAGTGTACATGTGGTCCTCTGTAGCTCAACTGGTAGAGCACGGCGCTTGAAACGCCAAGGTAGTGGGTTCGAGCCCCGGGACCACCCATACACAAAAAATTTATGCATGCATGACTGTAAGTCGCTTTGGATAAAAGAGTCTGCTAAATGGCATATTATTATTATAACATGGCAACATTTTCTAATAGATGAGCCAACTGGACAAGATGACCATGAGCAGCACTCAGCTCAACCTAGCTAACATTTACCCAGCCTAACTGTAGCCTAACCAATATCCAAACAGCGATTCAGTGAAAAGAAAAATCTGACATTGATTGATTTATCAAGACGATCGAGTCCCCACGCTTGTCTCAAAGCAACGCGAAACGGTGCTGAAATAATGGACCACACGCGGGTATAGGCTATTGCTTCAAATGTATTATAACAATTGGATAACTTTGCCAATTTCAACAATTTGATGCCTTCAATTGCATTAGCCTACTTTATTCAATATTTTTGTAATTCAGTGATATTTATTCCAACAGGAATTATATATGGATCCATCCAGTTGTGGTTAAGAAAACAGTGCATGTGGTGGGCTATGCGAAAAGATAAGTGAAGAGACATCCCTTGCAAAGTTTAGAACTGCCAGGTGGATAGTAGTAACGGGCGCTGCCTAGCAACCATCAAGACCTTAAGAGCATAGTGCGTGCCAATGCCGCCTCAGCATTACAGCTACAGTTCATACTAAGCCGTAGGCAGAACATTACCGCAATCATGACTAGGTCGGTTGGCGGAAATAAAAGTAGATGCTTTGTCACCAGCAATACCTTTCATCTATAAAGAAAAGTCTGCAAAAAGTTGTCGGGATGCTTAAGTTGTTTGAAAAACATATTGGTTTGAAAGGTCTATATCCTTAGTTCCCCTTCACAAAGTATGCGAGGATTTAAACTTTACTTTAAAACATTACCTGAAACTGTTCTTCCAGCTTTTCCCTCAGGTTGTTAAGCTTCTCCAGACTCTTGCTCAGGTAAACGTGACCATGGAACTTGATGAAGGCCTTGATGAAATCTGACACACTCCACTTTGTTTTGACCTCATCGCGGCTGAAGACAAGAGACAGGGATTAAGTATACATAGAACAAGTTCAGTTCCTAAAGTCTACACACTGTAAACCAGCTGGGTGATATCAACACCGGTTAAGATGGAAATCAAACTGCTCATTAGTCCCATCCCAAATGATGGTTGATAAAGGTGGGAAAATAGATACAGCTAAGCATAACACCTCTTGAAATGAGGCTACAATAAAAACGCTCAATGATACCTTTCAACAGCTTTAGCTAGAGCTTTCTGCAGGTTGGTGGAGGCTGCAGGGAAAGGGAACTTGACGGCGATGCTCCTACAGTAGTAGAATATCGTTGTGAGGTGGTCCCCTTTAGAGGAGGCCAGGATGGCCAGCTGATTGTAAGGCTGACCTTTTGGAGAGGAGAGACATTGACAGATCAACAGAAGACTTAATATCCTGAAATGATTTCCTTGTCAGGTGAAATTTGGGAATGTGCAAAGAAGCACATTGATGCTGTGTGTACCGTTAAACAAATACTGTACATTAAAACTTCTGTATAAAGTACTTACCATTTGAAGGGACAAGTTGAGCTGCGTGTCTGTAATAGGACTCTGCTTGGCTGGTTTGGTTGCGATATCGTGCTGGAAGGGGGGGAGAAGCAGATAAGCAAAACACCTCAAAGCACTGCTTCAGTGTCTGCTAAAAAATATTAACCACAAAATGATCTGCCCAGTGAATTTATTTTGTAGCGATAATGTGAAAACACTCACCGATGTCTCCAAGGTGGACGAGACAATGCTGGCAGATATAAGAGCAAGAGCTGGGTTGGGGTTTTACAATGGTGCTGGTGTTGGTCTGTTTATTGCTGATAATTCCAAGCTGAGATGACTTCACACGGCAAGGCAAGTCCACGTTGAACACAGTACACAGCTCCTGTAGTAACTGTTAGAGGCCAGGATCAAGTATTATTAAGAGCAGACGAGCTGTGCTTTATCTGTCATTCTGACGTCATTTCATGTGTAATGTATTGACACTTGTCTATGTCCTGACTTTTTCTTTTAAATGTCTGATGTATGAATGTTGTTCTTTTGTATAGAATGTTTTCATGTTTAGAAAGGGAGCTACAAATGTATTGGGACAGTGACACAATTCTTGTTGTTTTGGCTCTGTACTCCAGAACTTTGGATTTGAAATTCTACAATGACTATGAGGTTAAATAGCAGACTGACAGCTTTCATTTGAGGGTATTTTCATCCATCACGGGTAAACCATTTAGAAATTACAGCACTTTTTGTACATAGTCCCCCAATTTTAGGGGACCAAAAGTATTGGTCCAAAATTCATAGCACGCAATGAATACATCAAGCTTGTGACTTATGTTGTACATTGTCCCTGTCCAAATTAATGGAGCAATCGGGGGAGAAGGGCCTTGGTCAGGGAGGTGACCAAGAATCCAATGGTCACTGACAGAGCTCCAGAGTTCCTCTGTGGAGATGTAAGTCGCTCTGGATAAGAGCGTCTGCTAAATGATGTAAATGTAAATGAGATGGGAGGACTATCCAGAAGGACAACCATCTCTGCAGCACTCCACCAATCAGGCCTTTATGGTAGTGGCCAGACGGATGCCACTCATCAGTAAAAGGCACATGACAGCCCGCTTGGAGTTTGCCAAAAGACAACTAAAGTACTCTCAAATCATGAGAAACAAGATTCTCTGGTCTGATTAAACCAAGATTGAACTCTTTGGCCTGAATGCCAAGCGTCACGTCTGGAGGAAACCAGGCACCGCTCATCACCTGGCCAATACCATCCTTACGGTGAAGTGTGGTGGCGGCAGCATCATGCTATGGGGATGTTTTTCAACGGCAGGGACTGGGAGACTAGTCAGGATCGAGGGAAAGATGAACGGAGCAAAGTACAGAGATTCTTGATGAAAACCTGCTCCAGAGCGCTCAGGACCTCAAATTGGGGCGAAGGTTCACCTTCCAACAGGACAACGCCCCTAAGCACACAGCCAAAACAACGCAGGAGTGGCTTCAGGACAAGTCTCTGAATGTCCTTGAGTGGTCCAGCCAGAGCCCGGACTTGAACCAGATCGAACATCTCTGGAGAGACCTGAAAATAGCTGTGCAGCGACGCTCCCCAGCCAACCTGATAGAGCTTGAGAGGATCTGCAGAGAAGAATAGGAGAAACTCCCCAAATATAGGTGTGCCAAGCTTGTAGCATCATACCCAAGAAGACTCGTGGCTGTAATCGCTGCCAACGGTGCTTCAACAAAGTACTGAGTAAAGGGTCTGAATACTTATGTAAATGTCATATTTCCGTTTTTTATAAATTCGCAAAAATGTATGCCTGTTTTTGCTTTGTCATTATGGGGTACTGTGTGTAGATTGATGAAAAACAATTTAATCCATTTTAGAACAAGGCTGTAATGTAACAAAATGTGGAAAAAGTGAAGGGTTCTGAATACTTTCCGAATGTACTATATAGAGATATATACATCTCTCTCTATATCTATCTATCCACACTTGTTTTTACGGTTATTACATTTTATTTTCATGACGGTCTTCATCCATAAACATCTGTTACACAGTTATATGGCAATTATGCCAACCCTAGTTAGGCTACATTGTAGTTGTAACTTACTTGTGTGTAGAATCCACTAGCTGCCTCAAGAAATAGGGACAGATTGGCCTGCACTTCACTTCTATTGGGGTTGGCTCGGTTCTTGGCTTGACTCTGTAGTGTTGTTATTTGATTTTTAAAAGCATGGTTCCAGCTGAAAAATTGTGAGAAAATCAAATCAACGTATAATTTCTAGTTTCAGAGTTTAATCAAACAGCTGATGATAATCCATCTAATTCCAACAATACAATAGCTGTATTGTGCTTGAACGCAAGCTGACTCACTAAACTTATCTACTTTCTTTATAGTTGTCTTGCAATCTTACAAATGTAATTTCCAGTTATAAGGTCATTCAACTAGCTTAAGAACTACTGGACTAAAGACAGTATTTTGACATTAGGCATATGGGTCAAATGACTGTCAATGAAACAGAAATACATACCACAACATATAGTTATGTGACCTTCAGATGTGTTTCAGAAAGACACCAAAACATTTTTTCATTATAAAATTAGGACCATCTAAAAGTTAAGAAGCGAGACTAAGACACCTAGACCTAGCAAGAGTAGCAATAGTAGTAGGCTGGCTGATCGGTTTCATAACATAATCAATGTCATGTAAACTGGGGCTTACAGATCTTGCTCCACTTTCTTGTCCAAAGCATACTCCAGGTCAGTCACCAGCATCTTCTGGTACAAGTCCTGAAGCGCCTGCCTTGAAGTCCAAACCTCTGCTGCACCAAGCTTAAAATCTAGGGGAAAGGAGAACATTATGGGCACTCCTCTCACTGATATTTTATACACTTCAAATGGATTACCGTGTAGACTAAACCACTAGAATGAGATATTTCTATAGGCTAAACATCCTTCATCAAATAGGCCTACAACAGTGAGACTATTCATAGATACCTTGGGGTACATATGCAGAATATGACAAATTAATATGCAATCCCTGTCCCAGCTGTGGGGATGATCAACATCCAAAACAGACAAGTATAAAAGCTTTCAAGACCAAAACTATCGACATTAAGAGAAGATATTATCAAAAGCAATACTGTCTGCAATTCATAGACTCTATATGCAGGGGTTGTGGATTAAAACAACAAAGGAAGCCCAAATTTGAGGTGTGAACATACCTGTCATGTCAGCCTTCAGGGCCTCTGCCTGCCTGCTCGGATGTAAACAAAAGAGGAGGTAAGCTAAGTCAATCAATACAGACCCACTGGGGGAAAAAAATGTAAAATGTAACCACATCCTACATTGCTACCTAGTATAAACCATAAGGAATTAAGGTCAGTGATTTAAACAAAGTACTGTATTGCACATTTAAAAAGATTAACATTAAAACTATGGGGATTAAAGTCCTCTGCCACTAACTCCTAAATTCAATCAAACCTGTAACTGGAGATTGTATTCCTGGTTTGACATGCTGGAAAGGGATAGGCTAAAAACTACAGCTACTACTAGTTTCAATGGAAAACATAGGAGGAAACATAGATTGTCGTCTTATGCAATTGACTACTTCTCACTATCGCATCTTTCCATCGCCAATAGACTGCTTTGTTGGATTGCAATGCATTCAAATTATACAATCCTACTGGTATCTCGTAAACTAAGCAAGATTGGCCATATACTGTTGCTGTTCTCCTTCATCGTGTGCCTCAATGGTCGGGCACCTTCGTGGTGTAGCTCAATGGTCGGGCTAGGGATGAAGAATAATAATAGACAGGGCTCGCAGTGTTTCTGCCCCTGTGCTTGCTAAAGCACATTTACGTCATTTAGCAGACGCTCTTATCCAGAGAGCGCGACTTGCTATGACATCCCAATATCTGGCAACAACCAAACATTCGCCAAATCCTCTCTGATATAACAAAGGACCTGTATATTTTCATAAAAACAGCAAATTCTTGGTTTCATTTCGTGAGACATGCACAGTGAAGTGTCAATCCAGCAAACTCGCATTCAAACAGGCCAAACTGGAATGCATGTATACCACATTTCATCTAGCGTCAGCCAACGACTGTCACCAATCGCTAGCTGGCTACGACTTTAGATTGATTATAGTGGATTAATCTTTGGTTATATTTGGCTTGCTGACTTTACTTGGCGTTTGATTTACAACATCCTTGCCTGGTTAATCCAATGACACTAGTCTCAGCTGTAACGTTTTACTAAAGCCAAAGCCCATTTAGCCAGCCATTTTTTGAATATTGTTAGTAAGCAATGTGGACAGAAAGGTTCACTGCAGTGACTAACTAGTTCAGTTTAGCTAGTTAAATGGTAGACATCCGGACTCAGCCCGACATCCAGTAGCTAACTAGCTACGACATGCCCAGCAGGCTAACCTTTGCTAACTACCAAACAAGGGCAGGGGCGCTACTAGGTTAGCTAGCTAACGGCTATGGTTAAACTAGTTTGCCGTTAACTACGTAACGCGCTCCAGAATTAACGTAGTAGCTAGCTATCCATTTTCTTCACGACACATACTACTGACTAGCTTTTTCCTTCTCTATGGAAATAACCATGGTGGTTAGTAAAAGCTTCGCTAACGTGTTATCGTATCGACCTAGCAAGCTAACGTGAGCTAACTAGTCATCCTAACGTTACTAGCTAGCTAGAATACTACTGTGTACTTTAGCAAACTAACATGCTAGCAGTAACAGCCATAGCTAGCTAATAACTGGCCCTACTCATAGTCACACACGTTTTTAACATGAATAAACAACAAGGATTGCACCTTTAGTGAAATTTCATTCAAATAGGTAACGTTAGTTAGCTGCTAGCTCAAATAACGCGTTGCTAACGCTGCGTTGGCTAATTAGCTAGATAGCAGCACGGCAACTTATGGCGATAACACAAATAAGATTAAGCAGTAACGTTAGGTGAGAAAAAAACAATTTCAGAAATGTATAATTTTACATTTACCGTAAATATTGGGCGCAGAGGTTCATCCTGTCCGATCTACGGTCTTTAGACAACGACTGGTCCAAAAGCAAGCGCTACTCCCGGCGCCATATTGTTCGTCACTCTGTCACAAGCAGAGCCACCGGCCCAGTTGCTGGGTTCTAGACAACTCTGAAACTCTAAAATCTCCGAGTTAAAATTTGAGTAAGGTTTTTGTGTTGAGCTTCCTATTGGTTGATTCTGATACTTTCCGAGTGGGAAAGTCGGACCTCATCTTTCTACAAGTTTCCAAGTCGGAAATGTCCGAGTTCCGAGTTGTTTTGAACGCGGCAAGTATACACCATGCAAATTATGAGCAGCTCAAGGTATGGTTAGCCAGCTTTCAAATTGTGTTTCAAGCCAGTGGGCCTGCTTCGTGGTCACATTGACCTACAATAATACATCCATTCTGACCTCAATTGCCTTGGTCAGAATTAGGAAAATTATCCAAATGAACCTAGGATAACCAAGAGGTTAATTCTAGGCTATACTAGAATGGAATCACCCAGACATTTACAGTTCGATTGCCTATTTCACATCACAAGCCGAGTCAACTTTGCCATAAGGGTCCTGGCCTCTTGGCAGATATAGTAGGCCTATGCTCGTTTACAACAGGGAGGTTGCAATACTGCACACAGCCAACCCCAATGCGAACAGGGGAACACAACCAAAAAAAGGCAGCAGAATTATCCCACCTCTGCCACCAGTGTAGTGATTCAAAGACAAAGCGAATTCGGAACAGCCAGAATGGGGCTTGAACCAGCGACTCTTCTGTTATGGGGCGAGCACAGCACCAGGGCGCCCAAGACCAGACCTATTTACAGAGAACATGGTAGTCTACACTCACATTCATGGAGGCTATGAGGAAAAAAAGTTTTATTTCAGTATATAACGAATTAACATAAACTCAATTATTTTTTAGATTATTAAATGCATGATAGGGTCATATACTGTAGATTATGCAAAGCTATCACAGCAAATGTATAGGCCTAATTATTATTATAATGGTAAATTGCCCCATGTAGCTCAGTTGGTAGAGCATGGCCTTTGCAACTCCAGGGTTGTGGGTTCGATGAAAAAATAAAAAATGAAAAAAAATAATGTATGCACTCACTAACTGTAAGTCGCTCTGGATAAGAGCGTCTGCTAAATGACTAAAATGTAAATTGTCCGTAGGCCACACAAACCATAACTGCAACTTGATGGTTAGTGCCAGCAAAGACAGGATGGAATGTTCTTTACATTAAAGGAAAAATCACTTGCCACATCATCAAATGATGCATTTTGCATCATCAAGTGACACTTTGCTTCTTGAATGGTCAATATCTTGAAAACTTGACTGCTGACTTTCAAAACATTTTAGGACTGTATTAACAGTGGACTAATGAAAATAATACCAAAATATAGTTTTGAGTGGACTTTTCATTTAAAGTAAGCCTATAAGGCCAAGGCCATCAGCCCTTTTAACAACAATTAGTTCAGTGTTCTCACTTAATCCCATGTCTAGACCGTCTAGGCTACTGGAGTCAGAAGCAAATGAATACTGGTAGTAGAAGGTCTATTAAAAAACGGAAAAAATATTTAGATCAGTGGCATGCCCCATTATGTGGCAAATTTGCCAGAGGCCACACGAAGTCTATAATAAATGCCAATGTAGCCTACCTATTGTTTTAAATTGTATTGTAAAATAATACATTTTCAAACGTCCAGTGCTGTGAGTGCCTTTGGTACTGTGCCTTTAATATAGAGTGCAGTGACGCTCTGTATCCTGCGAGGAGACTGGGATACTGCCGCATCCAAATGAACCTCGCCTCTCTCTGCGGTCGCTAACAGCAAAACAAAGAAGAACAAATCGGTAGTTGCAGAAAAAGAGACTCATATCCAGTCATATCATGACGGACAACACTAAAACTCACGTTATTTTGCTGTCATGTGGAAGTTTTAACCCCATCACTAAAGGACACATTCATATGTTTGGTAAGCATTACCTATGCGTTCTTCTGTATATTTTGAAGGGATGTTTTGTGCTCCAGATGTTGTGGGTAGAAGAATGAGAAGGCGTTCAGGAGTCAAGATTACTATGGCAATTAACCTATATATCAGTATTATAATGTCAGAATTGCGTGATGTTGGGTAGGCGTTTTGCCATTTATGGTATTCGCTGTCCACGAGAGGGGTGCTGAAATGGGCGACGGCCTCAGTGACGGAAATATGATTATGTCAATTAAGTTAAAGTCTTATCATTGAATTTCACGTGGGGGTCTTTATTTCGCTGTGTGTTTTTGAACACCACGGATGTTTAAAATAATTACTTGAATTAACAACAGAACCATTCCATCTACAGGTTATTATTACTATATTAAGCGCACAGTACCATTTCAGTGTAGTCTACGTAGGTGGATGCTGCATAGGCCGACCAGCCCTAAAAACAATAGCAAATGGATTTGAAAAAGTAGGCTAGGCTATTTTGAGATAGTAATGCAGTATCAGTATACGGATGTTGAGCCACTGGACACAGGGAGCATCTTGAGCATGTTTGGGCATTGGTTGCCTGATAGCAGATACTGCGTCACTCATAACTAATGAGAAATCGTATCTCAAATCATAATAGCATACAATCAATCTTTCCGTGCAGCCGAGCAATAATGTAAAATAATCGGCTAAACACAACAGGGTTTCACCAATTCATGGAAATGCAGCAAAATGTCAAGAAAACACATGGCAAATCTAAATCTCCTGACTAAATATTTTCTAATTTTTGACATAATTGTTGTCCTGCATATACTTTCTTTTTCATGTTCTGTGACTGCAGACTTGCAATTTGATTAATTCATTTAGGCAATTGCGTTATTGTCTTTGCCCTACCTGTTATCAGTTTTCAACGGACATTTCATCAATGAAATATCTGTGGACTATTTCATCATGGTTTTCCTGTTGCTTGAAACATTAGGCTACTGATCCAGTACACACAATTCAGTAAAGGCACAATGCCACAGTTAGGGAGATCACATTTCAACAGCCAGCCAGATGCATCAGTATATTGACGAAAACAATCACAGAAGAACTAGTAAAGTACTGTATTTTATAATACAAACCATTATCATAAAAGAGAGTTAAAATGACTGTCATCCAAAATTAGGAATATGAGGGTACACCATAGGCTAGTACCCTGAAAAATAACTAAATCCTAAGAGATAGTCATTAGAATAGATAGAGTGAAATCATTATGCTGCAGCAGTAGTAAGTGAACCTGGAATATTATGAGGCAGAGGGGGAAAGCATCCATGTTTCCATGACCTATTTTTCAAACCACCTCTCTGCATGCCTTGGAGTGGCAGTAAAAGAAAAATGAAAGTACTCTAGTTGCTCATAGGGAGCAGTTGAAACTCCCCCAGTGAGCCCTTCTGACTCACAAAAGGATTACATGAAAGAACAGAAAGAGAAGTAGCAAATACATACATATATCAAGGACTAGGACTACTGAATATGAAAACTTGTGGATGGTGTCAAATCATACATTTTAATAGTGATTCAATTTCATAAATTTTTCAAGTCATTGTTGAGAAGAATTGTGATTCTCTTGAGAATGTAATGGTAGTAGTTCATTATTACCTCATTCAATAGTTGCATGTCTTCACTAGATTCCTTGTTTGTGTCCCAAATTGCACTCTATTTCCTATATAGTGCACTACTTTGACCAGAACCCTATGGTCCCTGGTCAAAAGTAGTGCACTAAATATGGAATAGGGTGCCATTTAGGACGAAGCCTTTAGTATTTTTTTTTTTTGCCTCAACCCATCCCAGATTTCTGACTTTCTTATTAACACTCAACTCAACCTAGCTTTTGTACTTTTCTCTCTCAATAATACATTCTCTAATCATACTGAAATGACTCTATCTGTAGTGGCTCTGCTCAATTTGCACAGGCAGTGTACAGTCGTGGTCAAAAGTTTTGAGAATGACACAAGTATTGGTCTTCACAAAGTTTGCTGCTTCAGTGTTATGATATATTTTTGTCAGATGTTACTATGGTATACTGAAGTATAATTACAAGCATTCCATAAGTGTCAAAGGCTTTTATTGACAATTACATTAAGTTTTTGCAAAGAGTCAATATTTGCAGTGTTGTCCCTTCTTTTTCAAGACCTCTGCAATCCACCCTGGCATGCTGTCAATTAACTTCTGGGCCACATCCTGACTGATGGCAGCCCATTCTTGCATAATCAATGCTTGGAGTTTGTCAGAATTTGTGGGTTTTTGTTTGTCCACAAGTTCTCAATGGGATTAAGGTCTGGGGAGTTTCCTGGCCATGGACCCAAAATGTCGATGTTTTGTTCCCCGAGCCACTTAGGTATCACTTTTGCCTTATGGCAAGGTGCTCCATCATGCTGGAAAAGGCATTGGTCGTCACCAAACTGTTCTTGGATGGTTAGGAGAAGTTGCTCTCGGAGGATGTGTTGGTACCATTCTTTATTCATGGCTGTGTTCTTGGGCAAAATTGTGAGTGAGCCCACTCCCTTGGCTGAGAAGCAACCCCACACATGAATGGTCTCAGGATGCTTTACTGTTGGCATGACACAGGACTGATGGTAGCGCTCACCTTGTCTTCTCCGGACAAGGTGTTTTCCGGATGCCCCAAACAATCGGAAAGGGGATTCATCAGAGAAAATGACTTTATCCCAGTCCTCAGCAGTCCAATCCCTGTACCTTTTGCAGAATATCAGTCTGTCCCTTATGTTTTTCCTGGAGAGAAGTGGCTTCTTCGCTGCCCTTCTTGACACCAGGCCATCCTCCAAAAGTCTTCGCCTCACTGTGCGTGCAGATGCACTCACACCTGCCTGCTGCCATTCCTAAGCAAGCTCTGCACTGGTGGTGCCCCGATCCCGCAGCTGAATCAACTTTAGGAGACGGTCCTGGCGCTTGCTGGACTTTCTTGGGCGCCCTGATGCCTTCTTCACAACAATTGAACCTCTCTCCTTGATGTTCTTGATGATCGGATAAATGGTTGATTTAGGTGCAATCTTACTAGCAGCAATATACATGCCTGTGAAGCCCTTTTTGTGCAAAGCAATGATGATGTCACGTGTTTCCTTGCAGGTAACGATGGTTAACAGAGGAAGAACAATGATTTCAAGCACCACCCTCCTTTTAAAGCTTCCAGTCTGTTATTCTAACTCAATCAGCATGACAGAGTGATCTCCAGCCTTGTCCTCGTCAACACTCTCACCTGTGTTAACGAGAGAATCACTGACATGATGGCAGCTGGTCCTTTGTGGCAGGGCTGAAATGCAGTGGAAATTAAGTTCATTTTCATGGCAAAGAGGGACTTTGCAATTAATTGCAATTCATCTAATCACTCTTCATGACATTTTGGACTATATGCAAATTGCCATCATTAAAACTGAGGCAGCAGACTTTGTGAAAATTAGTATTTGTGTCATTCTCAAAACTTTTGACCACGACTGTATATCACAGACTTTGAGCTGGTGACTTGCAACACATAGTCTACAGTAAGTTTCCACAGACAGGCTTGCTTGAAGAGGACTCATATAATCAGTTTCTCTATTGGTGGCATGCAGGCGGTAACGTTACTCCACAATAACAGAGTGAATAGATACAAATATGAATTCTTGCCCTGTGGTCGAAACAAAAAGTCCTCATCAATCAACTTCCAATTGAAAACAGCTGTTATTATAGACCTAATTTGTAGCCTAAACTAAAGCATGGCTTCTGGAATTCTTTGATTTGTCTTCCTGGAGATAAACTGTAAGAATGAATTTGCATGGATACTGGCAAGCCAGGGTTAATTCATTTTTGGGTTACCTTAAGCAAAAGATTCAGCAATACATCAGATTGATTCACAACAGTGCCCTGTGGAAAACCATTTATTCATTTTTGAATGACAACACAGTTAAATACCGTTTATGACAAGAAGAAATTCAGTTACCAAACTTCTCATGACAGAATTATAAACATTTTGCTGATGGCAGACAATAAGACATAGGTTACCTGATTAAAACTGTAATATTGTGCACACTATGAACTATGATAAGTATGTTGACAGTTATGTACTGTATCTGCTTTTACAGAAAAAGCCAGAGAATACCTGCACAAAACAGGGAAGTTCATTGTGATTGGGGGTATCATTTCACCTGTACATGACTCCTATGGCAAACCGGTAAGAACTTCTTTAACAGTATATTCACAGACTGCTTCGTTTGGTATCTATGAAGTTTGAGTAACTAACAAATAATCACCTAATCTTATCTGACTGACATGAGTAAGTGTTGCATTCGGATTACATAAGCCACCTCTAATACTATCGTCATCTATTCTCCCGAGCCGTTTCTGGAATGAATGAAAAGCTTGTCCCAGTTTCTCTCTCTATAAGAAACAGAAAACATGAATAATAAATGTAAGATAAATGACGTTTCAGTCAGATCATGAATCTTATGTGCATTTTTTAAATAATTGTGTCTCTCGCACGATAAAGACATAGATCGAATGAGGATTGGATTAGTATGTTATAATTTTTGTGGTTGCATAAATGATTGACATTAGCCACAGAATGTCATCAGTAATTTCCAACAAACCTACAGTACATTCCTCACAAATAAAACATGTCAAACCATTTGATTACCATGCAGAGACATACAATAAAGAGAATAAACACAATATGCGTTGTAAATGGCACTCTATTCCCGACGTAGTGCACTACTTTTGACCAGATATAGTGCGCTATATAGGGAATAGGGTGCACACAATGTGACACACACAATGCACACAATGACTGGTTGAAAGCTTTATCGATCCCACCGTGTGTTCACAGGGCCTCGTCCCCAGCAGACATCGTCTCATCATGTGTCAACTGGCAGTCCAGTCCTCTGACTGGATCAGGTGAGTCAGTGGCTATCCGTCCAGAACAACAAGGTGTGTCCCAAATGGCACCCTATTCCCTACATTCTGCACTGCTTTTGTTGTGCACTATATAGGGAATAGGGTGCCATTTGGGACACAGACCTGGTGAAAATAGGTATCATTATCAGTAAACAGGATGACATCACTTCCTCTATTAGTCCTTTGAGACAGGATGTTTTTCTGGCAATGTTACTATCAAGACACAATGTGTGAGGTATTTAGCAGATGTGTATTATCATCAGTTCTATTACCCTACAAATGAAAAGGATAGAGATCAGGGCACGTATTCATAAAGCGTGAGTAGGAGTGCTGATCTAGGATCAGTTTTGCCTTTTAGATTATGATGAATCTACAGGAGGGACCTGATCCTAGATCAGTACTCCTACTCTGAGACGCTTTATGAATACGGGCCTAGAAGTACACAGCTGTTTATCTATCATGTGTTATTTTCCTGCAGAGTGGATCCCTGGGAGTGCTACCAGGACACATGGCAGACTACATGCAGCGTGCTGGAGCATCATCGTGACCTCATGAAGGTAAGCCAGGCCAACTCATGGAATAAGGACCAGTTACTCAAATCACACTTTATTGCCATATATATATTTTTTAAATCAGGGGCACCCTCAGCACCCCTACTTCCCACGGCTATATGTATTGCATGAGCTGTACATTTGGCAATGAAGGATAATATCAAGATAAAATTGTGGTAGTTCAGAGAGAAGAGAGTTCAAGGTAGCCTACATTGGATGCAACATAATTAGCTACTGGAACTTATTCATAGATGATACATTCCTGCACGGCCCACTGGCTAGTTGAAGTGTGTGGTGGAAATATTTATAAAGACTGAGAGCAATTTGAACTGTTTTTAGAAATAGCCTGTACCATTAAAGTATGCTGCGATTGTTTCCATGGCAACAAAACATTACATATTTAGAACACTACAGTATATCAAACCACTGCTGTAATATGTGACAAATCCAATCCTTCCATCAGAATGTGAGCAATCTATTTGTGCTGCTGACCTAAGCTGGATCAAATGCCATTTTTTGGAACTGAAGGTGTCAATCATTGTATTTTCCTGTCCACAGAGAGTCACAGGGTGCATTCTGTCCAATGTGAACACACCGTCCACAACTCCAGTAATCGGCCAACCACAGAATGAGACTCAGACTGGCATCTATCAAAACCACAACACAATGAACAACAAGCCCATTGCCAGTGAGGGATTATGTACATACATACTACACAAATGTCTTTCAGATATAATTTATGCCATTTTCATTAGGTTGACAATAAAGGTCTGGTACTTAGAATCTTAAATATAATTTATGATTGATAAAAAAGAGGGAAGGTTGTTGTAATGTACCAAGAAATGGATTGTCTGCTTTCTATAACTTTTTCAATGGATATAATTTGCTACTAGAAAATGTCTGATGTTTGCTTCCTTATACCTAAACAGTTAAGCTGTGGGGGAAGATGAGTGAGAGCTTGGGCAAAATTTGCTGTGTTCGCCCAAACATTGACCGTTTTACCTTTGTGGGTAAGTAGTATGCTACACAAGCAGCTTCCTGAAAAACATACAGTACATTTGTAATTGTATGGTAAATTCACAATGATTGATTAATAACCTTTTCTTTGATATTTTTTCTTTGATTTCAAAAGATGAAAATGCCAACCTTGGCACTGCAATGCGATATGAGGAAATTGGTGAGTTAACACTCTTTTGTATGTCTCCATAAGATTGATGTATTACCAATATTGCATACAGTCTGTATATTGTCAGAATACAAAAGCTTTTAGCTTAGGTCATTATATTTTCCCTCAACAAACCATAGTAACTTTCTTCATTATCGAATAATTGAACAGGAAGTTATCTTATCCATGTACTCTTTGTTTATTGGGTGTCTAATTTCTGTCTTCCTGTCTATTGTCCAGAGTTGCGCATCTTGCTTCTGTGTGGCAGTGATCTTCTGGAGTCATTCTGCATCCCTGGCTTATGGAAAGACAGTGATGTAAGTAGGCCCTCTTGCTCTTTCTCTTCTATGTCTTATTAAGTCTGTTGTAAGACTGTCATTCCCACAGAAAATAATAACACTTTTAGTTTTTTTTCTAGTTCTTTTCATACTTTGCATAGTATACATACTAGCTCTAATGGCTTGCACTGAAGTTCTAAGCAGACATAGTACAGCCTGTAAAGAGGCCAAAGGTGACACTGCAAGACTAATAGTTTTGAATAATGTTGACATTTTAATATATCCAGTCTCCACTTAGAGGCATGAATACAAATTATTTAATACCCTAATGAGCATAATGTTGCATCCAAGATACTTTACCATAACTATTAGTGACCCATTTAATCAGCATTGTAAGGCAATACTGAAATGTGTCATACAAATGGTTTGCAGATGGAGGTGATTGTGGGAGACTTTGGGATTGTTGTTGTGCCTCGGGATGGAGTTGATACAGAGAGGATAATGAACCATTCCTCTGTGCTGCGCAAGAACAAGGTAATATCTACATTATGAGCTTATATGAGTCATAGTTAAAAGTGGAAACCCAATAAGCTTGATAATGTAATCTGTTAAAAGCTTATTATGTTCATGTCTTTACATGGAACCAACTCTGTACCATAGAAAATGATAAATGTCAATTTATTCATTCTATAACATGTAAAACTTTCTCTCTGTGTTTTTTCTTCAGGACAACATCACAGTAGTAAAACATGATGCCAACCACCCTATGTCCATTGTCAGCTCAACCAAGAGCAGGTAAATGTGAATTATAATTTATCAACCATCCTATTTTGGGCCTCCATTAGGCCTATTTAATAAATAATAATAAATAATTATGGAATCTACTGTCTTTTATTCACTGTGGACTCTGGTAAAGTTAGGTTATTTAAAAAAAAGGGAAAATCCACTCATAAACATTTTTTTTCATTTTTCATTAGTTTTTCATAGTTGATACAGTTCCAAAATGTGTCATCGGACACATCATCTTGATGATGCAAAATGCATTTCGTATCATCATGATGATGTGGCCGGTGACACTTTGCTTCTTGAAAGACCAATATCTTGAACACTTGACTGCTGACAATCAAAACATTTTGGGACTGTATCAACAGTGGACTAATGAAAAAAATACCAAAAGATAGTTGTTGAGTGGATATTCCCTTTAATGTACCACTTCAGTAGCTGTTTAGGCTCTTAGGTATAAAACATTTGGTAAACATTAGGGGGCTGTTTCCCGGATACAGATTAAGCCTAGTGCTCGACTAAAAAGCTTTTTCAATGGATATTCTCCATTGAGCTTGCTTTTTAATCCAGGACTAGGCTTAGTCTGTGCCCGGGAAACCGCCTCTAGAAGTTGAACAAAGCTGTTCCCATATCACATTCTAATTCTATGTCCCTTCCATCAGACTGGCCCTGCAGCACGGGGACGGCCATGTGGTGGACTACCTGAACCAGACAGTCATCGACTACATCCTGCAGAGTCAGCTCTACATCAATGCTTCTGGATAGGAACTACTGCTCCTGCCTACTGTCATATTGTCCCTGTCTGTCTGTCTTTCATGTGAAATGTAAACTCCTCTTGAGCTATTGCTTTTCCATTCAAAGGAGCGTTAGATATCCATGTCCCTTCTTACTGTATCATAGTGACTCATTGGACCTGTGGATGTACTGTACAGCGAGGTGCCTGAGAGCTGTGTGTACGTGTGGACCACCTTCACAACTGACTTTGTGTAGGCTGCGCCGGCCGCGTAGGATAGAGAGGGGGATGGTGTTTTGGTCTGTCCCAAATGGCACCCTATTCCCTATATAGTGCACTACTTTTGACCAGGGCCTATAGGGCTCTAGTAAAAACTAGTGCACTTTTTATGGAATACGGTGCCATTTGGGATGTAGCCTTGGTGTCATGAAGAGAGGGCGCAGAGATTGTTATCTAATGAATGTTGGCTTTTGCTGTTTGATTTAAATCTGTCGGTTCTTAGACTGCATGCTTAGAACGTTTTCGTTTTGGCATGAGTACTTACTCACTTTGTAGATATATGTTGTGAAAGTGTTTGCAAAAAGACAAACATATAGTGGGTACCCACCTCTCACTTAATTTTCTATTCACTCTAATTCTACTGTATGTACAGCAATATCTGTATTGATGTATCTGCGATTGCAAATCAATGCCTAAATGTTTTGTCTTCAGTGGGAATTCGTGCAAAATGTACATTTGTTTGCACATAAGACAACGATTTGTACATAGATTTTATTTGTGTGTGAAGGATTTTGCACGTTTCTTCTGCTTGCCACTGAGCAAATTACCACAACTCCTAAAGCAAATGCAATGAACCTGTTTCTTACTATGTGCTATGTAGCTAGCTACTCGAGATTCTTTAAAAAATGTATAGTAGTGGAAAACAACAACAGAACAAACTACAGAAGTGCAGTCCATGTGCCTGGGGATGAATTCACAGATACAACAGTCTCCCTCTCCCTTGCACTCAATACTGTCATAATATCATCAACCTGAAATAAAATGTGCTCTAATGTTGTTCTGCAAAGGAAGTGGGGACATAGCCTCTGATCAATAGTTTCTCATGTTCAGTGCCAGGACACTTTAGACAGTTTAGTTTAATGAGCATTGAGTGTAACCATTGATTTGTGCAGTAATGATTTCACAGGGTAATAGGGTGTATACAGTATGTGCACATCACAGGAGGTTGGTAGCACCTTAGTTGGGGAGTACAGGTTTGTGGTAATGGCTGTAACGGAAACAGTGGAATGGTATCAAATACATCAAACACATGGTTTCCAGGTGTTTGATGCTATTCCGTTCGCTCCATTCCAGCCATTATTATGATCCGTTCTCCCCTCAGCAGCCTCCTGTGGTGCACATTGTGGCCAATTGGTCAATGCAAAATAATGACGATTATTTTGTTTAATAAGTGTCTCAAATTGTGACCAAAGCATCTTGCATTCATATTTAGCTTTATATGTGTCCATTTGGCGAAGAATATTAGGTTATTCAATCTTAATATCCGATGATGCAAAAGCAAAATACATTCCACTGCTTCCTGCAATCTCACAGTTCATGATTTATAAGAAATGGACACACAAGTGCTACTAGTTGTCAATATAGTAGTATTGTATAAGCCTGGCATGATGCAAGACTATCAATAGTATACTGTGTGTAAGATGCTCCAGACAAACAATATTGCTTCTTTGTGTGTCATCCAAGTGTAATGAACAAACTGAACTGGGTCCAATATCCCTTCAAGCAGACGGTCTTTGTACATGCATCCCTTGAGTCTTTCTATCAAACATCTCAGCAGGGTACTTCCTTTACATACGCAACGTCAGTTATTTGGTTTAGATAAAGAAGATGTAGTGGAAAATCTGATATTAAAAATAAGAATTGTCGTGGTCGTAGTAATGGGACAATCTTTGGTATGATAGTCTCAGCCCACTGGGCACAGACATAATTTCAACATCTAGTTTGGAATTACATTTGGTTGAGTTGTCAACTAACGTGAATTCAACGCTAAATAAAAATACAAAATCATCATGTCATTGAATTTAGGTGAAAAGTTGGGTGAAAAAAAATACAAAATTCCCTTACGTTGATTACTTTTTGCAAATCCAATCACGTTTCCACGTTGATTCAACGTCATCATATTGATTTTGTGTTGTTGAAATGTGGAAACAACGTTGATTCAACCAGTTTTTGCCCAGTGGGAGAAAAGGTATCATGGAACCTGAGGCAATTGTATGAGTAGATGATTTATAGATATCATATGAAGAGATGTTTGATTGAGATTTTATTCTGTTCATTGATTTATTTGGTAAAGAGTCCTGAAAACATACACTACCGCTCAAAGGTTTTAGAACACCTAATCATTCAAGGGTTTTTCTTTCTTTTTACTATTTTCTACAATGTAGAATAATAGTGAAGACATCATAACTATGAAATAACACATATGGAATCATGTAGGAACCCAAAAAGTGTTAAACAAATCAAATTATATTTTATATTTGAGATTCTTCAAAGTAGCCACCCTTTGCCTTGATGACAGCTTTGCACACTCTTGGCATTCTCTCAACCAGCTTCACCTGGAATGCTTTTCCAACAGTCTTGAAGGAGTTCCCACATATGCTGAGCACTTTTGGCTGCTTTTCCTTCACTCTGCAGTCCAACTCATCCCAAACCATCTCAATTGGGTTGAGGTAGGGTGATTGTGGAGACCAGGTCATCTGATTTAGCACTCCATCACTCTCCTTCTTGGTCAAATAGCCCTTACACATCCTGGAGGTGTGTTGGGTCATTGTCCTGTTGAAAAACAAATGATAGTCCCACTAAGCGCAAACCAGATGGGATGGTGTATCGCTGCAGAATGCTGTGGTAGCCATACTGGTTAAGTGTGCCTTGAATTCTAAATACATCACAGACAGTGTCACCAGCAAAGCACCCCCACACCATCACACCTCCTCCACCATGCTTCACGGTGGGAACCACACATGCAGAGATCATCCGTTCACCTACTCTGCGTCTCACAAAGACACGCCGGTTGGAACCAAAAGTCTCCAATTTGGACTCCAGACCAAAGGACACATTTCCATCGGTCTAATGTCCATTGCTCGTGTTTCTTGGCCCAAACAAGTCTCTTCTTCTTATTGGTGTCCTTTAGTAGTGGTTTCTTTGCAGCAATTTGACTATGAAGGCCTGCTTCACACAGTCTCCTCGAAAAGTTGATGTTGAGATGTGTCTGTTACTTGAACTCTGTGAAGCATTTAATTTGGGCTGCAATTTCTGAGGCTGGTAACTCTAATTAACTTACCTCCGCAGCAGAGGTAACTCTGGGTCTTCCATTCCTGTGGCGGTCCTCATGAGAGCCAGTTTCATCATAGCGGTTGATGGTTTTTGCGACTGCACTTGAAGAAACTTTACCGAATAGGGCTATCTTCTGTATACCCCCCCTACCTTGTCACCACACAACTGATTGGCTCAAACGCATTAAGGAAAGAAATTCCACAAATTAACTTTTAACAAGGCACACCTGTTAATTGAAATGCATTCCAGGTGACTACCTCATGAAGCTGGTTGAGAGAATGCCAAGAGTGTGCAAAGCTGTCATCAAGGCAAAGGGTGGCTATTTGAAGAATTTAAAATATACTGCTCAAAAAAATAAAGGGAACACTTAAACAACACAATGTAACTCCAAGTCAATCACACTTCTGTGAAATCAAACTGTCCACAAGGAAAGCAACACTGATTGACAATAAATTTCACATGCTGTTGTGCAAATGGAATAGACAATAGGTGGAAATTATAGGCAATTAGCAAGACACCCCCAATAAAGGAATGGTTCTGCAGGTGGTGACCACAGACCACTTCTCAGTTCCTATGCTTCCTGGCTGATGTTTTGGTCACTTTTGAATGCTGGCGGTGCTTTCACTCTAGTGGTAGCATGAGACGGAGTCTACAACCCACACAAGTGGCTCAGGTAGTGCAGCCCATCCAGGATGGCACATCAATGCGAGCTGTGGCAAGAAGGTTTGCTGTGTCTGTCAGCGTAGTGTCCAGAGCATGGAGGCGCTACCAGGAGACAGGCCAGTACATCAGGAGACGTGGAGGAGGCCGTAGGAGGGCAACAACCCAGCAGCAGGACCGCTACCTCCGCCTTTGTGCAAGGAGGAGCAGGAGGAGCACTGCCAGAGCCCTGCAAAATGACCTCCAGCAGGCCACAAATATGCATGTGTCTGCTCAAACGGTCAGAAACAGACTCCATGAGGGTGGTATGAGGGCCCGACGTCCACAGGTGGGGGTTGTGCTTACAGCCCAACACTGTGCAGGACGTTTGGCATTTGCCAGAGAACACCAAGATTGACAAATTCGCCACTGGCGCCCTGTGCTCTTCACAGATGAAAGCAGGTTCACACTGAGCACATGTGACAGACGTGACAGTCTGGAGACGCCGTGGAGAACGTTCTGCTGCCTGCAACATCCTCCAGCATGACCGGTTTGGCGGTGGGTCAGTCATGGTGTGGGGTGGCATTTCTTTGGGGGGCCGCACAGCCCTCCATGTGCTCGCCAGAGGTAGCCTGACTGCCATTAGGTACCGAGATGAGATCCTCAGACCCCTTGTGAGACCATATGCTGGTGCGGTTGGCCCTGGGTTCCTCCTAATGCAAGACAATGCTAGACCTCATGTGGCTGGAGTGTGTCAGCAGTTCCTGCAAGAGGAAGGCATTGATGCTATGGACTGGCCCGCCCGTTCCCCAGACCTGTATCCAATTGAGCACATCTGGGACATCATGTCTCGCTCCATCCATCAACGCCACATTGCACCACAGACTGTCCAGGAGTTGGCGGATGCTTTAGTCCAGGTCTGGGAGGAGATCCCTCAGGAGATCATCCGCCACCTCATCAGGAGCATGCCCAGGCGTTGTAGGGAGGTCATACAGGCACGTGGAGGCCACACACACTACTGAGCCTCATTTTGACTTGTTTTAAGGACATTACATCAAAGTTGGATCAGCCTGTAGTGTGGTTTTCCACTTAAATTTTGAGGGTGACTCCAAATCCAGACCTCCATGGGTTGATAAATTTGATTTCCATTGATAATTTTTGTGTGATTTTGTTGTCAGCACATTCAACTATGTAAAGAAAAAAGTATTTAATACGATTATTTCATTCATTCAGATCTAGGATATGTTATTTTAGTGTTCCCTTTATTTTTTGAGCAGTGTATAACATATATTTTGATTTGTTTAACACTTTTTTGGTTACTACATGATTCCATGTGTGTTATTTCATAGTTTTGATGTCTTCACTATTATTCTACAATGTAGAAAATAGTAAAAATAAAGAAAAACCCTTGAATGAGTAGGTGTTCTAAAACTTTTGAGCGGTAGTGTTTATTTTTGGGAATCCTATGTAATATGATTCCACTTTCAGATCTGGGTTGGAAATTATTAGTATTTTGTCATCTTAGACTGTGGACTGATTGGACTGACACAATATAACATATATTCTGAGTCTTTCAATACCTCCAAAATAAACTAATATATTTTGTAGTTGCTTACATTGTTAGTAATTCCCTTGTTGAAAAGCAAAAGGATATTGCTTTTTTCTCTCACATGAAACACATCCACATTAATTGACATTAATTAATTAATTGTGTGTGTTGCATTTAGTAGCACCTGGTTTATGACGTTAAGGAATAAATATTGCAGTTTATTTTACAGAATACAACAGAAAATACATTGTTTTTAACACTTACTAGATCACTGAAAATATCGCATTACCATTGACAAAATATTGCTCCTCGTGTCTGAAAATGTCACAGATTTTTTTGGGGGGGGCAGACAGTTATACATACATTTAGTTAAACACTCATTTTTCTCTCACATAATACCATCATAAATTCAGACTCTAAATCTGTGTCCCAAATGGCACCTTATTCCCTATATAGTGCACTACGTTTTGACTAGAGCCTTATGGGCCCTGGTCAAAAGTTGTGCATTATATAGGGAATAGGGTGCCATTTGGTACGTAAACTTAGATCGCTCAATAGTTGGGGATTAAGGTCTCTCAATAGGTGGGGAGTTGAAGCAGCCCTTAGGGATGTTGGCGTGGATGTCCTCCAAGTTCCTGATGTCGTCCAGGACCATATCAATATCTAGGTTGAGGCCAGTCAACTTGGTCCTCTGGCCGGCCTCCTTCTCTTCCAGGTCCTGCAGTCGAGGCCGTAGCTGCTGGTTAACCTGGCCACGAGCGCTGGCGATGGACTGCTCCAACTCACCTAGCCTCTCCTCGTCCACACTGCCTGGATTACCTGTTAGGAGAGTACCAATTGTCAGCACCAACAAACTTCATAATAATGTCATAAAACAGTGGTCATATGAAGATGGGATGATGCGGCAATAAGACAAAAATACAAGTGACTTTGTTTTGTGTGAGTTAGCTGTTTGTAGTTGGTGGAACATACCGATCATGCTCAGAAGGTTATTGATGACCAGGAGTGTTTCGCCCACAGCGTCTCTGATGTGCTTGGCATTGTTGTAAGCACCAGTTGCTCCGAATAAAGCCTGATGAGGAAAGTACATTACAAAGCATTAAAAACAGACCTTTAATTGGGAAAAAATCTATTTATTTTAAGAACCATTTGTGTGTACTGGAGTGGTGTACTGGAGTGTTTCACGTCAAGCCTTTACATTGACCAAGGTTTGTTTAGGTATAGCATGTTATGTCTGAGAGCATCACACTGAAACGGACCTCTGCAGCTCTGTCTATCTGTATCTCAGCGTTGGCCCTCTCTGATGCCACTTTGGCCACGGTGGCCACTGCCTGCTTCTGCAGTCCCTGCACGTCCTCTTTCAGCTTAGTGGCGTCCTTCAACAGACCAGCAGGAGGAACTGGTAACGAGCCGGACATTCCCTGCGGAGATCAAGAAACAGTCAAATGAGCTCATCTTGAAGTTTCCATGTGTGCTTTGTAAAATACATTTGGAATCATGCCTGGTAACCTATGATTTTAGTATTTTGGTTGTGAATAGGCCATGTCTGGAATCAAATAGACTCATAAGCATAAGTGACTCGAGACATTAACCTCATTGTTTTGCCCAACTGACATTCTCCTTCTAGAGCTTCTAGCTAAAGGCACAAGCTGTGGATTATCATATGAACCCCAGTTGGATATTTCTATTGAAAGGAAGGGGTCTGTTAAGGTACCTCCAGTCGAGAGACCACAGCTTCCAGGCTGCTGACAGTGCCCAGTGCATCATTGTAGTCTCCAGACACACTGCCTATGATGAATAGGGTCTCTGAGTTGTTGCCAACAGCTTGATGAATGGTGGCGTTGATGCCAGGGAGTTTCTTTATGGCCTCGTCGGCCAAAGTCTTGTTCTTGTTGATCTGGCCATCAAACCCTGCAGAATACAAGAGACTCAGACATAACCATCAGAGTTTTCTGGCATGTATGTCTATTCATGGGTTGCATGTTTCGTCACAATATTGTTTTCAACATTCGTTTTGGACTGATGCCAAACTGAGAATTCTACTCAATGCATTGATGGAGATCTCAGCAAAAGTGCATCACAGTGGCTTGGAAATACAATGCCATTCAAATGGAGACAAATAATTAGAAGGACAACCTTTTGATGTCACCAGATTGACTTTAGATGCAGTATAACGTTAGCCAGCTAGCTAAGATTGAGGGGAGGATTCTAGCTAACTAACGTTAGCATTGCTAGCTATTTTTTACGAACTTTGCTAGCTAATGACAACATTGCCATCTGTCTAAAGTAAATTTGACAACATGATAATGCTGGCAAAGTTGTTTCCTACTAAACATTTGACTACTTTAGCAATTTAATCGTATTTCCAGGCAATTGTAATAGTAATTTAGACTAAACTGTCATTAGCTTCCGTCCAGAATGACTGGGCTTATCACAACTTTAGGGCACCACTATTGCGTCACCGGTAGAGCGCGGCTTGGAGAACATTCATAACAATGACATGATGTGACGGAGGTGCAACCTATGAATAGTTATACCGTTTGAAATATATTTGCCTTGCTATGTCGTAGATACTATGTAATAAATATGTTAAACGCTTTCTAGGTGAGAGAATCATTGTTTTTGGTGAAAAGTAAAATAACATTTTAATGATAAACTTTCACCTACTGTAACTGCCTGTAGTGCTGTTGAATTTCATTATTGATTAAACTGAGAAATACACTGAGTGCACAGAACATTAAGGACACCTTCCTAATATTGAATTGCACCCCCTTTTGCCCTCAGAACAGCCTCAATTCGTCGGGGCAAGGACTCTACAAGGTGTCAAAAGCGTTCCACAGGGATGCTGGCCCATGTTGACTCCAATGCTTCCCACAGTTGTGTTAAGTTGGCTGGATGTCCTTTGGGTGGTGGACCATTCTTGATACACACAGGACACTGGTGAGCGTGAAAACAACCAGCAGCGTTGCAGTTCTTGACACAAACTGGTGCGCTTGGCCTGGCACCTACTACCATACCCCTTTCAAAGGCACTTAAATATTTTGTCTTGCCCATTCACCATCTGAATGGCACACATACACAATCCATGTCTCAATTGTCTCAAGGCTTGAAATTCCTTTCTTTAACCTGTCTCCTCCCCTTCATCTACACTGGTTGAAGTGGATTTAACAACAGTGACATCAATAAGAGATCATAGCTTTCAGCTGGATTTACCTTATCAGTCTATGTCATGGAAAGAGCAGGTGTCCTTAATGTTTTTTTACACTCAATGTAAAAGCTCTGAGATATAATTATAGTTGCTGTGTAACTGCTTTTCTAATATGTGGACCAGCCTTGTCAGATAAAATGCTGATAGTTCATTAATATTTCTACTGTGCTGTAGTGGGAATAAGACCTATAGAAATATGAAAGGCTTTTCATACCTCTTAGCATCTCCAGTACATTATCCACCCCATCAATATTATCTGTGATATCCTTCAGGGCCAGTTCTGTGTCAGCCTTCGCAGCATTTGCTCTGTCAAGGAGCTGGTCATATTTCTGTAGGAGAGAAATGCCAACAATCAACACTGTGTCAGTTATTACCATTCATAAGGTTTAGTGAAGTCATAAGCTAATTATACACTATTTAAATAGTTCAGTTGGATAATCTAATAGTGCATTTCAGAGGTCGCATGAAAATAGTTCTCAGAAACCTTTGAAGTTGGAATATAAGTAATAATATTTTATATACTACCAATCCTACATAAAAAGATGTCTAAATGTTGACGAGTGAATAGTGAAAGGCCTCTAGTGTACCTGTTGAGCTGCCTTCCCCTGGGCCAGGAGATCCTCTACTGCGGCCTTGTCCTCCTGGGTGTCCTCTTGCAGTGCCTGGTACCCTATGAGGTCCTTCTCCACCCGTTCTCTCAGGCCAGCCATTTTGGCCACCACACCGTCAATGTCCTTTTGCCAGAAAAAGAAGCTCAGTCAGACTCCGTGTGTTGTGCAAGTGTAATTACATATGCTTACAAATCTGTGGAGAACTGCCCTAGATTCCTCACCAGCCAGGTTTTAATTATGTCGTAATTTTTGATGACTCATGTTCTTGATCATTAATTGCTTTGTTATGTTTAAATGTAGCATAGCAAGGAAACAATTTAGAGATCTAGCTTTACAGACATGCCTTGAGACAGGTTCAGCTGCCAATAGTTAGAAACAATGATTTCATAATGTTCATAGTGAAAGGTGTTGAAATTGAATGTTTTTTTCTCTCCTTGATTTCCAATGTATGCTTATTATAATTTTAAAGATACCTCAAAAGACATGACCTGGGAGTAGTCACCAAATAGAGACCTGAGAGAAATGAGCCTGATGAGAGGCCTGTTCTGCTCAGTACCTTGAGAGGACCAGGGATTCCCAGCTCCAGGGAGGCTATCTGCTCCAGAGTGTTAGTTGCCATCCTGCTCTCATCTCGGGCAGAGCTGCTCAGGCGAGTGGCCAGGCTCTCCATGGCCTTCACCTGGGCTGAGTTCTCATCATACCTGACCAGAGAAAAATCTAAGGGTTAATCTCATCATCAATCTAACAACAACGGTTCATCAATTATGTTATTATGGAGATCATTACATGGCTGGTAGTAGAGGATATATCCTCTACTGTATTTTCACAGTAGATCATGGGTATTGTACTGTATGAAGATATGAGTTTCTTACTTGGTTTTGAGATCACTGATAAGCTCCTTGATCTTGTTTTCCCCTGTCATGACAGATCTCATGAGTGCCAGGGACTTCTCTGACTTTGCAAGGGCACTGTTTGCTGCCTTCTCCACTGTCCCCGCTTTGCTCTGGTGTCTAATAAACAGTCACAACATTGAGTCATCCATAGCACCACAAGTCATTTTCTAACATGGGATTCTTCAGTCTGTATGAATGTGATATGGAGGGGTGCAGTACTCACTTTTCAGCCAGGTCTGTTGCTCTCTGAACCAGAGAAGAGAGGGTGTCCGTGCCCGCCTCTGCATCACCTAAGGGGAATTCCTAACATGGGGGTGGAAGGTAAACACTAATGTAATGGATCATTAACAAGCATACATTTGGATATATTTGTCTCTCCTTACTCTCTCCTTATTTGATGACAATGACATCAGTGACAAAAGTAGAATACTACTGTACTATTGTATTACTCACAGCTTGTTTGATGTTGAATCTTGCCTCTTCTAGTTTGCGCCGCACATCGCTGATGAGTCTCTGGACATCAGATACCTGACGTTGGTACTTCTGGTCCTGCAGCTTGATGTTGTCGATGGTGTTGGAGATCGCCTGGATGTCTCTGCCTTCACTCAGCTGGGTTGCACTGATGTCTGAGAGCCGGGCCTGTAAGTCTTTCTCTGATTCTATTCAATAGAACAAAACAAACCACCAACATGAGATCTGCCTCGCACTTTCTAAACCAAATGCATCACAAATTGAGTGTGAGATACGTTGGGGTGTGACAGAGACACAGTACATGGACGGTGCTTCAACATGTTTCAGATGCCTGATAACTATCCTGAATGGTTTTAATATATGTTGATTCATTAGCAAATGAGTGATCCTCTGACACTTTAAGTATCTACGTTGTATAACCATTTATGTATGACTTACCAGAGAGTGTCTGTGCATTCCTTTGCAGGTCTGTGACTATGTCCTCTGCTGCTCTTATGGCTTTCTCCATCTGGGCGTTGTTAACTGGCAGACTGCCACTCTCCATGCCCGTAAAAATAGTTTCTATCTCCTGCAGTTTATGAGTGTACCCCGCCATCTGCAACACATTACCCAACGGGATAGGAAAGCTTTAAAAAGGGCTTATGAAAGGTTCATCTCTGGTGATAGACAAGAATATGAGATTCCCTAATAACACGCCACTTTGATATAGCTACGACCGGAAGTGACTTTTTCGTTAGAAGAACTTACGCAGCAGGTTAGGAGAATTAACGTAGCAGGTTAGGAGAATTAGGTTAAGGTTAGGAAAAGGGTTAGGGTTAGCAAAAATGCTCTCCTAACCTGCTACGAAAAGTCACTTCCGGTCGTAGCTGCATCAAAGTGGCGTGTTTTTACGGAGTCCCCAAAAAGATAGCTGGCTGGAGGCCAGCATTCACAAACTATTTGGGTCTGGGTTAGCAATACTAATTAAAGGTTTACAAAAAATATATACATATACCTCTGCTTTACTATACTGTAGGACAATATATTACATTCAGAATATGTAATTAGAGGCAAAGTGTGAGATGGAGCAGTAAATTCAAACCCTGCAAGGTGTTATGATAATGAAATAACTTCATAGGTTAACTGTTGTGTTTCAATGCTTCACATAGTGCTCCTTGTAATTCCTTCCACACTACATCCTGAGGACAGGGAGCACCCCAAATGACACTCTATTCCCTATTTAGTGCGCTACTTTTGACCAGGGCCCATAGGGTTCTGGTCGAAAGTAGTGCACTATATATGGAATAGGGTGTCATTTGGGATACAGTCCGAGCAGCTCCAGATTACGTGGTGTTTGCACCCCAACACAACTCTTTCATTTATCTGGCAAGTACTTTCTCCTCCCAGGTGGTAGTAGGCTATATTTACTGAGAGGACCTTGTGAATTATTCTCTTGTAAGAAATACTGATGCCAGATCACAACTCTGTAAACATCTTCCTTTCATACCAACATTCTAGCTATTCCTTCATTAACCCACTAAGCTTTAAGGATGTTGAATCAGCGACAGGGTGAGCACAGTGAAGCCAGGATAAATATCACAGCCTGTAGCCTAATTTCTGGACCAGTTATTGCATCTACGTCTCAAATGGCATCCTATTCTCTTTATAGAGTAGTACTTTTGACCAGGGCCTGTATATAGGGAATAGGGTGCCATTTGGGATGAACACAGTGCTGCCATTTAATCATTGAAGAGAGCACTGTGACATGTTTGACCTCAATGGAAAGATGAGGCATTGATCAAATAATCCCAGTGGGTTTTACCTTGGTCTTGACAAGGTTGAAGCAGGAGGGACATGCAGAATGCTGGCACTTCAGACCTTCAAAGCCTTCCCTGCATGAACACTGGCCCTGGTTACTGCATTTGTTGTACAGAGAGCCTTGGGAATTGCAGCCACAAGCTAGACCGCAAAATGAAAACAATTGTTAAAATGTATATAATATTGTAGACAATATTTAACTGTTGGAATTTAAAGGAGGAGCTATGTGTCACATGTCTAAGTGTGAAAGAGCTGGATATGGGGAGCGAACAAGGTGCTGTCTTTACATTTGCATGCCTCTGATGGGATGCTGTGGTGATAGCCCTCCAGACAGCTCTCACAGAAGAAGCCAGTGGTATGATTTAGGCATTTCAGGCACTCCCCTGTCCGTGGGTCACAGCTACGGACAGTGTTGGTGTCCATGTGCCCGTTGCACTGGCAGTGCCGACAAGGCCTCTGGACGCCATCTTCTCCCAAGGGATCACCATAGAAACCATCCTGGCAGGTGTGGCAACGTGAGCCTGTTGAGAGTGAGGAGGGAGGAAGAGGTAGGTACAATATGAAATATATATATATATATATATATATATATATATATATATATATATATATATATATATATATATATATATATATATATATATATACACACACACACACACACACTGTACATACAGTACCAGTCAAAAGTTTGGACACACCTACTCATTCAAGGGTTTTTCTTTATTTTTACTATTTTCTACATTGTAGAATAATAGTGAAGCCATCAAAACGATGAAATAACACATATGGAATCATGTAGTAACCAAAAAAGTGTTAAACAAATCAAAATATATTTTATATTTGAGATTCTTCAAAGTAGCCACCCTTTGCCTTGATGACAGCTTTGCACACTTTTGGCATTCTCTCAACCAGCTTCATGAGGTAGTCACCCGGAATGCATTTCAATTAACAGGTGTGCCTTGTTAAAAGTTAATTTGTGGAATTTCTTTCCTTCTTAATGCGTTTGAGCCAATCAGTTGTGGTTTGACAAGGTAGGGGTGGTATACAGAAGATAGCCCTATTCGGTAAAAGACCAAATCCATATTATGGCAAGAACAGCTCAAATAAGCAAAGAGAAACGACAGACCATCATTACTTTAAGACATGAAGGTCAGTCAATCCAGAACATTTCAAGAACTTTGAAAGTTTCTTCAAGTGCAGTCGCAAAAACCATTAAGCACTATGATGAAACTGGCTCTCATGAGGACCACCACAGGAAAGGAAGTCCCAGAGTTACCTCTGCTGCAGAGGATAAGTTCATTAGAGTTAACTGCACCTCAGATTGCAGCCCAAATAAATGCTTCACAGTGTTCAAGTAACAGACACATCTCAACATCAACTGTTCAGAGGAGACTGTGTGATTCAGGCCTTCATGGTCGAATTGCTGCAAAGAAACCACTACTAAAGGACACCAATAAGAAGAAGAGACTTGCTTGGGCCAAGAAACACACGCAATGGACATTAGACCGGTGGAAATCTGTCCTTTGGTCTGATGAGTCCAAATTTGAGAGTTTTGGTTGCAACCACCGTGTCTTTCTGAGACACAGAGTAGGTGAATGGATGATCTCTGCATGTGTTGTTCCCACCATGAAGCGTGGAGGAGGTGGTGTGATGGTGTGGGGGTGCTTTGCTGGTGACACTGTCAGTGATTTTTTTAGAATTCAAGGCACACTTAACCAGCATGGCTACTACAGCATTCTGCAGCAATATGCCATCCCATCTGGTTTGCGCTTAGTGGGACTATAATTTGTTTTTCAACAGGACAATGACCCAAAACACACCTCCAGGCTGTGTAAGGGCTATTTGACCATGGAGAGGGATGGAGTGCTGCATCAGATGACCTGGCCTCCACAATCACCCGACTTCAACCCAATTGAGATGGTTTGGGATGATTTGGACCACAGAGTGAAGGAAAAGCAGCCAACAAGTGCTTAGCATATGTGGGAACCTCTTCAAGACTGTTGGAAAAGCATTCCTCATGAAGCTGGTTCAGAGAATGCCAAGAGTGTGCAAAGCTGTCATCAAGACAAAGGGTGGCTAGTTTATATTTTGATTTGTTTAACACTTTTTTGGTTACTACATGATTCCATATGTCTTATTTCATAGTTTTGATGTCTTCACTATTATTCTACAATGTAGAAAATAGTCAAAAATAAAGAAAAACCCTTGAATGAGTAGCTGTGTCCAAACTTTTGACTGGTACTGTATATAATGTGCAAATACAGTTGAAGTCAGAAGTTTACATACACCTTAGCCAAATACAGTTAAACTCAGTTTTTCACAATTCCTGACATTTAATCCTAGTAAAAATTCCCTGTCTTAGGTCAGTTAGGATCACCACTTTATTTTAAGAATGTGAAATGTCAGAATAATAGTAGAGAGAATGATTAATTTCAGCTTTTATTTCTTTCATCACATTCCCAGTGGGTCAGAAGTTTACATACACTCAATTAGTATTTGGTAGCATTGCCTTTAAATTGTTTAACTTGGGTCAAACGTTTCGGGTAGTCTTCCACAAGCTTCCCACAATAAGTTGGTTGAATTTTGGCCCATTCCTCCTGACAGAGCTGGTGAAACTGAGTCAGGTTTGTAAGCCTCCTTGCTCGCACAAGCTTTTTCAGTTCTGCCCACAAATGTTCTATAGGATTGAGGTCAGGGCTTCGTGATGGCCACTCCAATACTTTGACTTTATTGTCCTTAAGTCATTTTGCCATAACTTTGGAAGTATGCTTGGGGTCATTGTCCATTTGGAAGACCCATTTGCGACCAAGCTTTAACTTCCTGACTGATGTCTTGAGATGTTGCTTCAATATATCCACGTAATTTTCCTTCCTCATGATGCCATCTATTTTGTGAAGTGCACCAGTACCTCCTGCAGCAAAGCACCCCCACAGCATGATGCTGCCACCCCCGTGCTTCACGGTTGGGATGGTGTTCTTCAGCTTGCAAGCAACCACCTTTTTCCTCCAAACATAACGACGGTCATTATGGCCAAACAGTTCTATTTTTGTTTCATCAGACCAGAGGACATTTCTCCAAAAAGTACAATCTTTGTCCCCATGTGCAGTTGCAAACCATAGTCTGGCTTTTTTATGGCGGTTTTGGAGCAGTGGCTTCTTCCTTGCTGAGGTGCCTTTCAGGTTATGTCGATATAGGACTCGTTTTACTGTGGATATAGATACTTTTGTACCTGTTTCCTCCAGCATCTTCACAAGGTCCTTTGCTGTTGTTCTGGGATTGATTTGCACTTTTCGCATCAAAGTACGTTCATCTCTAGGAGACAGAACGCGTCTCCTTCCTGAGCGGTATGACGGATGCGTGGTCCCATGGTGTTTATACTTGCGTACTATTGTTTGTACAGATGAACGTGGTACCTTCAGGCGTTTGGAAATTGCTCCCAAGGATTAACCAGACTTGTGGAGGTCTACAAAATATTTTCTGAGGTCTTGCCTGATTTCTTTTATTTTCCCATGATGTCAAGCAAAGAGGCCCTGGGTTTGAAGGTAGGCCTTGAAATACATCCACAGGTACACCTCCAATTGACTCAAATGATGTCAATTAGCCTATCAGAAGCTTCTAAAGCCATGACATCATTTTCTGGAATTTTCCAAGCTGTTTAAAGGCACAGTCAACTTAGTGTATGTAAACTTCTGACCCACTGGAATTGTGATACAGTGAATTATAAGTTAAATAATCTGTCTGTAAACAATTGTTGGAAAAATTACTTGTGTCATGCACAAAGTAGATGTCCTAACCGACTTGCCAAAACTATAGTTTGTTAACAAGAAATGTGTGGAGTGGTTGAAAAACAAGTTCTAATGACTCCAACCTAAGTGTATGTAAACTTCCGACTTCAACTGTAGCTGACATTGAAAGATGAATGCCCTAATAGTCTATTCCATCTAACAGCAATGGTCTGTGACAGTGGTTGCGTCCCAAATGGTACCCTATTCCCTATATAGTGCACTACTTTTGACCAGGACCCAAGTGCACAATATAGGGAATAGGGTGCCATTTGTGACTGTGACTCACCAGTGGTGCCAGGTGGACAGAGGTCACACTTGACCTTAAGGGATCCTGGGCTCACAGAGCAGGCACCTCCATTGGGACAGGGACACTTCAGACAGGACTGTGGCTGGGCAGGATCATTATAATACCCTGGCGGGCAGGTTCGGCGACCAGGGGTCTCATCTGCAGAGTAACAGTCTCCTGTGGAACAACACAACACAAAATCACATATCACTTTAGTGCATGTTCAAATTCATTTTCACAACAAATAAACATTATATTTCAAGCATTGATTTGAACATGTCTATAACTATAACTTATACAGGGAAGTGCATATTGCAAAAGGAGCTTTGTCCCAAATCTCATCATTAACAGCAAAATAACAAAATCTATTAAGACAAACATACAGTAACACTTGGGACAAAGTTCAAATGTCACCGACCTGTTTCAGAGTCACAGCTTCCTCCTCTACAGCTGCAGGGCTCACAGGAGCTGTATGGACCTTTGCTTGGGGAACTTCTTTTATACCCTGCAGCACACTTCTCACAGAACTGGCCCTCATATCCCACTGGGCAGCTACATTTCTGTACCCATGCAGCTGGGGACCCGGCACCTCGACGGGCAGACTCCATATGCACGTTGTCAAGGTAACCACGCCCTACAGAGGACAGTAAGCATTGCTTTTTATTGAGTGATTGACAAAAGATAAAGACAAGGCAATGTGATGAGGATGTGTACAACTGTCATTTTTGATAACTGATTTAGAAAGATTACATTCTAAAAAAAAAAAACTACTGAAATAAACTAGATTTAAAACAGTTCCAAAGTACTTATTTACAACAACATATTCAGGAGAAGGAGTAACACCAAGGATCTGTTTATGTACACAGTAACCAATCTCATAATCTGAGTGATACAAAAATAAGCACTGACCATTTTCTCCAAATGTCCCACGGATTTTGATGTCAGTCAGATTCTGGAGGAGTGTTTGAAACTGGAAAGATGAAAGGAGGGGGCTCCATTTACTGCTCTGTTGCTCATCCAGTCTGAGAATGAAAGACAAAGCATGCTATGTTTACCTAAGAAGTGCACAGATTCATAAAGCCTGAGGAAACATGAGTATTTCACAGTCACACTTTACACCACCATTTCCTTATTACTATGTAATTATTCCTGCAAATATATTGTAGCTATAATGAATATGAGAATAAATATGGAAACATGTATTTACGCAAGCAAAAAATGGTGTTGTTACTGTATTAGGCTACTATATTGGTCACAATAATGTGTTGTATGGTGCAGGGCTTGGGTCAATTAGAATTGAATACAGTTTATTCAGGAAGTAAACTTAAATAACAATTAAAGATGTGAAAATGTTCAATGACTTCTAAATAAACTGAGGACCAGAAACTATTTATTTTAAACGTTTTTATTTTATTTTATTAAAGTCAATTCCGGAATTGACTGCCTTCAATTCGAATTGACCCCAGTCCTGGTATGGTGCGGTTTGTTGTAGTAGACAGGATTGACCCCAGTCCTGGTATGGTGCGGTTTGTTGTAGTAGACAGGATTGGATTTGACCATTAAAGATAAGCTGCTTGGCAACTAGCCATTTTCCCCTTAATTGTAATTAATTTGAATCAGACAAGCAGATGACCCTCTGGCTTACTAACTGTTATTAAGCTTTTACATTCAATCAGTTGTGTGAGATAAACATTGACCCCTTCACACTCCACATCCACTATGTGAAATCGTCTCTAATTGTTATGTCTTTGGCATCCATCTCACTATCCACCACACCTGCATACTTATCTCCCGCAGATCAAATTAAGTTTGTACCTGCCCTGAGACAGACTGTTCCCTATCAGTCAGTACACTCGGTACAACACACAGCTATGGGGATACACAGCTATGGGGATACACAGCTATGGGGATCCACAGCTATGGGGACACACAGCTATGGGGATACGCAATTTCTCTCGCGAGACCCCCATAGCTATGTGTTGTATCTTCTTTCCTTCCTTCAGGGAACAGTAGTTTAAAAAAAGTTTATAACTTTACATTTTGCTTAACGTTAAAATCAAGCTTATCTGTCTGGCACAGTGCTCTGGCATGATTCCAACCTGAATGTGTAGGTGATCTTCTGTCCACAGGGAACGATGGTCCTCAGGTCTCCCAGGGAAGCTGCCACGCTCAGCCCAGATCCCTCCAGCACCACATCAGCCGTGGACGGGTGGCGAACCCCTCGGTCCAGCCTCAGGGAGAAGGACAGGTTCTGACCGTAGCTCAGCTCCTGGTTGCCCAGGTAAGAGTCTAGCCATCACAAAATAAGAAAGAAAACCAGATTATTTTAGGATCATAATAAAAGATGAATGGTGACTGTATGGTGAGGCGTGTGGTGTAACACATCCAGTACTCACTATAATATTGCATACTTTCATACTTCCCCCATTATTTTTTGTGGAGTTGAAGCATAGGATGCATCCAAATGGCATCCAATTTTCAATATAGTGCAATACTTTTGACCAGAGCCCTATCATCCCTGGTCAAAAGTAGTGCACTATTTAGGGAAAAGGTTTCCATTTGGGATGCAGACAAAGTTTCTCCTGAGTAAGGCAGTGAGGGATCAATATCAATAGCAGAGAGCAGAGAAAGCAGCTCTCACCAGGGGCATAGAGGTAAACAGGCAGGATGTCTTTGGAGATGACCTCAATGTCATGATGAGTGGGGGACCAGCGGAAGTGGACTTGAGACGGGGTCACACCATTAGCTGTGGCAGCTCGCCACCCCTCTGGCCCTGAAAAACAGAAGATTGGAAGACATTTAAGCTACTGATACTATACCAAATGAACTAGTGTATATATTACTGCTGTTTATTTTATGATCAGGTGAATGGGTGTAAATTTACCATCGTCGAAGGTTGAGGTGATTGTGTGAACTGAGTATCCCTTGGCTGTGGAGCACTCAGTCGAGTGTCCATAGCAAAAGCAAGGTAGAGATTGAGCTGTCACTGAGTTGTCAGTGAGCTGGCCACTGCACAAGAAATACATGAATCGTCAGCAATCTATCTAATCCACAGCTCAACATTAAGGTTTAGTGAAGGGAATACAAAGTGTGGATAAAAAGTGAAATGATCTTTGTTTTACCCATTAGCAGCACAGCCATTTGAGCTGATCGGTGTTCCATTCAGACATCGGTCACATTTCTCTCCATGTGCTCCCGCTCTACAGCTGCAGCGTCCTCTACTGTCACAGTGTGAGCCTACAGAACCTGGAAGAAACACCATAGATCACCTCACAACCTGGACATCTGGGAAACCATTCTAAAATACACCAGGAGCCGTATTCATTTAGTCTCAGAGTAAGAGTACTGATCTAGGATCAGGTCCCCCTGCCCCTGTCATCTTACTCATTATGATCTAAAAGGCTAAAATGACCCTAGATCAGAACTCCTATTCGGAGACGCTTTTGAATACGGGCCCAGGTTTTGTTATCATTTCATGTTCCGTCCTGTTCTGTTCACTCACCTATAGGGCTGCAGTTACACGGCAGACAACTGTCTCCTGCCCTCTGGTGGTGAAATCCCTCCTTGCACCTTTCACAATGCCTTCCCTCAGTGTTGTCTTGGCAGTCCACACAATGGAGGCCACCAGAGTCTGGCAGGCAATAACGTGACTTTCCATTGCACTCACAGATGTCTGCTACAGGGGTGAAATACACATTGTTGGGACATTTGTGGAGTGAAAACTGTGTTTTAGATGAGATCTAACCTTTTCTAAAATCATAAAAACATTAATTAGGGTGTATTTGCCAGGCTATGGGATAAGCAGTCTTCCCCTCACAAATCTTCTTGACCATGAAGAGTTAAATATAGCCCTTTGACAGTCAACACAACACAGAACATTTTTATAATTATGTAGGCTACCATCTTTATAAAATGTAAGTGGGGGTTGGGAGTTGCACAGCCTCAGTCTTTTCTCATAGGGGTGTAAAGTTTAAACCACTGTTTAAACCACTGTCAGCAGACCCAGATCTCATAATACCTAATTCCCAAGCAATGAGAGACGAAAGATGTTCACTCTAATATCAAGCACACCCACTGTGGGCAACACCATGTTTACAACCAAGCAAATGTCTGTTTGTTTGCTATGGTAATGGTTTGTACCATCATAGCCAACCAATACTTTCCGTCATCAATTATTTGATGAACATTTTCCTAAGCATAAATTATCCTGAGGATATGAAATTCTCCTTTCACGGACTAAATGATAACTCTGCTGACAGGCTGCTGCATGTATCCGTTTATGTCGATGGGGTATTATAGAAAGGTACACGGAGCTCAGAACCTCAAGTCGTCACGCCCTAAGGCAGGATTTCCCAAACTTGGTCCTGGGAACCCCAAGGGGTGCACGTTTTGGTTTTTGCTCTAGCACTACACAGTTGATTCAAATAATCACAGCTTGATGATTAGTTGATTATTTGAATCAGCTGTGTAGTGTTAGGGCAAAAACCAAAATGTGCACCCATTGGGGTCCCAGGACCGAGTTTGGGAAATGCTGCCCTAAGAGGAGACATGAGTTATTGTCTACATCCCAAATGGCACCCTATTTCTATATAGTGCACTACTTTTGGGAAGGGCCCATAGTAGTGCACTATCTAGGGAATAGGGTGCCATTTGGGACAGACCCATCAACAATGCAGTGATTCAGGGCTTCCAGGTCGGTAGGGTTCAACAAATCTCTCAACAAAAAAAAGGCTCAACAAATCTCACCTCAGCAACTTGATTCAAAATGTATATCTGCCACACCTTATCACGGGTGGTCCTCTGTAGCTCCGTTGGTAGAGCATAATGCTTGCAACACCAGGATAGTGGGTTCGATTTCCGGGACCACCCGTATGTAAAATGTATGCGCGCATGACTAAGTCACTTTAGATATATTTACCACTGCACCACACAGTAAGGAAAGTGTTGAGGACTTTGCTAAGAGTACCACAAGTAAACATATCCAGTTTCACATCAAGATCTACTGAGACCTTCATAGACTATAGTAATAATAATAATAATATAATAATATGCCATTTAGCAGACGCTTTTATCCAAAGCGACTTACAGTCATGTGTGCATACATTTTTACGTTTGGGTGGTCGCGGGGATCGAACCCACTACCCTGGCGTTACAAGCGCCATGCTCTACCAATTGAGCTACAGAGGACCACAATAGGATCAGGTCCCCCTGCCCCTGTAATATAGTATAGTCTCTGTAACTCTGTAGTACAATCATGTTTCTTCCAATCATAAATCCCCTTTCTTCTAAAAGCATCCCTGTGGTAAATATCCTTAGATCAAATGTGTCATTTTGATATCTACTTTAGCTACAAAGACAGAAAACACAAATATAGATTTACAGGAACACAACAACTGCTGCAGGCAGGCCAATTAGCTAAAATTGTGTTTTTTGTCGGCTACCTCCTTTCCTCGGAGTCTGAAAGAGGTCAAATAATTCTAAATTCCTGTCCCCAATTCAAGAGCAACAACCTATTTGAAAATGCTTAAGGCTGATTATATATGCAGACATAACTAAAATAATTTAGGATGTTGATATTATTCATTAGGCAAAGTGAGAGGAAAGACAACAAGTTAAACACTCACATCCTCCATATATGTAGGTTCCTTGGATAGACCAGGTACAAAGAGAAAGTCCACACAGAAATATCCAACTGCTCTTCATGGTCACAGAAAATCTGATGGGAATTAAGTAGATCAATATTCTCATATAAGTACAATCAAACTAAACAGGCCCGCTACACCTGATGCTTCTGCCCAACATCCCCAGGTAAGCTTCTTTTAACACCTCCCCCGAGGCAGGCTGTGGCATGTCGAGTACAGTCTCACAGCTGGAAGGCTACTCACGTGTGATTCAGAGGCCAAACACTGGCCGTGCCCACTCTCACAGGAAATGTCTGGCTCTGTATCACTACTGTGGACATTGTCAAGACATGAATAAAGGAGAGTGTTGTTTGATGCAGCATGATCAATAGTCACTCACTCAGGATTTTTCCAGAAATGTTTCCATCCGCTTTACAATTCACTAGACATACTCGAAGGACCATTTCAAAATGTGAATCTAGAAGATCTAATTCTCATATGAACAGTTACATTAATAAGTGAAGACTTTAAATAGAAACAAAGCTTAACAGAAATATGTATCCTAATAGATTGAGTTGTGTTACTACAAAAGTGCTTCCAACTGGATTATAATGCATGTGTATTTTCACCTTCTCAGCAAAAGCATCATTACAAATCATCTGCAATATGTCTACAGTGCAAATTAGAGAATAGAAACCTCAAACCAAAAGACCTGACATTGGTAGTTGTTGCAATTTACTTTAAAGGGTTTGTTATTGTTTTGCTGATGATTACAATGGAGTAGCCAAGAACACCCTGATAAAGATCCTGTAAAAATCTAACATGAGGCACCCACTACAAGCCAAAAGTTGAAGCTGTACGTTTCTTCAATGTTTTCAATGGTTTTCAATAAAAGGATCAACTTCATTGCTTTTCTCAAGCTCAACCATGTGCAACCCCCCCCCCCCTTTTTTAATTTTTATATCAACCTTTATTTATCCAGGAAGTCCCTTTGAGGTCAGAAGACCTACTTTACAAGCAAACTGGGAACTGTTCAATTCAATATCTATCATCTGCCAACATCACTTAAGTCTGTTTATTTGGAAACATAAATATGTTCCTGAGCAACAGCACTTTGGATAGAACATTCCCCGTAGTAATAATACTTTTTTCCATCTCCTCAAGGGTTGGCAGTTTATTTACCAATCCACAACAAGAATGATTCACCCACTTCGTGTTTGAACATATGGACAGTATTGTTAGACTTTGGGTGGGGAACACCCTGTTAAACAGTTCAGCATAATAACACCATAAAAAGGGACAATTTTACAGGTGAAAGAACAGACAAAGCTTGAAAATCTGAATTTCACACCTCATATACGTTATCATATTTGTTCAGTTCACAAGGCAACTTTTCTAGTCACCTGTTCAATCAATCTGATATTTTTCCTATGCCTCATTTGAACAACTTTCCATGATTTAAATACTGTACAGATTAATTGAATGCATCTTTTAACATTCTATAGCCACACCCTTGGAATCAGACTTGCGGCCAGACAAACAGCAAGACATCCTTCAGCGATGAGTACATTCCTGATAAGGGGAAAAGGGTGCCTAAGGGCTATGAGTTTTGTAATGTTTGAAAATGGCTGCCACACCCTTATAGTGTCATGCTCTGACACGGTAGTCAGACCGACTGAGGTGTGCACTAGTCACACACGCGCCCTAAAAGCCGCGCCCTTCCCGCTAGCACAGGACCCTGTCAACACCACACCCTCAGCACATACACACACAAACACACAGGAGCGGTGATTTGCTAGGGCCCCTCCTGCATGTACAGAAATAATTCTAAAGGAAAACATCTAGACACACATAAAAAAATTAAAACTGTTCAATAGATATTTCTGTTTGTGTCAATTCAACGTGCAGTCAAGACTTGGCTGCTAAACTCATCTGGAGGGTGAACAAGGGGATTTTTTAAAATATTTTTTGGGATCATGAATGCAGCAGCTGAAAATGAAGGTTGCATCTTATTTATGCAAATACACTGGCATGTTTCACTGCACAGACAAGGGACATTGTGGCATCAATAGGCATTCATTCAAAGTACATATTTTTATGCACACCAGTTGCTGAGATCTCTTCCATTTATTTTTAAGTAATTTCAAGATTATCATCAAATAATGATTTATAACACAGTGTTTCACGATCACTACACAAGGCAGAAAAACCAACCATAACTAATAAACTGAAATAGATTTTCCTGCATGTCCTAAAGACTAAATAACCTCAATATAAAACTCAATTGCAGTTATAAAAGATTAATAAGAAATGTAATATTTCAGCAAATGCAATGTACAGAACCCTGAGGCAGCATGACATTTAATACAATCACACATCAACGGAAGGAGTTCCTGTAATATTTTTATTATTATTTAAATGTTACGATTGGATTGACAGGCAATTGGGTCACAAACAGGGTTTTCTCAGGTCCTCACAAATGAAATGTTGCAGTGAATAGGTGCCTTTGTATTATATTGTACAACACAAACAAAACAGAAGATGCCCTCCATAGCCAAAGGACCACAAAAAGATTGTGCAACACATACATATCATCATCTACTGCAACAAAATAATACAAATACTTGAGACATTATAAATTAGAAATACTGTTTTATACATCAAAACAGTATGTGCTGCACATTCTTCCACAGCAGTGTGGTGGCCTGGAGGGGTAAGAGACCGCAAAAGATGGTTCACTGCAGAGTACATCGTTTTAGTCACTGCCACATCATCTATAAAATTGTGGGTAAAAAGGTCGCTAAACATAACTATCCAACAGATAACATGATAGAAGGCAGGCTAAGAAAAGGAGTGAGCATTGGTGTATTGAGGATATGAGAGATGTTGAATGGGAAGGATGAGTAGTTACCAGGTTATAACCTATTCATTTACTGTATAGCGGCTGGCTGGCTGATGTTCTGGACCCATCAACAAAATCCCTGCTGTTCTACTGAAATGGGAGGACACCGCGTAGTGAACGATGTTATGCGTGAAACTAGTGTTTGTCTGAAACGGAATGTGTGCGATAAATGTGACGCCCTTGTTAGGGAATAAGTGATGTGAATATTGACCACATATTAAGGCACAAAACACTAAATGGTTAACTACCAACTTGTGACCAAGCTTATTTTCTTGGAGTCAAGGATATAAATTCAGTCAAATGAAACGATAGGCTTAATGTAGAACGATGGCTTCTTTAGGGCCATCCCTTACACAGTCCTGATCTTGTTAGTCAAGGAAAAAGGTTCTTGTTTTAAAAGCATTCAATTCATTGGTGACCACCCACTGATAATTAAACACAAATGAATAATGGCAGAGCTATGAGGCAACAACACTGAGCCATGTATACAAGCAAGCATATTATACCACAGAACTTATCATATATATTTATATATTATGTGGAGGTTTCAGTTGATTTTTTTGCGATAGAACCTATACGAGGTGGCTGCTGGGTCTTGGGTTTAACAATCAGCCAGCCCTGAATCATTTAAGTATATATTTACACAAATAATAATTCCTCACTCTATATCATAATAAAAAACATTCACACAAAAATATAACATTTGAAATAATTATTAGCACCAGTGTATCAGATAAAGTCTTGCTACGCAATTGTACAAAGTTGCATAGTATAGAAATTTGCCTTAAATTTTAATGTGTGATTTGCAGTACACCTGTATTAAGCAGCAGCTTAAGGAGGAAAAAACATCAAACAAAAAACAAGATTTGTTGTGTTATTATTATTATTATTATTTTTTACATACAATTATATTTAACCACATTGTTTCACTGGGCGGTACAGGCCTGTCTCAAATGTCAAAGATATCAGAGCCATTTTAAAGACCCACTAGCTGGTTTCATTTAACGGCTTTTCAGTTGTGCATGCCCACATGAACAAATACTAAGGTATACTATGGTTAAATACTATAGTTTTCCCTGTAGTGTTTTTGCAGACTTTACTGTAGTATTCACTGTAGTGAAAAAAGTGAATGTAGCACGAAAATACAGAGAATACTGTAGTATTTACTGTAGTTTTGCAGACATGACTGTAGTATATTGTAGTATTTACTGTTTACTATAGTAAATACTGTAGTAAGAAAACTGTAGTATATACTATAGTAATTACTTTAGTGTTTTTGCAGACTGTAGTATACTGTAGTATACTGTAGTATTTACTGTAGTGTTTTTGCGGAAACTATTGTAGTATTTACTACAGTGTTTTTGTTTTATTATCTTTGACATGTTATCCTTGAGGAAACCTACTGGAAAAAATACGCAAGAGAAAATGTTCCATAACCTGTAGGTAGGACTGAGGTCTGAACGGACAGTTCAGAGCTTCTGCTCCTTTTTATAACCTGTAGAGAACACAATATATGGTCTATACTTGGCATGTAGGTTGCTCACTTATGGGTGGCAAAAATTGGGATATGGGAATTGGCAAGGTATATGCAAATTAAATCCTGTAGTATATACTATAATAATTACTGTAGTGTTTTTGCGGACAGTACTATAGTATTTACTGTAGTGTTTTTGCAGACATTACTGTAGTGTTTTTGTGGTCTGTAGTATACTGTAGTATTTACTATAGTATTCTACAGTATACTACAACATTCTATAGTAAGTACTACCAATGATCGAGATATACTACAGCAGCGTTTCCCAAACTCGGTCCTGGGGAACCCTAGCACTACACAGTTGATTCAAATAATCAAAGCTTGATAATGAGTAGATTATTTGAATCAGCGGTGTAGTGCTAGGGCCAAAAACAAAAACGTGCACCCCTTGGTGTCCAGAGGACAGAGTTTGGGACACGCTGTAGTACAATATGTAGTATAGTATACTACAGTTATTTTTTTTTACAGAATTCTATAGTAAGTACTGTAGTATTCTATAGTTAACTGTAGTGTTATTTCATGTGGGTGTGGAGCAGAATGTGTAGTAGAGTTGAATACTGTAAACATTTGTAATAATAACAGGAATACTTTCTCCATGTAGCTTTGGAAGCGAATGGAGGCAAATCAAAGATATAAACTTGTGAGAATTCCTTCACTGCTTGTTTTTTAAAACAAAATGATTGATAACACCAAGGATGGCACATATGTATTGGAAGTTGCACAATACCTATAGCTAAAAAATATCTCACAGACAAACCATTCCCAGCATGCCCTTGGGTCTAGAATGATGGGTAAGGATAACTTGTTTGATACCATATCAAATAAAAACAAAGGTATATCATATGACACATAGACCCATCCGAAAAGGCTGAGGACATTTGTCCTTGTTTTCTCTGTTGGGGTGGTTTAGGTTGTGATGAAACAAGACGGTGTACCAGTCCTCCACGTAGAAGTGTAGGAACAGTCTGGAGGTGGTGCAGGCATGTGGGTTTTCATTACTCTGGAGCCAGGTATAGCCCCTCTCCTAACCTGCTGCACCTAAGGAGAATGGATGCACGTTTTTTTGTCGACTGCCCTTAGTTCATTTCACGTTTCTGCATTACTGCATGTCAAAGCTGCTTCTGCTCTTTCTTTAAAACCATGAAACTTGGCTTCTCTCTTGTTAAAAAAAAAGACAAAAAAAAAAAAACATTTTGGTAAAAAGGTGGCATTCTGCCCGAGTGTTAGATGTGGGAAGGAGTGGTACAGACGTGCTATGAGGAAGGAGGGTACAGGGGGTGGAGAGAGAGTTGGTTAAGGTTGCTCTAGGGATGGGGTGTTGAAGCAGCCGCCAGGTAACGTGTTCTTGATGTCGTTGAGGTTGGCGATGTCGGACCGGATCTCCCTGATCTGCCTGTCGTAGTCGGTGATCATCTCCTCCTGGCTCTTAGCCACGTCATTCAGCTCCGCCAGCTTGCGGTCCAGGTCGCTGTTCGCCATCTTGTCCTTGGCCTGCTTCAGCGACCCCTCAATCAAGCCCAACTTGCTCAGGTCCACCTTGTCAATGTTGCCTGAACCGGGACAGAGGAGCTGTAAGCTTTAGCTCAATGATATAAGACTGTCAGTAGAGTCATTTTGACTTGTGCAAGTAAAGCCCTGACTGATGGAATATAGTTTGGTTACACACAATGCACAAGCCAGAAACAATGATTAAATAAAATCACAATACTTAATTATATCCCTGCTTGTATTCTTACCTCCACAGAAATAACCAGTTTGCTTAATCAAATATCACTCACCCAGTGACTTCAGTAGGTCGTTGATGGTATTGAGAACGGTCCTGACAGCGCTCTTGGCTTTGCGGGCGTTGTCCTCCGCTTTCTTCGCATTGTCTGATGCCTGAAATACCAAAACAACATAGTTGACATGTCAGAGTCAGAATTCCAGACCACAACGAACATAAACAGTTGTAACTCAGTAGACACTTGTGAGACTTCCTTAACCCTCAGTAGTGTTCATCCACTTCCTATTGCTTAATGTTTAGCCTCACTGTTTCTTATGTGTCTAAACAACTTTGACAAGAACTACAAACATTGAGCAACTCAAGCTCTGTGTAGACGGCTTCTATGCACAAACATTCTCAGAGCTCTCTGATTTCCAACCTAAAGAGATCTTCTATGAATTCCTAAGTATTGGGTTCCTAAGGTTATGAGAATCTAATGATATCATTGGATTTAAACAACAGAGCCCTAGACACAGAATATGCATCCCAAATGGCACCCTATTCCCCTATATGGTGCACTACTTTTGACGAGAGCCCTTTGGGCCCTGGTCAAAATTAGTGCACTACACAGGGAATAAGGTGCTATTTGGGATGCGACCAGACAAACACGCACCATGCTAGCCATCATCATGTCCTGGTCGGCCTCAGCTTTCTTCTTGGCCAGCTCTGCCTCGGCTGCACTCAGCTGGTCCATCATGCCGTTCACCTCCCCATCCAGCTTCATTGTGTCCTCAAATGCCTTCTCTGCATCCGCCTTGGTTTTAGCAGAACCCTGTGGGGTGAACAGACAGAGGGGGATTAGTGCATGTTGACAATTTGAAAGTAGGTATATAACTTCTTACAGGTTGAATAGTTTATTATTTGATACATCAGATGAGAGGGGGACAGAGGGGGCTTAGTGCATGTTGACAGTTTGAAAGTGAGTTTATTATTCTATGTGAAACATCACATTAGATTACCACAAAATTAATTGATTTTCAAAACATTTAATCTACTGAGACACAACGTTTATATCAAGAGGCCACCACTGATTTCATCCACGTCATTTCAGGACTGTAGCATAAATGGTCATAAATTACCTCGCTATAATACAACAATATACCAGTAATATCATGTACCTTCTGCACAGCGCTGGCTATCTTTTCTGCCTCCTCCGCCTTGCCCTTGGCCTCCTTGGCGTCTGCAGCTGCGTTGCCTAGCGCCCCCTGAGCCTGCTTGGTCTTCTCATTGGCCGCGATGATGGTAGCGTTGATCTCTGGGATTCTCTTCATGGCGTCCTCAGCTGCCGTCTTGTTGTCATTCACCCGCTTGTCAAAGTCTGTGTTGGACGCACCAAGGACAATGAGAAGAAAGGTTGAGTAAACAACTAAATTAAATATACTATATCTCAATACTATAACCATATTTTATACAATAATGGTATTTTCTCTTTAACATCCATCTGAGAGGCAAAATGTACTGTGTTTAAAGCATAGTGGTCTTGATATGGTTTTCACTCCCACCATTCTGAATAAAACCTCCACTATCAGGCAGAAAGGGACTTTTCCCTGGCCTCTCCACCAGTCCTGCTCCTACGTACCTCTCAGATTTCCCAGAATGTCTTGGGCCTCCTTGTAGGTGGTCCTCCCATTCTTGGCAGCCTCCTCAGCCAGCGCCTTGGCAGCATCGGCACGAGCCAGCAACTGATCGGCAGTCTTCAGGGACAGATACAGTCATTAGTTCCATTGTGTAACAAATGGCACCATATTCCCCATAGGGCTCTGGTCAAAAGTAGTGCAGTTTATAGGAAATAGGGTGCCATTTGGGACGCAGTCAGTTTACAACAAAAATAGACAAAACAGCTAAATTAATTTGAATAATTCTGACTTTACGACTTGCTCATTATCGCTATACTTAGTGGCTGAACAAGTGAAGAGGCCAATCAATGCTGTGGTAATTCGTCACATAAGCGATGTGGTCATTTTCAATTTCATGCCTTGTTTAATGAGGCATGATAACGCTAATCTTAAACGGAGATACACCCTAGCTATTTCAAAGGGGGTGAAACCATCACAAGCTCTACATGAGACAGATCTATTCAGAGGTTATAGACACCAGAAAGAGAAAATAAAAGTAGGGTTGTGAAATTCTGGCGACTTTCTCAAAATTGCCAGGTTTTCCTGAAATCCTGGTTGGAAGATTGCTGGAATCAGGAGGGAATTAGCAGGACATCTGGGAATCCTCCAACTGGGATTTCTGGAAAACCTGGACATTTTGGGAAAGTTATCGAAACTTTGCAACCCTAAGTAAAGGTCTCCTGTCCTACCTGCTGCTCAGTCTTTCCCTTCTCCAGCAGCTTGCGGACCTCAGACTCCTTCCCTTTCAGGTCGTCCCTCAAGTCGTTGTACTCCTTCTCTGTCTTGTCAATCAGATTGTCCAGGTCAGACGCTTCCTTCTTGATCTTGCTCGCTTCGTCCTGTAATCGGATGTCAAGATAAGTTATCTTTCAAGACTTGGAAACGACTTCAGTAATGTCTTGATGGCCCTTTACATTTACATGTATGTCTTGTGATACACAAACCCTTTCAATGATTCTGAAGTGTAACCTGTCACTTATTCAAGACTGGGAACATACAGTGGGGAAAAAAAGTATTTAGTCAGCCACCAATTGTGCAAGTTCTCCCACTTAAAAAGATGAGAGAGGCCTGTTATTTTCATCATAGGTACACATCAAATATGACAGACAAAATGAGAATAAAAATCCAGAAAATCACATTGTAGGATTTTTAATGAATTTATTTGCAAATTATGGTGGAAAATAAGTATTTGGTCAATAACAAAAGTTTCTCAATACTTTGTATATACCCTTTGTTGGTAATGACACAGGTCAAACGTTTTCTGTAAGTCTTCACAAGGTTTTCACACACTGTTGCTGGTATTTTGGCCCATTCCTCCATGCAGATCTCCTCTAGAGCAGTGATGTTTTGGGGCTGTCGCTGGGCAACACGGACTTTCAACTCCCTCCAAAGATTTTCTATGGGGTTGAGATCTGGAGACTGGCTAGGCCACTCCAGGACCTTGAAATGCTTCTTACGAAGCCACTCCTTCGTTGCCCGGGCGGTGTGTTTGGGATCATTGTCATGCTGAAAGACCCAGCCACGTTTCATCTTCAATGCCCTTGCTGATGGAAGGAGGTTTTCACTCAAAATCTCACGATACATGGCCCCATTCATTCTTTCCTTTACACGGATCAGTCGTCCTGGTCCCTTTGCAGAAAAACAGCCCCAAAGCATGATGTTTCCACCCCCATGCTTCACAGTAGGTATGGTGTTCTTTGGATGCAACTCAGCATTCTTTGTCCTCCAAACACGACGAGTTGAGTTTTTACCAAAAAGTTATATTTTGGTTTCATCTGACCATATGACATTCTCCCAATCCTCTTCTGGATCATCCAAATGCACTCTAGCAAACTTCAGACGGGCCTGGACATGTACTGGCTTAAGCAGGGGGACACGTCTGGCACTGCAGGATTTGAGTGTGTTACTGATGGTAGGCTTTGATGGTAGGCTTTGTTACTTTGGTCCCAGCTCTCTGCAGGTCATTCACTAGGTCCCCCCGTGTGGTTCTGGGATTTTTGCTCACCGTTCTTGTGATCATTTTGACCCCACGGGGTGAGATCTTGCGTGGAGCCCCAGATCGAGGGAGATTATCAGTGGTCTTGTATGTCTTCCATTTCCTAATAATTGCTCCCACAGTTGATTTCTTCAAACCAAGCTGCTTACCTATTGCAGATTCAGTCTTCCCAGCCTGGTGCAGGTCTACAATTTTGTTTCTGGTGTCCTTTGACAGCTCTTTGGTCTTGGCCATAGTGGAGTTTGCAGTGTGACTGTTTGAGGTTGTGGACAGGTGTCTTTTATACTGATAAGTTCAAACAGGTGCCATTAATACAGGTAACGAGTGGAGGACAGAGGAGCCTCTTAAAGAAGAAGTTACAGGTCTGTGAGAGCCAGAAATCTTGCTTGTTTGTAGGTGACCAAATACTTATTTTCCACCATAATTTGCAAATAAATTCATTAAAAATCCTACAATGTGATTTTCTGGAAAAAAAATTCTCAATTTGTCTGTCATAGTTGACGTGTACCTATGATGAAAATTACAGGCCTCTCTCATCTTTTTAAGTGGGAGAACTTGCACAATTGGTGGCTGACTAAATACTTTTTCCCCCCACTGTATTTCAAAGGTTTGTTTAATACATAAAATAAATTAAATGATTCCTGATGATAGTGTCTTCGTCCCAAATGGCACCTTATTCCCTTTCTAGTGCTCTATTTTTGACCAGTAGTGCACTATATAGAGAACAGGGTGCCGTTTTGGATGGAGACACTGTCTCCCCTTAAAAGAGGTTTACGGTCACTTCATGTAACTGACCTCCAGTGATTTGGTGTTGAAAGGTGGCATGCTTGTCAGGTTAGCGTAGATCTTCAGGGCTTTGTCGCCTGCCTCCTCTGCCTCAGCATGCACCTTGTTGGCCTGTTTCTCCAGGTTCTTGGCCAGGTCCTTTGCCTCATTGTACCTGAGTGGATGAACATGATAGTTCAATTATAAAACTGTTGAGGGGATTTGAACCTGTACTGGCTTATGAGACATGTTCCGGACAGGATCAACGTTAGTATGATTTCATTGTAGATTTTAGGAGAGAGAGAGAGACAGGAATCACAGAAAGGTGCTGTTGCAGACAGTGACATACTTCCTGTTGAGCTCATCAATGTCTTGGTTGGTCTTGCCATCGCCATCTAGAGTCTTCATCAGCAGGTTGAGAGCCTTGGTGGACGTGTCGTTGGCATCCTTGGCGATCTTCTCAATTTGATCCGCGTCCATTTTATGTCTGCAGAAGAAAAAGAGGGATTTGATTTGTTTTTCATAGACGAAGCAGAAAGCAGTCTTTTGGTTTCTTGCAGCGCAATAATATAATCAAATAATAAGATCAAAAGTGATAGGGTGTACAGGCCTAAGTAATTACAAAGCAATAATTTGTTTGTATTATTTGGCGTGTGCACTTTCCCCCCTTCCACTAAGAAGAATTGCATATCCAGGAACTCAGGGTGGATTGTATGGAGCAATACATGTCAGAGAACAACATAATTATTTCATCATTGTAGCTACAGTCCTTACTTGTCGGCCAGATTGCGAGCCTCCTCTGCCAGAAGGGTCATGTTGTTAGGATCTCCAGTGATTGAGGGTGCTTTGATGTCCTGGAGGAGAAAAATAATAAAGTAGGGAATCAATTAACTTCCTGTTGTTTTTCTCATGCAGGAAGAAGGCATTCATCATTGTGCTATGGTTGGAAACAAACATGGACTAAGGGTTTATGCAACAAGAATAGTAACAGTAAAAATATACTACATCCAAATTAGATCATGCGGTGAGATCATGCAATCAGTGCTCCAAATGTCTTAGGGTGCATCCCAAATGGCATCCTTTTCCCTATATAATTCACTAATTTTGACCAGGGCCCTATGAGCAAAAGTGGTGTACTATATAGGGAATAGGGTACGATTTGGGACGCATCTTTAGTTACTGACGTCACATTTTTCTAAATTAATTACGGGATGACCCACCAGTTTGCTGATGGCATCCTTGGCCTTGTCCAGTTCCTCGCGGGCGCGGCCGATCAGGTTCTCGGCGTCTTGGACCCGGTTGCGGGCCTTGTCGGCCTGGGTTCCGGTGTTGTCCACGGTGTTCCTGATGTTCTGCAGACGATTCCACTGAGTGGTCAGTGTGTTGTTCAGGTTCCCCAGGCGCTCCAGCAGGCCTTTGTCCACATCTGAAAAAACAAAAGCAGCATTCACAACTCCCATTCTGAGCGGAAATACTCCCATGTATATATGTACATGTACGGCCCCAGAGACCGGGGTTCAATCCCTGCCTCAACCCTTCACTCTGTTACACCCATCTTCCAATATCTTAAAAAAACAACTCAAATTCATGATTCATTTGATCTAATTCTAGTTGACTAGAACAGCATTGCTTCAACCTAGTGACACCATCAAATTCCCCTAACGTTTGTTTGATTGATCCATTATGTCCTACAACATTCACATGATCAATTTCATCTAACAGCTATTGAATAGAACAGCATTCCTTCAAGCAAGCGAGACATTACATTTCAATATCATAAAATCCCCGAAAGGGTCAAGGCTTGTACCTTTGCTGGTCTGAGCCTCCTCCAGTAGGTCCATGATGGCTTTCTCTGCCTCCTTCAGTCGGTCCTCAAACGCCTTGTCACTCACAGTCTCTGACGTGGAGCCCAGGTTGTCAATCAAAGTCTGCAGGTCATGCAGCTTCTGTCTCTGCTGGTTCACCTATGTAAGAGTAATACCACAATGTTTAGAGTGGTTGCCTATGCAGCTATACAGCACACTCAACTTTCTTAAATATTTTTTGGGGGATTTTTCAAGTTTATTGGACAGAGACTGTGGAGAGACAGGAAAGGAAGGAAGAGAGATGGTGTACTAGAACTAAACTTTATTGACAAAAATAATCCACTGATGAAAACAACACCAAGAGTCTTTACCTTGTCTCTGACGAGGGAATAACAGGACGGACACTGCTGGCAGCCAGGAGTAGAGCGGTTGTAGAAGTAATTCTCCTCACACATGTCACACCTGGCTCCCACGAAGCCTGGACGGCACTCACAGCGGCCATCTTCTTTACACTGGGCCGTCGAGGAGCCCTCTGGGTCGCAGTCGCACGCTGGAGTAGAGGAAGAAGAGAGAGAAATGAGAAACTGGCCAAAATTAAAGAGGCTCTTGAAATATGAGTGTGATTTCAGAGTGCAGGTTGAAAATCTATAATGACAATAAATACAGTAAGACAGTCTTCAGGTTATGATGATATTCTCTTCCCATTAGACCATGTCACAACCTACTCAAGTGATATAGTCACACAGCTGCATGGCTCATTATGACGCATTCTTAGAGTTTCATCATGTTAAAGAGAGATTAAAGAGAGACTTAAGAAAGAGAAAGCGTACGTTTGCAGCCTGACGATCCGAATCCGAAGAAGTTGACCTCGCAGCGTTCACAGCGCTGACCGGTGACACCGGGCTGGCATTCACACTGACCGGAACCGATGTCACACTGACCGTTGGTGGACCCAGTAGGATTGCAGTTGCATCTGTCATGATATCAAAGAACGTCAAGGCACATTTCAACTTAGAAACATACCAGCGATCGAAACACGACAGATATCGTATTACAGACCTCTATTTCCAATAAGAAAACATCGATATTTGAGGTACAGTGATGAAAATCAGTCAGGTAAAAGCTTCATAGACCTCTATTCCTACTAAGAAATATTTATACTAAATATCCATATTGAGGTGTTGGCAGAGTGGTTACTGTTACTGACCCTTCACAGCCTGTTCCGCTCTTCAGGTTGAAGAAGCCAGGCTCACAGGTGCTGCAGTCCCTGTTGGTGACGTGGGGGAAACACTGGCACTGGCCTGTGACCTGTGGACAGCTGGTCTGTCTGTCCACTGTGCCATACGGAGAGCAGGAGCAGGCTGGGGACAGGAGAGACAAGAGAAACCCATGGCTAACACGGCAAGCATCACGGCATGATCTCTGTATTGTACATGGAACTGAACTGTACACAGGATACAATGGAATAGAACACTTTGTCTATTTGGGGACAGGAGCGAGAAGAGACACCCATTAATACAGGAGCGAGAAGAGACACCCGTTAATACAGGAGGGTGAAGAGACACCCGTTAATACAGGTGGGTGAAGAGACACCCGTTAATACAGGAGGGGGAAGAGACACCCGTTAATACAGGAGGGGGAAGAGACACCCGTTAATACAGGAGGGGGAAGAGACACCCGTTAATACAGGAGGGGGAAGAGACACCCGTTAATACAGGAGGGGAGAAGAGACACCCGTTAATACAGGAGGGGAGAAGAGACACCCGTTCATACTGGAGGGGGAAGAGACACCCGTTAATACAGGAGGAGAAAGAGACACCCGTTAATACAGGAGGGGGAAGAGACACCCGTTAATACAGGAGGGGGAAGAGACACCAGTTAATACAGGAGGGGGAAGAGACACCCGTTAATACAGGTGGGGGAAGAGACACCCGTTAATACAGGAGGGGGAAGAGACACCCGTTAATACAGGAGGGGGAAGAGACACCAGTTAATACAGGAGGGGGAAGAGACACCAGTTAATACAGGAGGGGGAAGAGACACCCGTTAATACAGGAGGGGGAAGAGACACCCGTTAATACAGGAGGGGGAAGAGACACCCGTTAATACAGGAGGGGGAAGAGACACCCGTTAATACAGGAGGGGGAAGAGACACCCGTTAATACAGGAGGGGGAAGAGACACCCATTAATACAGGAGGGTCATGCTGGTCGTCATTTTCTCGTCTTACGTTTGCACTTGTCGTTGGGGTTGGTGGCCAGAGGGTTTCCATAGAAGCCCTCTCTGCAGCGGTCGCAGAAGAAGCCATCTGTGTTGTAGATACACTTGAGGCACTCCCCGGTCTCTCTGTCACAGTTGCCCACAGCGTTGGGGTCGATGTTGTCGGTACACTTACAGGCCCGACACACCCTTACCTGCCCATTCTCCCCCAGGGGGTCTCCGAAGAAACCATCATCACACAGCTCGCAGCGCTTGCCTGGGGAAAGACGCAATTCATAGTTTGGATTACATGATTATGAATATATGTGAATATAAGCTTCCATACCAACAACTTCTAAACTAAATAGAGAAATAAGCACATACAATAAAGACACTTTGGAAAATTATTTATGTTTTTAACTGTTTACACTAACATTTTGGGAATGAATAGTAAGTAATTAAACAAGTATTTTTAAAGACATTCAAAACAAATCAACAGAGTACTCCAACCAGTTCTAATTACTCGTGGTTCTATGTTTCTACAAAGTGGGTTAACTGTAAAGTCGATTGTCTGTCTCAATCCCAGATTATTTATATGTTTAATAAAAAAAGTGTACACCAAATCATTTATTATTACCTGTGGTTCCAGTAGGACAGTTGGTGCAGACAACCTCCTTGGTCTTGAACACAACAGCACAAGTGGATCCTCCGGGGCAGGGGCAGGGTTTGCAGTCGCTGGAACTCCCCACAGTGGAGTCTCCATAGTATCCATCTTTACACCTCTCACAACTGAGCCCAGCTGTGTTGTGTCGGCAGTCACACATCCCTTCAAACAGACACGTCAAAAACACACACGTCATGTCTTTAGCAGCCAGCAGAGGGGAGTCTAAGACAGATGAGAGTTTTCCATCCAGACACATCTTTAGAGTAGATGAGGAGAGAGTAGGCTGCCCATCAGTCATGTTTTAAACCATTGGGCACACAGATACATCTCTTTATAGCAGAGTGTTATTACTGGCTGACGTTAGTGTGATCTGTTAATCTCTGTTCTGTTCCACTCTACTATAAAAGAGGACATTTAATGTTGAACATTCCACGGTTCTAAACACAGACACAATTAGCCATAGCCATAGCAGATAAAAATACAGTAGGGCCCAAGTCCACTGCATGACTCCTGTCTGGGACATTTACCCAACCAGTCATGTGGTGATTGAGGACTCGTCTCTAACCCCTACTCCTCTGGGCTTTGTCGTTTCCCTATGGGCCCTGCTCTAAAGTAGTGCACTACATAGGGAATAGGCTGCCATTTGGGACTGTCATTGTCATTGCACTGACCTGTGTCGGGGTTGCACTTGTCACTGTGTCCATTACAGTTGCAAGCATCACAGGAACTGAAGGGCCCCAGGTCTGGTCTACTCCTCCTGTATCCCAGGGCGCACCTCTCACAGTGCTGTCCCACGTAGCCCTGAGGGCAGGTACACTTCTCTACCCAGCGAGCCGGGCTCCCGGGACCTCTCCTCGCCGTGATCAGCTTCACATCGTCAAGGTAACCAGCACCTGGGGAACGATGAGCATTGATTAGATCATGCATCTTGTCTTGAGAAAGGCCACTAGGCCGAAACGGTGACCAAAGTGACTTGCCCACTGTTGTGAACATGGAATCAAAGATACAGACCGACCACCAACATTCTTGTCTCCCAGCTTTTCATTTTTATTGCATTGATTAGGCCTCACTGGTCATGTCTAAAGTAGTGGGGTAACTGCATATTACTATGTCTTTGCCCTTCGAGTTATCTGGATATTTGTTCTGAGAGGATCTGATGACTTCAATAACAGGGGAAAACATCACCACGTTGTGTCTTTAGGGGAAATGAGAAAAATTCAGCCATTACCTGCGCACTAATATTATGACTAGAAAGGAGTTTCAAAATCCTCTCCGTGATTAGCTGAGAGATGTCCTCAGAACTGATAAAAGGATATGAAATCCAAGCTTATCAGTTCACTAGACCTACCTAACATGCTGCTTGTCATGGTCCAATCCTACAGATACTACTGTAGTCCTGGGCCTACTTCATAAAGCGTCTCTAAGTAGCAGTGCTGATCTAGGATCAGTTTTTTTGTGTTTTAGATCATAATACATAAGATTATATGGACCGGGGAAACATGATTATAGATCAGTACTCCTACTCTGAGATACTTTATGAAAACAGGCCCTGAACCAGGATGTATGTATGGTTTACATAGTGAAATGAGGTGAGGTGGAAGAGTGGGTGCATACTTCTCTCGCTATAGGTGCCACGGATCTTGATGGACGTCAGATTGTGCAGAAGCTTCTGGAACTCTGAGTGAGTGAGGGTGGGCCTCCAGGGGTAGTCTGTGCTGTCGTGGAGCCTGACAGAAAAAAAACAGAACACAGTTAGTGGGGCATTCACAACATCAGATAACATAAGACAACTTTTTTTATGCGTTTGCTTTCTATGTGACAATTTCTACATTATGTTATTACCACAGAATATGCTGTAAAAAGTCACCTTTCATACTTCAAATGATTAACTTTTGTTGTGCTGGTATTCTATACACATCTCTGGGTTATGGTTGTATGATTTCCACCCACCTGAATACAAATGTCTGCATGTTCTCTCCAGGATAAGCATTTCCCTGAGCAATGAGAGGCACAGCCACTCTGAGGCCAGCCCCCTCCAGAACCACATCCTCAGCTGAGAGGCGCGTGTCTCTCCTGTCCACCCGGAAGTTCAGGGTGAGGTTCTGGCCGTAGCTCAGCAGCTGATTGCCCAGGAACCTCTCTACAGTAATGAGATAAGAAAATACTTGATAAAATCACTTCAACAAAGTCACCACAATTTAGATAAGACACCATCTCCCATTGGTCTTTGGGGCAATCACAGTTTCCCCATAGGCTCACTCCAATGAATTATTCAAATAGTAGAAGAAAAAGAAAGCCTCTTTCACAATAAAAGTATTTGAGTTAGTGTCAGTCACACAGTACCTGGAGCCACAAAGTACATGGGGAAGTAGTCTTCGGAGATGAGGGAGATCTCCTCTCCACCAGCGGACCACTGGACTGAAACACTGGAGCCGTCACGCTGCTGGCCTGTCCACTGCTCATCATCTAGGAACAGGTTTCATGTTTGTTACATTCAATTCTATCAAGTCATATCTTTACATCACAACAACCTCTCCGAATGTACCAAAACTTAAGTGATATTTGCATACTTTCTGAATATTTCTAGAAACTTACTCCAGCTTAATAAAATCAAAGCCTTGTCCGAGCCAGAACAGCCCATAATGAAAAGGTGAAAATGGGCTCACCTCTGTCGAAGGTGGAGGAGACGGTGTCGATGCTGTAGCCTTCAGCGCTGTCACAGACAGAGGAGTGCTGGAAGCAGAAGCATGGAGTGCAACCCTGAGGGTTCTGGGGGTCCATGTTGAAGTAGCCCAGCTTACACCTAAAATAAACCACATTTGCCTTTTAATAGCAACTTCCATAAAAATGGATATGAGCAATGGGTAAGTCTAAATCTGCAAATACTGTAGATAGTCAACATATAGTTAATTGATTTCATAAAAAGTTAACTGTATAAAACGGAGGTAAAACACCCGTTGACCTTTTCCACATTTTGTTGTGTTACTGCCTGAATTTAAAATGGATTAAATTGAGATTCTGTGTCACTGGCCATAATGTCAAAGTGGAATTGTGTTTTTCGAAATGTTTACTAATTAATTACAAATGAAAAGCTGAACTGTCTCGAGTCAATAAGTATTCAACCCCTTTATGGCAAGCCTAAATAAGTTCAGGAGTAAACGTTTGCTTAACAAGCCACATAATAAGTTCCATGGACTGTGTGCAATAATTGTTTTTAACATGATTTCTGAATGACTACCTCGTCTCTGTACACCACACATACAATTATCTGTATGGTCCCTCAGTCGAGCAGTGAATTTCAAACACAGATTCAACCACAAAGACCAGGGAGGTTTTCCAATACCTTGCAAAGAAGGGCACCTATTGGTAGATGGGTAAAACTACAAATTAATATCTGAGCATGGTGACGTTATCAATTACACTTTGGATGGTGTATTAATAAACCCAGTCCCTACAAAGATACACGCGTCCTTCATAACTCAGTTGCCGGAGAGAAAGGAAACCGCTCAGGGATTTCACCATGAGGCCAATGGTGACTTTAAAACAGTTAAGAGTTGAATGGCTGTGATAGGAAAAAACTGAGGATGGATCAACAACAACATTGCAGTTACTCGACAATACTAACCTAATTGACAGAGTGAAAAGAAGGATGCCTGTACATAATAAAATATTCCAAAACATGCATCCTGTTTGCAACAAGGCACTAAAGTAACACTGCAAAGAATGTGGCAAAGCAATTAACTTTTTGTCCTGAATACAAAGTGTTATGTTTGGGGCAAATCCAATACAACACATTACTGAGTACCACTATCCATATTTTCAAGCATAGTGGTGGCTCAATTATGTTATGGGTATTCTTGTAATCGTTAAGGACTAGCGAGTTTTTCAGGATAAAAAAGAAACGGAATGGAGCTAAGCACAGGCAAAATCCTAGAGTAAAACCTGGTTCAGTCTGCTTTCCACCAGACATAGGGAGATGAATTCACCTTTCAGCAGGACAATAACCTAAAACACAAGGCCAAATATACACTGGAGTTGCTCACCAAGACATTGAATGTTCCTGAGTGGCCGAATTACAGTTTTGACTTAAATCTACTTGAAAATCTATGGCAAGACTTGAAAATAGCTGTCTAGCAATGATCAACAACCAACTTGACAGAGCTTGAAGAATAAAACATGTTTTTAAATGCAAATATTGTACAATCCAGGTGTGCAATGCTCTCCGAGACTTACCCAGAAATAATCACAGGTGTAATCGCTACCAAAGGTGATTATAACATGTATTGACTCAGGGGTGTGAATACTTATGTAAATTAGATTTCTCTCTATTTCATTTTCAATAAATTTGCCAAAATGTCTCAAAACATGTTTTCACTTTGTCATTATGGGGTATTGTCTGTAGATGGGTGAGAGAAAAAAAATATATTTCATCAATTTTGAATTCAGGCTGTAACAACAAAATGTGGAATAAGTCAAGGGGTACGAATACTTTCTGAAGGCACTGTATGTGAAACTATTGACATTCAGTTTGAGGCGTGGGCTATATTCTATAATGAGCCCCATATCGCCTTTCTCGTCCTCATATGATATGGGTATACATTTCAACAGAGATTAAAATGCGTTGACAGTTTAATCGAATGACAGCCAGGGAGAATGACAATTTATTAGACTGTGAAACTGCTGTCGCCTAAAAGGCAGACAGACAAACACCGGTCTGTAATTTCAGTCTCTTGTTGTGAGTGACCATGCAGCATCTGACAAACTGTATGTGTCCCAAATGGCATCCTATTCCTTATATAGTGTATTACTTTTGACCAGGCCACATTATAGGGAATAGGGTGCTATTTGGGATGCATCCACACTGGGGGGGATCATTAATTCCATCTGTGACCCAGCTGGGTGGCTGGGAGGAATGTTACACCCACCAGCATCTGTGGAGCTGGGGTTGTGGAGGGGAAAGGTGCTGTTGTTGGGGGTGGGAGATCTGGGGTAGAGGGATGAGAGGGGGTTAGGTGGTGGCCATTGCACAAAGGCAGAGGGAAGACTGTTCCAGGCAGCAGACAAGGCAGTGGTGACTGACTGGGCTTGGGAGAAGCCATAGAAGGCCTGGCTGCCAGTCTGTCTCAGTGGGGAGGAGTGAGCTATCTATGGGCTATTTTCTCCTTCGCTGCTAGGGGAGCCATGTGGCCGGTCTAATTCCATTTTGCACACATACAGAGCATTCTTTCACTGAGAGAGGGGTACTCTCCTGTGTTTCTGTGTGTCAGGGGCTGCTTTTAAACATCTGTAGTTTAACCTAAGGATGTCATAACAGAAGAGGAGCTGAAATGCTGCAATGCGAAGTAGCTTTAAAACAGTTTCCCTCCCCAATGAACAATACCGCAAACTGTGTTGCACTAGCTGAATGGAGCCAACTCGTATTTCACTGCCTAAGTGACTTTTGCAACCCTGTTTCACTCTAAATCCATAAATATTCCCAGACAAAGACATTCCTAACTGAAAAGACACCGTGTCTTTTCGGTATAAGGAAATCATGTTTTTGTGTGTACTGTCCCTCTGTGGTGTGTGTGTGTCTGTGTAATGAATCCCTGTGGCGGAGAGACCGAGTAGGTCTGACGCTGACCTGTCACAGCTGAAGCCCTCCACGTTGTCCTTGCACTGGCAACGGCCTGTCTGGACATCACACTCCTGTGTGCTTCCGGAAGGGTTACAGGAGCAAGGTCTGGAGAGCAGAGGGATGGGGGAGGGGAGAGGGGAAGCACAGCCATTCACATAAACAGCATGGATCTGACAGCCACCATCTAAAGCAGGCCTGCTGCGAGCCTGTTTATATCCTGACTTAAAGTAAAAGGACCATTGCTGGCCTGGCACAGAACTCCAAACTGCATCCAAAATGGTATCCTATTCCCTCTATAGTGCACTACCTTTGACCAGAGCCCTGGTCAAAAGTAGTGCACTATATTGGGAGTAGGGTCCCATTTGGGATACACTCCAAAATTGACGGGCTCCATCTCACTCCCAAATAAACACATGAAGCGCAAACGATAAATACATCCGAACGAACCATAATAAAACGTTAAGATTGTTTGATCTGGAGCAGTAAAAATATCAATATGACATGTAGCTGAGTGGCTGGCAAGAGTGATTGGCTTGTTAGTGCTGGTTTATACCTGCAGCCTGCTTCGGTCAAGGTGTGGAAGCCAGGTTGGCAGCGGTCACACTTGTCCCCCATCACACCTGGTTTACAGCTGCAGCGTCCCGTGTTGTCACACTGAGTGGCCAGAGAGCCTGGCAGTAGAGAGGAAGAGCAAGAAGCACAGATCAACCTCAGTTCATCATTTCAACACACTGCTACACACATGCAGGCAATCATGGTTTAATTCACACCACATGTGGACAGTCTTGTTCTAATAACCCGTATTGGCAGCTAAAGTGGTATCGATGTCACATGTGTTTTGCAGTGGTTTTCATTAGGTTAAACATTGCACAATAAGGTAGCATATGAGGTTACAGAGCAGAGGATGTATGAAACGTAACATACTGGCGACAACCGCAGCTGTAACCTATTAAGACTTGGGGTTCGTCTCTCAATCCAATAAAACCGTAACCCACAGCACTACAAAACAAAGCCTACCTTCATGCTGTATATAGCCTCGTTATTGTTATGTAATTTTCTTGTGTCACTTTTTATTTAATTTTTTACTTTAGTTTATTAGTAAATATTTTCTTAACTATTTCTTGAACTGCATTGTTGGTTAAGGGCTTGTAAGTAAGCATTTCACAGTAAGGTCTACACCTGTTGTATTCGGCGCATGTGACATGTTTTTTTGATTTGTAGTTCTCTTTTTACCCCAATTGAAACAGTATTTAATGAAACATTAAGACCAGTGATTGGGGGGGGGGGGAATCAGTAGTTACTTATCAAGATATTATTTTGGACAACATTATATAGATACTTTGACTCAAAGTATATATATATTTTTTTTTTGCTAGGTAGCTAGTGCTAGTCGGCTGAACCTGTGCCAAAACGGCAGTATTTTTCATCCTATAGCTTGTTCTCCCTTTTTCTTAAATAGTGAGTCAACATGTTTTCAGCGCTTTTATTTCCATGACTGATCAAAACAAATTTTCTCACGCTCTCTTTTGTCTGTCTGCAGCAGACATACAGTATATGGAGCAATATGTTTGGAACATCAAATTGCAATAAAATTGCAGTATCAAATCGCAATACATATAGAATCGTGAGAATTGCAATATATATCGTATCAGCACCTAAGTATCGTGATAGTATCGTATTGTGAGGTCCCTGGCAATTCCCAGCCCTAATTAAGACTTGTGGTTCGTCGCTGAATCCCATAAAACAGCACCAAGGGCAGTCCCTTCACAACAAAGCCTGGCTTCATACTGTACTTATCCTTTAACCCTAATAGAAACAGTAAGTCTACGTTCCAAATGGCACCCTATTCCCTATGTAGCGCACAACTTTTGATCAGGGCCCATAACCCTCTGGTCAAAAGTAGTGCACTATGTAGGGAATAGAGTGCCATTTTGGATGCACATAAGTATTTATTGGTATAGACCCCAGACACTCACCTACTGGGTTGCAGCTGCAGGGCAGGCAGCGGGTGCCAGATCCGTCTCTGTAGTAGTTGTCCAGGCAGCGCTCACAGTTGGGCCCGTCAGTGTTGTCGGCACAGTTGCGGCAGTGTCCTCCGTGGCCAGTGGCACGGTACAGCTCAGGGTCAAAGTAGCACTCTGCACTCTTGCCATTACAGTTGCACGCTGGGAACATCAGCAAAAGTAGCCATTAGTTTATCCCATTCAAATTTAAAGGACAATGTGTGGGTGAGATCAATGTATGTGTATATTGGGGAGGGAGCAGTAGAATTTAAACTGTCGGATTTCAGAGTGGGAAAAGCAAATTTGCCATACCAGGCTTTGGTAAACACCATACCGTTTTAGGGACAACATATGTATGGGTTCAATGTATAGGTACTGTATAGGGGAAAGGAGGTGGTAGAGACAGATACCAATATGGAACAGAAATATCATACTGAATCTTCCCTGCATTAAAGGGTGGGGCATTTCATTTGGCACATTTTACATATCAGGTGTACTTTTCCCTAAATGGTAGATTATGTGGCCTGAAGCAGATTGAGGTGGGTGTGGAATTGAGTGTGAGAAGTGGGGTGTGGACTGTTCTGAACCGAATTAGTTATGCATTTGCAGTATGATATGAATGTCTGCCTGGCCTGGCCTGCACAGAAACAGGAAGGATCCCTTGCTTTGGGACTTAAGCAGACACTAATCTCTTGGTCTGTGTCCCAAATGGTATCCTATTCCCTATGTAGTGCACTACTTTTGACCAGGGCCCCTACTAGGGCCCATAGAGCTCTGGTCAAAAGTATAGCACTACATAGGGAAAAGGGTGCCATTAGGGACGGCATGGGACTGACTTACGCAGACACTCGTTAGGGTTATTGGCTGTAGCTCTCCTCCAGGGACGGTCGTTGTAGAATGGCTTGCACACATTGCAGTCATCGCCCTCCGTGTTGTGCTTGCAGTTGCAAACCGGCTTGACGAAACCATTGTTTTTCACACACTCACTCGCATGGCCGTTGCACTTGCACCTGGAACAGTGGAGTCTGTTAGTCATCATGAGAGTTACAACGCACAATTCAAACATCTGGGCCGTATTCACAAAGCCTCTAAGAGTAGGAGGATCAAGTCCCCGCTATCTACGTCATATTATTCATTATGATGTAATTGGCAAAAACTGATCCTAGATCAGTACTCCTACTCTGAGACGCTTTATGAATATGGTCTCTGACCAGTGGTCTTTTGCTCTGGTCTTAGAGGACCGGACTGTAAGCATCGAATGGGACTCAGTTATTGATTAACCTAACAGACGTGATTACTTGGTTAAACAGTCTAACACTCCAACCATATGGTATATCAGCTGCACTGATTTCCAGTGCAATCATATAAGTCAGTCACCTTTGTCCTTTGTATGCAAGCTTTTTTAAGTGGGTGACCTGTTATCACATGATAGCAGCATGGTTATATTTACAATCTTCTACAAATAGGTATTCATCTATCTACATCAGCATTTGACAGATAGCAGCAACTTTGCCGTCAATGTGGACTCCATCTAGGCCCATCTATAACACACCACTATTTGTAGCCTACATCTTTTTTTTTTTTTTTTAAGTCATTACTCTAAGTATGTGTTGTTGGAAATCACCAAAAACACTTAAATATAATTTGACTTCATGATCCATCAACAAATACATTCCTATTACACCTTTAGCCAAATCAATTTTGACACTGGGAGAGTTTTATTTGGTCTGATAACTCCATGGTGTTTGCCCAATGCAGAAGGGTTGAACATTCTCCACCTGAGACACCTCGACAGAGCCCTTCCGAACAAGAGAAGATTTGCATGGCAGCAACCTTTGGGTATTGTTTCAGGTGTTCCTTGGCAGCGAAGTGTGGAAAAAGTGACAACAGGAAGGAAGCATTTGGGGCCTATTAAACAGAATAGGCTGTTTGTTCATCTAAAAAACCAAAGCAAACCTCTCTCACTGTCTTTTCCATTTTGTAGTATCTGTACAATCAGCCAGATATATAGGCTAGCTGGTAGAAGTGTTGACATGGCTGACCGGTGGACAGTGAACTTGGTGCCCTGACAGGTGGAGAGTAGTCCTACTACACCAGAGCTTGGCCCGGCTTGGTCTTTGGACTCAACTCTGTCGTCATATCGGGGCCCGCCCCATTCCGGTTTCTGTGCACTGTAATCCAGAACTCCCAAGCAGGAATGCCAACAATGTGGCTGTGTAATGGAAATCTGCTCTATATTTCAAAACAGATTAAGGTGAAAAGACACTGCAGCGGCAAGGGGGCAGTTTAACACTTGGCTCCCGAGTGACGCAGTGGTCTAAGGCACTGCATTTCAGTGCTTGAGGCGTCACTACAGACACCCTGGTTCGATTCCAGGCTGTATCACAACCAGCCGTGATTGGGAGTCCCATAGGGAGGTTTGGCCGGTGTAGGCCGTCACTATAAATAAGAATTTGTTCTTAACTGACTTGCCTAGTTAAATAAAGGTTAAATAAAAAATAAGTGTCTGATCCCCTCTTCTCTTCTCTTCTGGCTTTTCAGTTCAAAACTTGGGAGGGATATTTTTTGGTTGAGCCCCTGAGAATGAACCCACACAAAGTAAAATGGGGCCAGATATGTGATATGAACTTGATCTGAAGTCAACAGACTATGCTACTTTAGATGATTGATTTAGCTAACACCACCCAGACAAAAACATCTTTGTTGTCAGCACTTGAGGTTTGATAATGATCGTGAATTATACTTTTTTTCTTTAATCCAACAGACTGAATCCTATCCTTGTAGACATTCCATATCCTCATCCCCATTTATTTTTTTTGTGAATCTGCACTAAAGAAAACACGCTGTGTGGCTAACAGACAGGGCCTCATCCTTTAAAGGAATTTTATAGGAATAAATTATTTGCTGTCATTTTTCCTTTTTATGCTAACATTTCTAGTAGACAACACCAAATTAAAAACGTGTACAATTAATTATTCATAGAAAATATATTTGTGTGTGTGTGTGTGTGTGAAATTGCTATATTCAATGGTATTGGTAAAAGAAAAGAAAATAATCTGTGCACAAGGGAAAAGCCAGGCAGTGGAAGCTGCCAACAGCTGTTGCAAGATAGAGATAGCATAATGCAGAGGGAACCACTCTCACCTTCCTCCCACTGCAAAGTCTGAGATAGCGTAGTAGTAGGATTTCAGGACCTTGGGATCATTGAAAACTTCATCTCCGAATGTGTTGAGCCTGTTCAGGGTCACTTTGATATCTGTGGCTGTCACCCATTCCTGAAAAAAATACAAAAGGACACAGTGTTAAAATGCAGCCAGGTCAGACTCTATAAAAACGTCTGCCAGGCCTTGCCTGCTAAATACGTATGGAGAGTTATTAACTTACAACTTTGCTTGACGGATGAGAAAAGGGAGAGAGGATTGGAGATTCCAAAGTGAACTGCACGATAGGTTTGTTTGACGTAAAAGGAATTCTTATCGGGTTGAAGGGTTACATTTTAAAAATGAGAGATTTAGCCCTATCCCTGGTCCTAGTGCAGCTGTTTAGAAGAAAAATAAATACAGCCAAACTAATCTAAACCAAACCTCAGACATTCTCAAAGAATCAGACTGGTTCTGGAATCAGAAGATATGGAAGCCTTTTGTTTGCTTGTTTAGAATTACAGCAGAAGACAAATCCGGTGTAAGCAACAGAAGATCACTCAGGCAGTAATACCAAGAAAGTTGGAAACCATAGAGTAACATCTATAAGATTCTCTGTTCTCTTCCACACATGCAGGTTTAGAATAAATAATAGCATACAGTGAGGGAAAAAAGTATTTGATCCCCTGCTGATTTTGTACGTTTGCCCACTGACAAAGAAATGATTAGTCTATAATTTTAATGGTAGGTTTATTTGAACAGTGAGAGACAGAATAACAACAAAAAAATCCAGAAAAACGCATGTCAAAAATGTTATAAATTGATTTGCATTTTAATGAGGGAAATAAGTATTTGACCCCCACTCAATCAGAAAGATTTTTGGCTCCCAGGTGTCTTTTATACAGGTAACGAGCTGAGATTAGGAGCACACTCTTAAAGGGAGTGCTCCTAATCTCAGCTTGTTACCTGTATAAAAGACACCTGTCCACAGAAGCAATCAATCAATCATATTCCAAACTCTCCACCATGGCCAAAACCAAAGAGCTCTCCAAGGATGTCAGGGACAAGATTGTAGACCTACGCAAGGCTGGAATGGGCTACAAGACCATCGCCAAGCAGCTTGGTGAGAAGGTGACAACAGTTGGTGCGATTATTCGCAAATGGAAGAAACACAAAAGAACAGGCAATCTCCCTCGGCCTGGGGCTCCATGCAAGATCTCACCTCGTGGCGTTGCAATTATCATGAGAACGGTGAGGAATCAGCCCAGAACTACACGGGAGGATCTTGTCAATGATCTCAAGGCAGCTGGGACCATAGTCACCAAGAAAACAATTGGTAACACACTACGCCGTGAAGGACTGAAATCCTGCAGCGCCCGCAAGGTCCCCCTGCTCAAGAAAGCACATATACAGGCCTGTCTGAAGTTTGCCAATGAACATCTGAATGATTCAGAGGAGAACTGGGTGAAAGTGTTGTGGTCAGATGAGACCAAAATCGAGCTCTTTGGCATCAACTCAACTCGCCGTGTTTGGAGGAGGAATGCTGCCTATGACCCCAAGAACACCATCCCCACCGTTAAACATGGAGGTGGAAACATTATGCTTAGGGGGTGTTTTTCTGCTAAGGGGACAGGACAACTTCACCGCATCAAAGGGACGATGGACGGGGCCATGTACTGTCAAATCTTGGGTGAGAACCTCCTTCCCTCAGCCAGGGCATTGAAAATGGGTCGTGGATGGGTATTCCAGCATGACAATGACCCAAAACACATGGCGAAGGCAACAAAGGAGTGGCTCAAGAAGAAGGACATTAAGGTCCTGGAGTGGCCTAGCCAGTCTCCAGACCTTAATCCCATAGAAAATCTGTGGAGGGAGCTGAAGGTTCGAGTTGCCAAATGTCAGCCTCAAAACCTTAATGACTTGGAGAAGATCTGCAAAGAGGAGTGGGACAAAATCCCTCCTGAGATGTGTGCAAACCTGGTGGCCAACTACAAGAAACGTCTGACCTCTGTGATTGCCAACAAGGGTTTTGCCACCAAGTACTAAGTCATGTTTAGCAGAGGGGTTAAATACTTATTTCCCTAATTAAAATGCAAATCAATTTATAACATTTTTGACATGCGTTTTTCTGGATTTTTTTGTTGTTATTCTGTCTCTCACTGTTCAAATAAACCTACCATTAAAATTATAGACTGATCATGTCTTTGTCAGTGGGCAAACGTACAAAATCAGCAGGGGATCAAATACTTTTTTCCCCTCACTGTATGTTTTACGTTCAACATTTTAATTAACTGTTCTGATTATTTTTATTTTATATACCCCTTTTTCTCCACCATTTTCGTGATATCCAATTGGTAGTTACAGTCTTTTTCCATCGCTGCAAATCCCCTACGCACTCGGGAGAGGCGAAGGTCGAGAGCCATGCGTCCTCCGAAACACGACCCTGCCAAGCCGCACTGCTTCTTGACACACTGCTCGCTTAACCCGGAAGCCAGCCGCACCAATGTGTTGGAGGAAACACCGTCCAACTGGTGACCGAAGTCAGTTTGCAGGCACCCGGGCTGCCACAAGGAGTCGCTAGAGCGTGATGGGACAAGGAAATCCCGGCCGGCCAAACCCTCCCCTAACCCGGACGCTGGGCCAATTGTGCGCCGCCTCATGGATCTCCCGGTCACGGCCGGCTGTGACACAGCCTGGGATCAAACCCGGGGCTTTAGTGACGCCTCAAGCACTGCGATGCAGGCCGCTGCGCCACTCGGGAGCTACTGTTCTGATTATTTCTGAAGAGGAGTTGTAAATGCAGCCAAGTCAAGTGTGTATCACACGCTTGCACAAGCAAAATTATTTGCCAACAAACATTCTGCAGAATTAGTTGTAGCCTAACTACTACCAGTAGACTAATTCAAAACATATATCAGGCTAGAGTTTTTGCTGACAACAGTTCCAATGTTTTGCCACTTATAGCCTTACTCTATTAGAACAGTCTGACACATCCATAGGGCAGCCATGAGTCAGAGCAGGTTCCGTCTGTCTCAGGCACGGGGCCAAAGGCTCTGCTCGTCTTTCCCTTTATTGACTCTGGCACTATCACTCCATCAGCTTATACATTTCCAGCTGTATCCAGGCAGACATTTAGAGTACATTCGGAAAGTATTCAGACCCCTTGACTTTTTTCACATTTTCTTACGTTACAGCCTTATTCTAAAATTGATTAAATAAAAAAAATGTCCCTCATCAACCTACACACAATACCCCATAATGACAACGCGAAAACTGGTTTTTAGAAATCTTTGCAAATGTATTAAAAATACTTAACATAAAAAAACGTATTCAGACTTTGCTATTAGACTCAAAATTGAGCTCAGGTGCATCATGTTTCGATCGATCATCCTTGAGATGTTTCTACAACTTGATTGGAGCACACCTGTGGTAAATTCAATTGATTGGACATGATTTGGAAAGGCACACCTGTCTATATATGGTCCCACAGTTGACAGTGCATGTCAGAGCAAAAGCCAAGCCATGAGGTCAAAGGAATTGTCCGTACCTCCGAGACAGGATTGTGTCGAGGCACAGATCTGGGGCACAGATCTGTTTTTTTTTTTTATATATTTTTTTTTTTAATTTTTTTTTTTGGTCATTTAGCAGACGCTCTTATCCAGAGCGACTTACAGTTAGTGAGTGCATACATTATTTTATTTTTTCATACTGGCCCCTCATGGGAATCGAACCCACAACCCTGGCGTTGCAAATGCCATTCTCTAACAACTGAGCTACATCCCTGCCGGCCATTCCCTCCCCTACCCTGGATGACGCTGGGCCAATTGTGCGCCGCCCCATGGGTCTCCCGGTCACGGCCGGCTACGACAGAGCCTGGATTCGAACCAGGATCTCTAGTGGCACAGCTAGCACTGCGATGCAGTGCCTTAGACCACTGCGCCACTCGGGCGCCACTTTGGCCGCCTAGCCAAAGTGAGCAATCGGGGGAGAAGGGCCTTGGTCAGGGAGGTGACCAAGAATCCGATGGTCACTCTGACAGAGCTCCAGAATTCCTCTGTGGAGATGGGAGAACCTTCCAGAAGGTCAACCATCTCTGCAACACTCCACCAATCAGGCCTTTATGGTAGAGTTGCCAGACGGAAGCCACTCCTCAGTAAAAGGCACATGACAGCCCGCTTGGAGTTTGCCAAAAGGCACCTAAAGGACTCTCAGACCATGAGAAACAAGATTCTCTGGTCTGATGAAACCAAGATTGGACTCTCTGGCCTGAATACCAAGCGTCACGTCTGGAGGAAACCTGGCACCATCCCTACGGTGAAGCATGGTGGTGGCAGCATCATGCTGTGGGGATGTTTTTCAGCGGAAGGGAGACTAGTCAGGATCGAGGGAAAGATGAACATAGCAAAGTACAGAGAGATCCTTGATGAAAACCTGCTCCAGAGCGCTCACGACCTCAGACTGGAGCGAAGGTTCACCTTCCAACAGGACAACGACCCTAAGCACACAGCCAAGACAACGCATGTCCTTGAGAGGCCCAGCCAGAGCCCGGACTTGAAACAGATCGAACATCTCTGGAGAGACCTGAAAATAGCTGTGCGGCAACGCTCCCCATCCAACATGACAGAGCTTGAGAGGATCTGCAGAGAAGAATGGGAGAAACTCTCCAAATACAGCTGTGCCAAGCTTGTAGTGTCAACTACAACTATCCCTGCAACGTAGCCCAATGACGCCTCAAAGGTATCCATTCCAAAAAGAGTCTTGGGCTTTGGTATAAATAGCTATATGCCACATGAGAAAGTCAAATATGGAAGTATATGGCGCCAAAGATAAATTTGTTCATTTGCTAGAGGTAGAGCATTACGTTTAAAAGCCAGGGTATTCCACACAGGGTATTCCAATAGCAGATAATAAATATGTACTATGAGTCATGAGCTGACTACTTTTTATAAACAAGAATAATAAAAAAGATGATAATATATCTGAAGTTACCAGGCATCTGCAGACAACTTTTTATTAAGAAGGCACTTACATCAAGATAAACCCTTTAGAAATACAGATACAACTTTCTTACAAGTCTCTGAATGTCCTTGAGTGGCCCAGCCAGAGCCTGGACTTGAACCCGATCGAACATCTCTGAAGAGACCTGGAAATAGCTGTGCAGCAACGCTCCCCATCCAACCTAACAGAGCTTGAGAGGATCTGCAGAGAAGAATGGGAGAAACTCTCCAAATACAGGTGTGCCAAGCTTGTAGCGTCATACCCAAGAAGACTCAAGGCTGTAATCGCTGCCAAAGGTGCTTTCAACAAAGTACTGAGTAAAGGATCTGAATACTTATGTAAATAAGGTATTTCTGTTTTTTATTTTAAATAAACCTGTTTTCGCTTTGTCATTATGGGGTATATTGTCTGTAGATTGATGAGGAAAACATTTATTTAATCCATTTTAGAATAAGGCTGTAACGTAACAAAATGTTGAAAAAGTCAAGGGGTCTGAATAATTTCCAAATGCACTGTATATTGCAATACTATATAGATACTTTGATTCTAAGTATTGATTTGTAAAAATAAAAAAAAACATGTTTTAGCTTTTTTGTTGTTGCTAGGTAACAATTGCTAGCGCTAGTTGGCTGTACCTGTATTTTTAATCCTATAGATTGTTCTCCGTCTTATTTTTAAAAATAGTGAGCCAACATGTTTTCAGCACTATGAGCAATATGTTTGGAACATCAAATTGTAATATTGAATCGCAATACATATATAGAATTGTGAGAATCACAATAAATATCGTATTGTGAAGTCCCTTGCAATTCCCAGCCCTATAGTCTAGTAGTATCACTGTGCTTTGTCTGGATGCACACACAAATTCTCACTCGCTGAAAGCAATGCGCAACAAACATTTCCAGCTGTGCCTCAATCAGTTCGGTAGTGGGAAATCTGGGGGCGTCACCTAGCAACATGTTGCAGCACTTGGCACTGGTCTGGCTCTCACACTTTCCCAACTGGACTAGTGTGATATTACCTTCCATTGGGCACGCCTGCCAACAGCACATGTCCATGCCAAAATATCTAAAGTCTACAGACTAACTTATCATTACTCTGTCCACCTACTCCTCCACATCATTGATTGCCTCAACGCTACTGATATATGTACTACTAACTCTGTGCCTCAGACAACCTTGGAAAAATAAAGCACAAATAAAAACAGCCACCCAGGGACACACACGTCTGGGATATCACATGTGGAGCTGGAACAAAAAGCATCACACAACGTTCCTTTATCTAGGTCTCTAGAACACTATAAAACAGCTATTTTTAACCTGTAGAACTGGGCTGGAAAATGCAGTATTAGAGACAATCACACAAAGTCATTTTATCAAGGTCTCTAGAACGCTATAAAACAGCAGAGTTTTTTATTTACCTGAAGAACTGGGCTGTTATCAAAGTTGTAAGCACTGGGCCGGCCTTCAAGGGTTGAGAAGGCCACGTTTCCTCCCGTCAGGGGTGAGATGTCGCTGAACTCGTCTGTGCACAGGGCCTGTTGTTCGTCCTGTCCGGTGCGGATGAAGCCCCTGTTGGTCTTCTGGTAGGTCTTCTCACAGGAGCCACTGTAGTACTGGTAGGGCGTCCATGGTCCATCCTCACTTGTGCGCTTGTAGATGGCGAAGCTCTCTGGGCGGCTGGTGTGGAACTTGAGACGCACGTAAGTGATGTCGAAAGCCTTGCCTGAAGAAGAACAGAAAAGAAACATGAGACTTTGGATCCTTTAGCCAAAAGATGAGTGCATCGTTTCACAGTGAACAATACAAGCTACCATAACTGTTCAACTACGCAGTTAATAAAGATGCAAAAATGTCTTGCACAATGCATAGAGAAATATTAGGCTATGCTGCCCATAACCCCAAAAGCTAACCAGTCACAACAAGCCTTTTCCAGATGCATTGTCTGTTTAAGCCAAGACAAAGGAGGATTTCCGAAGCTCTCCGGTGTCCTCCAGTAATACTAGACGGCCTTTCAAAACCTATTTGGCATGTCTGAGCAGGCTAGAAGTTGAAGGGGGATGAACACCAGCCTATATCTGCTAGGAGCTAGGGGAATGGTATGGGGAGACTTCATTTATTTTGTGTAAAGAAATGAAATGATCTTTCAACACGGCGACAGGGGATACAATTGTTTGCTTTAGCAAAGAATTTGCTCTCTAAACAGACCTGCAAAGAAAATACAAAAATCTATACAGGAACCATTGTGGCGTGTGCAAATATAGATGAAGCCATGTAACTTACTGATAAATATAGATTTCTCAACTGCAGAAGGGCTTGGAAAAATATAGCAGGATTTAAATTAATCAGTTAATTTCCTTCTGAGTGAGTTTCTGTGTATGTTGTTGCAGTCACCATGACAATGAACTTGCTGACTTTTGAGGGACCTCTGTTAAAGATAAATACCACCCAAAAATTATCTTTTGGTATTTGTTTCATTAGCCCATTGTTCATATAGTCCCAAAATGTTTTGCATGTCAACAAGCAAGTTTTCAAGATCTGCAACTTTCAAAATACAGCCGTTATGATGCATTTTGTCGGCTGTATTTCTGTATTTTGAAAGTTATATATCTTGAAAAACTTCACTGCTGACAAGCAAAACATTTTGGGACTATATCAACAATAGACTATTGAAACAAATAACAAAATATAGTTTCCTTTATCTTTTAACTCAGCAAGCTTTGTGGGTCAAGGTGAATCTGAAAGCAATATATATTTTACTGCAGGGTGTGACCTGGTTTTGTCATGAATTCATACGTTTACATTGAGATTAAAGGGAATAGTCGAGTATGCTATAAATGTTCTGGAGTGCCTGCATTGGCCCTGTGTGAGTCTCCTATTCAAACATAAGACTTGTACAAATGTTTACCTCAACTGGCCTGTGAGTCACTAAACTAGGCGTGGATTTCAACAGGTCTGCTTTAACACCTAGAGAAATATTTTCAAATGAAATAAAAGCAGGAAGTAATACAATGATGTCGTTTATTTGCGCTTATACCCATTAGATCGTGTTCAATTTCTCCTCATAAATCTATTTAAGTAGAAAAAAAGCTTAACACTGAGAAAGTTGCTAATTAAAACATGGAAAAAAACTCAAATCACACAAGTGCAACGAGACACAGGCCTACTTGACTAGTTGACATTTCCATAACATGGCATTGACATTTGCCAGCCGACCATTTGTCTGACCATTTACAACCAATTTGCCCACTTTTTCTACTAGCCACTTCCATTATGATGCACAGGCATGACACCAAAGCATCTGAATGTGACATTCTGTGAACAAGCAATCTTAAGAGGGCCTGAGCAGCGGGGAATCGCACTGGGAACAGACTGTCATTGACATCTAATTTCTAAAACCACCCCCACATCCTCGCAAACAAGACAAAAAGCATCTGTTGGCACAGCAATAAAGTGGCAAGCAGAGGCAAACAACAAAAGGGCCTCTCGTCAACCCAACATGGAGGAGCCACTCAGTGGAGACAAAGGAAGCCTCAACAGTGAATACAGGTGGTCAGGCAGTCACTAGACTAGTAGTCTAGTTCACAGGCAAGGCAAGTCCTGAAGATAATGAGGAAAGGGCAATGGAAATTATGATTTAGCCTTGAACAAGGACATGGTTACTCTTTGGCAGCTGGGGTTTTAATCATTAAGAGAATCTGACTGCCGATAGGTACTTATCACAGTAGGAGGCCTTTTCTTCTCTTGCTAGAACAAAAGACGTACCCGCTGCGTACCGACCTGGGACCGACGAACCTGTCATTTCTACTTGTAGAATCGCAATGCTCCTCAGTGGCCGACAACTTGACTTTGAGCCAATCAGAGAGCACGAACCTCCACGTTGGGGAACCGACAGGAGTGACAACAAAAAGGAAAAAACATGTGCTTAGCGAATTACATTATAACGGTTTAGCTAATGTTATCTTGCTAGCTAAATAATTGACTATGGGCTGGCACTGGCAGTATGGGATTATGGAGAGTGAATTAAATTGTTTCTTTGTCATCTTGCTAGCTAGTTATCTAGCTGTGGCCATCTGGCTAGTATCAACAACTGCTTTTTACAACAATAGCAACATTAGTACAGGTAGATAGTTAGCCAACATTGGATACCTACAAAGCAAAATACACAGGGACTCGCATTGCCAAACTAAGCTTAAGAATGCAACGCTACTGCCACCTTCTGGTTTGGAGTATTTTAACAAGAATGAGTGTTCAAAGTCTGTGCGGTGTGAACACAAAAGAGACTAACTGCTGACCCTGTTCAGAGGCGCTAAGTACTCTCTGCAAGCAAACATTATACAATCTTACTGGTGTGGGACCTATTAAGAGTCTTGGGTGGCCAAGGTTTGTTCTTAGTACCTTCAACCAAAATGAGTTTTACAGTACACTGTGGCTGTGATCGGCACTGTAGGCCTACTTTTAGCTTTCAAGTCCTAGGTGCATTCTTTCACTGATTAGCTAAAACTGTACAAAGTAATACCCATAGGCCCACATGGCCAGCTATGCCCTTTGAATCCGTAATTTCAGTGATGTAGGCCTGCAGTAACAAAAATCAATAGTGCGCAGGAATAGCTAACAATTCAGTCTGAACTAAAACTGTAGTCTAATGCAATGATCGCTTTTATGATTGAGCTGATGCACTTAAAGATGCACTATGCAGAAATCGCTCCGTCCTTTCCTGGTTGCTAAAATTCTAATAGTTCGCCTAATTTCAGTTTATGCGACAAAAAAAAAACAAGTAGAGTGTAGAGAATCACTGTACCATCTAAACTGCTGTGAAATATATTTTTCATACGCAAAATGATTGTACTTTCAGCTGTTTGAAACTTGTGTACAAAACCGAAAGTAAAAGATGCAAAAACAAAACTTGAGAACGGGAAGCATAGAAATAGAGCACATAGAACAGTTCTAACGCTTCTTAGACATGCTTTCAAGACCTATAATACACATTTCTGTGAATTTTGTCAGGTCGCCCAATTTTGGCCACATATTGCAGCTTTTAAAGGCCAATAATAATCAATGTATTAAATACAAAAATCGATACAGTTACATATCGGGATATTATTTTTGACGATATATCGTATTGTATCGTTTTGACAGTATCGCAATAATATTTTTGCGCTAGTTGGCTGTACCTGCACCAAAACCTCTGTATTTTTCCTTCATAGCTTGTTCTCAATCTTTTTAAATAGGGAGCCAATTTGTTTTTAGCACTTTTATCTCCCTGACTGATCAAAACTCGTTTTCATGCTCTCTCGTCTCTCTGCAGCAGACATATGGTAAGCAATATGTTTGGAACATCAAATCGCAATAAAATCACAGTATAGAATCGCAATACATATATAGAATCGCGAGAATCGTAATACATATTGTATTGGCACCTAAGTATCGTGATAATATCGTATCGTGAGGTCCCTGGCAATTCCCAGCCCTATTCATCTCCCATTTATGTCTCAACTAATCCAAAAGTAGACTAACACAGGACAGTAGCTTTATTTCAGATTCAAGAATGGCAGCGATCTATGGGTTTACCCAGTTTTTTTGACCAGAGTAGTCTAGAGCATGAAGCCAAGAGGAATTCCGGCTTTCCTTACATAACAATTGGTGTATTGATAAGCAAAATCCTTTACAGTTGAGAGTGCAAACAAAGGCCAGGCTGAGGGGACCCCTTGTGTTCTTCTATAAGAAGAAAGTATTAAAAAGTATTAAAAAGACGTAAGATAAAGACTAACTCTGTTTACAGTGGGAAGGTATCTTGTCGTTTTACACATTAGCAACAGTGGGGGTAGGCTAGGGTGGGGAAGTTGTCAGATTTACATTAAACAACATTTATTCCACAGAAACCATGACACACGATCGATCAGCTTCAGAAGAGCTATAACTGTACACAATAATTTGCCTCAAGAAATCCCAAGAACTGTTATGCTTAGAGCCTGACCGATATGGGATTTCTGGGTCAAATACCGATTCTAGGGAGGCAAAAGTCAACGATTACGATATACAGTGAGGGAAAAAAGTATTTGATCCCCTGCTGATTTTGTACGTTTGCCCACTGACAAAGAAATGATCAGTCTATAATTTTAATGGTAGGTTTATTTCAACAGTGAGAGACAGAATAACAACAAAAAAATCCAGAAAAACGCATGTCAAAAATGTTATAAATTGATTTGCATTTTAATGAGGGAAATAAGTATTTGACCCCCTCTCAATCAGAAAGATTTCTGGCTCCCAGGTGTCTTTTATACAGGTAACGAGCTGAGATTAGGAGCACACTCTTAAAGGGAGTGCTCCTAATCTCAGCTTGTTACCTGTATAAAAAGACACCTGTCCACAGAAGCAATCAATCAATCAGATTCCAAACTCTCCACCATGGCCAAGACCAAAGAGCTCTCCAAGGATGTCAGGGACAAGATTGTAGACCTACACAAGGCTGGAATGGGCTACAAGACCATCGCCAAGCAGCTTGGTGAGAAGGTGACAACAGTTGGTGTGATTATTCGCAAATGGAAGAAACACAAAATAACTGTCAATCTCCCTCGGCCTGGGGCTCCATGCAAGATCTCACCTTGTGGAGTTGCAATGATCATGAGAATGGTGAGGAATCAGCCCAGAACTACACGGGAGGATCTTGTCAATGATCTCAAGGCAGCTGGGACCATAGTCACCAAGAAAACAATTGGTAACACACTACGCCGTGAAGGACTGAAATCCTGCAGCGCCCGCAAGGTCCCCC